TGCAATCTTTTGGCTTGCACAAGGTAAATGTAATTATTATTATTCAGGTGAGCTGAGAGTTTAGTTGATTCAAATGGCGTTAGCGTTATTATTGCATGTCAGTTGTTGGTAAAGTGGTGACAGAGATGGTCTTGACTCATTTAATATGTAGTAGTTTAATTTAATGAAAGCATTTAATAGAAGTTTTATCTGAGGTAGTAGGATATATATATGATGGACTTTTTGTTGTATAAACTGTACTATGATATTATTAAAATTAAAATTTTATTTGTAATTTTATTGTTAATATAAGCTAAAAGTTGTTGAACCATTAAGTTGACTGTGAAAGTTTTAGAGTAAATTAGTTGTTATACAATGATAATGGTTGACTTGTTCATATTAAATTTTGACATGTGAATTGAATAAAATATGACCCGATATGAAAAAAATCTATTATCATAAATGTTGAAGTATTTGTTGTACAAAAATTAACTTTGAGTTGCTGTTGTTGAATGTTGAATTGTACATTTTGTTAAGCCTAACCTAATGATAAACTAAAATTGTATAGATTTTCAGTTGAGAATATATAAACCTTGTGTTATGCGTAATGAATATTGTGTTGTGCATTGTTTGCCTAACTTGAACATTTTGTTAAGCCTAACTTATCGATAAATTGGAATTGCTTGACTTTCAATTGAGAATATATAAATTTTGTGTTAAGCATAGTGGATATTGTGCTGTACATTATTTGCTTAAATTAAGCATTTTGTTAAACCTAGCCTACTGATAAATTGAAATCGCATGGACTTTCAATTGAAAATATATGAACCTTGTTGTGTATAGTGAATTTTGTATTGTACATTATTTGCCTAACGTGAACATTTTATTAAGCCTAGTCTATTGATAAACTAAAATTGTATGAACTTTTAGTTGATAAAATATGAACTTTGTGTTGTACACAGTGATTATTGTGTTGTATATTATTTGTTTACTTACACATTTTGTTAAGTCCAACCTACTGATGATATAGCAATATTGATAGATAACTTATCACAGACTTTCTTGCAATCACCTTTAACTAGCTGTCTTCCTGAGAGGTCATGAATAAGGAGGATAGAGTTTTAATTTTAAGATAAGAAGATTTATCATTGTTCAAGATATGGAGAGGTCGGACACAGTCACAAGACATGCAAGAATCATAACCCAGCATGAAAAGTAGTCATATTATACTTTTTTGGTGTACATAGTCAACTATAATCATATATATAAAAGCATTTACAAGTAATTTTTTTGGATAATTGAAAATCACAGATATTTTTTATTTGTATATAGAGTTAATTAGGTGTTTTGGATATAGTTGTTAACTTTTTGTACATATCAAACTTGAAATATTATGTAAAATTTCATGTGGGTACTTGTTTGAGTAGCTAGGCCAGTATTAACATGAAATTATTCATATATGATGTAATTATCCTTCTTAATACTAAAAAGGCATGAACTTTAAATTGAGTATATATAAGAATTGTCTTGTACATAGTGAATATTATGCTGTTCATGGTTTCATGTAGGTTTTTTGAATTCAAATAAAAAAAGGGTAAAAATGTACTTTTAATCTCAAAAGAAATTGCAATAAGGATTTCAAGGCTTATAGTGCAATATTAAACTTTTTTTAGGCCCAAAATGTAATTATATAAATTTTTAGAGCCCTTAATGCGATTGTCTCAAGAATTTTCCACAAATGTAAGTTAGACGTAATCCCAAAATAAGTTAAATACCTTTATTTGTACACTATATGGTTAAAGTTCTTACAAGCTTGATTTTATTAAAAGTATTTTGTTTCGAAATAAAATCGTTATTTTGTGGTTAAGAAATCCATTGTTTGTAGATGGAAATGACGTCATTTGAAAAGTACAAATAATCCTTTACCAATTTAAGAGATATTTGTTGCGCAAAACAATTAAAATAAAAAAAGAATTAATTTTTAACATGGATAATAATATTATGTTTTTCTTTAAAAAAAATGAGATGCAAAAATTCAATATAGAACATCAACATCTATATTTAATATAAAATATAAAATTTACGATAACTTGCATTTTTTTTATTATATATTCCATTCGTTTAAAAATGTAAAGTATTTTTAATCGAATCTCACCCTTCAATAAAATAATTACTTACTTTCAAACTAACCTTGTCTTTTTATATATACCTCTATTAAATATCTTATGATAAATATATAATCATTATAATAGAGACACTTTAAATATACAATAAAATCCATTTTTTTATTTAATATAAAATATAAAATTTACGATAACTTGCATTTTTTTATTATATATTCCATCCGTTTAAAAATGTAAAGTATTTTTAATCGAATCTCACCCTTCAATAAAATAATTACTTACTTTCAAACTAACCTTATCTTTTTATATATACCTCTATTAAATATCTTATGATAAATATATAATCATTATCAATAGAGACACTTTAAAAAAAATACAATGATTATACCTTGAAAAATTAAAAATATTTTATATTTTTTAATATTTAATTTCTTAAAAAATATTTAATATTTTTTAACAGAAGGAGTAACATTTCATCTCATAGAACCATTTTTTTTTTTAATATGCTCGCGAAAACTATTTCTAACTCCATACGTTTTCTTTTCCTTTCTTTTCTCTTTTTTTTTAATAGTACAACTTACTAATTATCAATGTATGAGTACAAACTCACATACGTAATTATAATAATTTCCTTTGTATCCGGGCAATGCTCCCTCACAATTTAAGCTTTTAAGGACTTTATACAGCACCGCGCATGGTTATTAATCTTAACACTTAAGAATTGAGGTCTTGTTTGATTACTAGAAAAGAATGTAATAGAAAAATTAAAATAAACTTGAACTAAATGATCATTCTTTTCTTTCATGATAAGCATGATAAAGATCATTAATATGTATTACAAATATAAGAATTATCACATCTAAAGTTATTAAACTCATGAATTTAAGTAAATTCGTGATAGAAATGTAAGCTCAAAACATAGACCTGGATTGTAAACTCATAAGAATTTACCTTTATTAATAAATAACATTTAAAATTTAAATATATTTCAAATATAAATAATTAAAATTAAATATATCTACATTAATAGATTATTATACTCAAAATACAAATTACAAAATTAGGCAACTTATTTTTGGTATTTTTTGTTTTCTTTTTCATTTATATTAGTTTTTTTTAGTTTTATTTTTCATTGAACTGGATCCTATTACCTATATGAATCAAATTTTATATAGTATATATCTGTTTTGCTCAATGAGTTTATAAACAAATTGACATAATTTTATAAATTAAAAATGTAAAAATAATAAATTCAAAATGTTAACTTGTGATTTTATAAATTAAAAATGTAAAAATGATAAACTTGTAGAGTCAACTTAAGAGTTTGAGTATAATGATTACACCCTCCAAAAATATTATAAATCATTATTTCAAACTTTATAAACTAAATTATCATTTTCCTTATTAATGCAATCATCTATCTCTTTTGATTATTTCATATTTTACCTTTATTTTTTAATTTATTTCATTTTATTCAATTCTAATAATCAAACGACACCTAAGTTTTGGGCAAAACAAGAAGATGATGAAAGTCTATGAATTGAACTAATTCATGAACTATAACTGGAGATATATTTTCTCACCTTGGGAACAGGAAATCATAGATGAAAAGAAGAACGAGAGATAAGTTTTTGATAAAATTTATCATCAAACATTCATTTCCACTTATGTTGCAAAGATTTGGCATTTATCTTCGGCAATTTACTACTACTAACTACTATATGTGTGTGTATTAATTTGTAATAGATTTTCCAAAATTTAACATGAAAAATTGGAAAGACTTGTAAAGATTTGGCATTCATCTTCAGAAATTTACTGTTATTATATAATCTATCAGTTAAAAAATGTAATATATTTTTGGTATTTTAAAGTATATTTAATGTATTTTTTAAAAGTGTTCTAAATAAATAAATTACTTTATATTTATTTTTAAGTAAAATATCTTATTAAATAAGGATATATATGAAAAGATGGTGTTGGTTAAAAGACAATTAGTTAATTTATTGAGAGTGAGATTTGATTAAAATTACCTTATTTTTTTCATAGAGAAAATAATAAGTTAATAGCTTGCAATTCATCTTCTAAAATTTAATATAAAACATTTTATGAGAAAATGATAATCATGTAATTTTACATGGTTATTAAGGACTACCAAAGACTCATTACTTGAATTTTTAATTTTTTTCCCAAATCAAAATTAAATTTATACATTGATGTTAAAATGTCATTCTTTGTCAATAACTTTATAACCTAGTAGCATGTTAGCTTTTATATAAATGAAAGGTTGTGAGTTCGATCTTGCTTGTAACCTTGGGTTATTAGTGAGTGTCCCTCTTATTCTATTTCAAACACTATAATTTAATAATTTTTTGTTAATAACTTTTTCAATAAAAATATGATAATTAATCAGAAATGTGCAGGAGTGATATATGATTAACAAAAAAATTAGCTAATTTTGTCACCCTCGTCATAATTGATAACCAACATTTTCAAGGAATTGAATTTCACTATTAGTAATGTACTTAAGTCATTAAATTGACCAAGACATTGATAAAAAGATTAATGTTAAAAAATAGTTGAATTATGATCATACGTAAACAAAACATATTATTAAACTGATTCAATCACTCATTTTTATGGGCTCAAGTGCTCAACACATCAGTTTCGATTGCATTGAAGCAAACAGCTAAATTTACCACAAAGTAAAACACTTCGTACACATCAACGTGTAAGTTTCTTGGAAATTTCTAAACAGTAAACGTACCCTAAAAAAATAAAAATAAAACTTACGAGCTAATGTTGAAACTGTTGATTAATTAAGAGTTAAGGTTTTTTTTTCTTTCCTCTTCTTCCAAGTTTCAATCCAAATCCATCCAAATGTATATATATTTCTCGTTTTAATCTTGCTTCTGTCAAAATTTGAAACCTAACATATCAAAATTACAGTTATTGTGATACGACGTCGTTTTTCATCTCATGGAGATCGGCGAACCATCATGCATCATTGTAGCCGAGTTGCCCACGCTACGGGAACTTTTTCAGCTCGAAGACGACGCACGGAGGGAAGCCACCGGCGACGACAGTATCACGACAGAGTTTCACACGCCTGACAGAACTGATTCCAGCACTGAGCCAGCTCGCTCGGTGCCTTTCCTGCTCTCGTTTAGTAATCTCACGTACAGTGTGAAGGTCCGCCGGAAAACGAACTTCTCAATGCTGTTTTCGCGATCAAGAAATAACCATCTCGGAGCACCAGACACTAAGACTCTTTTGAATGATATCTCCGGCGAGGCTCGCGACGGTGAGATTCTTGCCATTATAGGTGCCAGTGGATCGGGGAAATCGACTCTGATTGATGCCTTGGCCAACCGAATAGCCAAAGGAAGCTTGAAAGGGAGCGTGAAATTGAACGGCGAGGCCTTAGAATCACGGCTTCTGAAATCGATTTCAGCTTATGTAATGCAAGACGACCTTCTCTTTCCGATGCTCACGGTGGAAGAGACTCTGATGTTCGCAGCTGAATTCCGATTACCACACAGGCTCTCTAAATCCAAGAAGAAGAAGCGAGTACAAGCTCTAATCGACCAGCTCGATCTCAGAAACGCTGCGAAAACCATCATCGGCGATGAAGGTCACCGTGGGGTATCCGGCGGCGAACGACGCCGCGTCTCAATCGGCATTGATATAATCCACGATCCAATCATATTGTTCCTCGATGAACCTACATCAGGACTGGATTCGACGAGCGCATTCACGGTGGTGAAGATCTTGCAGAAAATCGCACAAACCGGAAGCATCGTCGTCACGTCGATCCACCAACCAAGTTCACGAATACTTGGTCTTGTGGATAGAATGATCTTCTTGTCTCACGGAGAAATCATGTTCAATGGTTCACCGACGCAACTTCCACTCTTCTTCGCTGAATTTGAACACCCAATACCAGAAAATGAGAACCAGACCGAGTTTGCATTGGACCTAATTCGCGAGCTAGAAGGTGAGATACTTTTTCATAAGCCCATAAATGTTAAGACTAACGCGACTCTATTACATATAAATCAAAGCTAGCTAGAAGGCGATCATGTCATATAAATTACTTGTACTGTGGATTTAACTATGCAAAACCAAGTGATTATTTTATTTATTTGGAGCTCCGTTCAACTTAAATTATTACTTGACTACTGTATAGTGTATATAAGCTGTTTTATAGTTATTTTATGTAATATAATTTTTTTACCATACCCCAACTTTTTAATTGTTTTTCTCTTGTTTATTAGATTTTACAGGGAAATGAGAGTTATTTTGATATTTTATAGAGATGATTATGATTCGGTTTTGTATTTTCTTTGTCATTTTTTTTAAAAAATACTCCCTAATTATGTTGTTTTGAATTATTTTTGTTCTTTGAGAAATTGTAAAAAGAAAAAAGAAGAAGAAAAACTTCACTATTTCGTCGCTGTATCAAAATATCTTTAATTTTATACAGGATCTTGTAAACAAGATAAAAACAATTGAAGAATTGGGACATTGTAATGATACTAGATCAGGGATGAGGCATTAGAGGATTGCTAACACTGAAAAATTACTCAAATACGGATTTCATTCACAAAGATCTAGCCTTTCTACTCGACTTTTTCAGCTCCGATCCGTTTTTGTGTTTACAGATAATTTCAGTGGCCAAGTACATTTGTTTAATCTTTTTTCAATTGGTGGCTTTATCTACAATACAAACGTTGAAACCTGAGTACATATCTTTTGAGAATGTAAATATAGGAAAAAAGACTAGAAACTCTTTGGTACATACATATGTACACCTTAATTATCATTCTATCGCACTGCCTGTGTTCTTGCCAATGATTCTTGTTATTTATAATGATTTATTTCTCGCAGAAGGGTCATCTAGTGGAACTCATAGATTGGTGGAGTTTAACAAATCGTGGCAGATCAAGAAGCAAACGGGAAGCAATAGCACAGAAGGTGAATATCACCATGGATTATCATTGAAAGAAGCGATCAAGACAAGCATCTCGAGGGGAAAACTAGTGTCAGGAATCACAAAGAGGACTGATAGTGATAATAATAACGCAATAATAAGATCAACTTCAAAGGTACCAACATTTGCGAACCCATTGTTGATTGAAGTAGCAAAGCTCTCAATAAGATCATGCACCAATTCACGAAGAGTTCCTGAAGTATTCAGAACTCGATTGGCTATCGTTTTGATTACTGGCTCTCTTCTAGCCTCAGTGTTTTGGCATTTAGATGACTCTCCAAAAGGGGCTCAAGAAAGACTTAGCTTCTTCGCTTTTGCCATGTCTTCAACCTTCTACACAACAGCAGAAGCACTCCCTGTGTTCCTCCAAGATCGATACATTTTCATGAAAGAAACTTCTCACAACACTTATCGTATATCCTCTTACATCGTTTCTCACGCTCTTGTATCACTGCCTTCATTGCTTGTCCTCTCTTTAGCTTTCGCAGCGACGACGTTTTGGGCTGTTGGGCTTGAAGGAGGATGGTTCGGCTTCTTGTTCTATTTCCTCTTCATACTTGCCTCTTTCTGGGCAGGTAAGTTGGAATATTTTTAATATATTGTGAATTTGTATTAATTAGTTATTAAATTCAGAACAAATTAATCTTTATGATGTATCTGAGATAGTGAACCACACATAAGTGAGTCCATTTGGGCAAACCCAACCTACAACTCTTTAATTGAAATTAGAAACTTCTAATGCGTTTTTTTAATATATTTTGTGATGTCTTAATTTTCTAATTATCACCGTTATAATACAAGGGCTAGAATTTTCTACTTTTTATGATTTTTTAAAAGAACAAAAAATCTTTCATTTTTGAAACATAAAAAATATAAAACTTTGTTGTTTCACAAAATATTAAAATGTCTTTCATTTTATATAAAATTTAATGATCCAAAAGGGCCAAAAAAGGAAAAATATAGTTGGGAAATTATGATATTACAAATGTTATTAAAAAAAAGGACACATTAAAAGTTCTTAACCTTTTTAATCATAAACTATTATTTTTTACGATTTTTTACATGAGGATTTCAGACATCAGTTAGTTTTTTTTTTTTTTTTTGGGGGGGGGGTGGGAATAAACATCAGTTAGTTTTTACTGGTACCAAAACTCACTCTCTCGACTTCCTCTGGACCCTTTGAAAGCTAAAAGGTTGTAATAGGTTGTGAATCTGTGTCCTTTCTCTGGAGTCTGGATGATAATCGGGATTCTTAATTGAGTTTGTATTTCCTCTGTGGCAATCGCTCATGAAACTTAACTCTGATCATTTTATTTGATCATTGACATATTTTCAACACAGGTAACTCATTCGTGAGCTTCCTCTCCGGCGTGCTACCCCACGTGATGGTAGGGTACACGATAGTGGTGAAATCATTGGCTTATTTCTTGCTCTTCAGTGGATTCTTCATTAACAGAGACAGAATTCCAGTTTATTGGATCTGGTTTCACTACTTGTCTTTGGTGAAATACCCATATGAAGCTGTGATGCAGAACGAGTTTGAAGATGACTCATCAGCGCATCATTGCTTTGTGAAAGGAGTGCAGGTTTTCGATAATTCGCCGGCGCTCGGTGAGTTGCCGGAATCCATGAAACTGAAGTTGTTGGAGAGCTTGAGTAAAACGTTGGGGATGAACATCACGAGCTCAACGTGCTTGACCACTGGTTCTGATATATTGCAGCAGAATGGGATTACACAGCTGAGCAAGTGGAATTGTTTGTGGGTAACTGTGGGTTGGGGATTTTTGTTTAGGGCTTTGTTTTACTTGTCGTTGTTGCTGGCGAGCAAAAACAAGAGGAGGTAGTGATGACATTTTTTTTTTTTTTGGTGGCCAGGTGATGACTTGGTTGCTTGGGAAATTTAAGTAAGCTTACAATAGTTATGTATTCGTTTGTACATTTTATGGTTTGATATTCTTTCATTTTTTTTTTTGGGGGTACTCTTGTCATAACGCATATGGTGTTGACAAATTGTTTGAAGCATATACAGAGTAATTGATGCATTAGTTTTTTTTTTTTATAGTTTTTTTTCCTAATCTATGTAAAAGGTCTTTTAACTATAATTATATATGAATTATGAATTAATTAAATGTGCATATATAAAGATTTTGTTTATTTATTCACTTCTCATTAGGTGTGTGCGCAAGGAGAAAGCTTTCTTAGAAATGAATATTGTTAATAGGAATTAGGAAGTCATATTTCAGGACCATGTTGTCTTAATTAAATTGCCACAATGTCAAGTTTTCCCCTATTAACTCTAAAACCCAATTTCCTCACATTTTGCCTAGTAGTTCAATACACAAAAAATATTATATATATATATATACTGCGGAGACCTGTGTTTTTAGTAAACAGTCGCCCGGACTTGGTCACTGCGACCCCCTTTGTGAGGAGGCACCCCTTCTCTCAAAGTTACGGGGCTATTTTGCCGAGTTCCTTAGAGAGAGTTGTCTCGCGCCCCTAGGTATTCTCTACCTACCCACCTGTGTCGGTTTCGGGTACAGGTACCCTTTTGTTGAAGGTCGTTTGAGCTTTTCCTGGGAGTATGGCATGGGTTACTTCAGCACCGTAGCGCCTGGTACTCGAACATTGGCTCGAGGCATTTTCTCTACCCCTTCTTACCCTGAAAAAGCAGGGGCACCTTGCGTCCTTGAACTGATAACCATCTTTCGGCTAACCTAGCCTCCTCGTCCCTCGGGACCAACAAAGGGTAGTATAGGAATATTCACCTGTTGTTTATCGACTACGCCTTTCAGCCTGATCTTAGGCCCTGACTCACCTTCCGTGGACGAACCTTGCGGAGGAACCCTTAGGTTTTCGGGGCATTGGATTCTCACCAATGTTTGCGTTACTCAAGCCGACATTCTCGCTTCCGCTTCGTCCACCATTGCTCGCGCGGGTCCTTCCCTCTAAGGCGTGGAACACTCCCCTACCGATGCATTTTTACATCCCACAGCTTCGGCAGATCGCTTAGCCCAGTTCATCTTCGGCGCAAGAGCGCTCGATCAGTGAGCTATTACGCACTCTTTCAAGGGTGGCTGCTTCTAGGCAAACCTCCTAGTTGTCTCTGCACCCCTACCTCCTTTATCATTGAGCGGTCATTTAGGGGATATATATATTAATTTTTTAATAAATATTTTTTTATACTTGACGTTATAAAATGCTTTTTAATTTCTTTCCCTACTTTTTGTACATAAAGATCTTGCTTTTTATTAAAATAATTTATATGAGATAAAAATTAAATGCAAAATTTTTTTGTATAGGATATGTGTGCGTGTGTTAAGTATGCAGGAATCAACTAAGATTTTAAAAATATAATTTAACAATAAACTAGAAAAATATACCAAAATTTCTTGGCCATCATCCCTCTTCTCCATATTTTCTCACTCACGGAAAGACGACACATACTAAATAATAATTAAAAAATTTTTATTAATATATAATTTATATATTTAACTTTATATGCTTAAGGTATCTGTTTCTAATCAGATTTAGATATTATTTATTTTGATTTGATTAATATATAATTTATATATTTAACTTTATATGATTTATATATTTATATTAATATATATAATTTATATATTTAACTTTATATGCTTAAGGTATCTGTTTCTAATCAGATTTAGATATTATTTATTTTGATTTGATTAGATAAAAATACATTAGATATATAATATATTAAGTATCCTAATATATATTTATAGATGTCAAATTCTTGAGTTGATTCTTCAAGTTTAACTTTTTATGTTTTTGGCTCATAAAATTATTTTAACTTACTTATAAATTTAAACTAAATAAAAACTTAGTTAAACTCATTAGTTTACCTTTGAATTTATCATTTTTATATTTTTAATTTACAAAATTGCATCAACCAATTTATAAATTTGGAATAGATGTAAATTTAGTTAAACTTATTAAGCTTGTAAATTTTTTAATGAATTGAGCGAGTTAAGTATATGCTATATAGAACTTAATTCGTAGAAGTGACAGGATTAGGTTCAAATAGAAAAAACTTAAAAAGCAAAAACTAATATTAATAAAAAAAGAAAATAAAACATACCAAAAATAAACTACCCTATTTTGAGATTTTTATGTTTTGTATAATAATCTATCAATATAAATGAATTTAATTTTAATAATTTATATTTGAAATATATTTAAATTAAATTATAGTCATGTTTTATATTTTAATTATTTAATCATATACTTTTAATGAGAATTTATTAATAAAAATAAAATTTTATAAGTTTACGATTTGAGTTTATATTTTTATCATTGATTTACTTAAACTCACAAGTTTGATAACCTTATTGCATGCTTATAATTCCATGATTCCATCAACTCCCATGATTATGAAAGAAAAATGAGTATTATTAATCAATAATTGTTTATAAATTGAAAACATTCACGCTCCGGCTTTACTATACAAAGTTAAAATTGTCTATTAATATATATTGAGGGAATGCTTGATTTAACTAGTTGAAAGAATTAAATAAGTTTATCTTGGGGTCTTGAATTTAAGTTCTAAGGCATACAATCATATTAAATAAATATATCAAAGGTATTATTGAGATACTTGTGACGCTAATCCCAAATTTCCCAAAATTAAACTTGAGCGACAGAATAAAAATAATTGTCTTCTTGATAAAATGATTAATTCCCATATTTTCTCTTTGGATAACAATAATTTTCATAGAGCTCTATCTTCTCTTAATTAGATATATTTTTGTCTTCTAATTTGTTAATCTCTGTTTTTACCACCCCCCACAAAAAAAAAAAAAAAACAAACGTAGATAAAAAACACAATAACGCTACTCCACATTCAAGTGAGATGGTCTTTTTAAGGTAACTTTTGGCCTTATTTATTCAGTGAGTTTACATGTACCTGAGTTAATTTTTGAACGAAACAGCTTGTAATCGCAGTTACATTACGGTGAGGATCAAGAAAGATCAGAGTTAAAAAAGGGACTAATATCCGATGACATGGCAGCCACGTTGACTTACTCTTTGACACCTCAGGAAAAAAGACAACATAGTTATAACATGTGGACATAATATGGGAGAAATTCTTAAATAGACTCGGGCACCATATCATTGAGTTAAACATATTAACGTTTGAAAAATATAAGGATTAACACTCCAACATTGAATATCAAGATGAGCTATGAGGACTATACTAAAAATGGAGTGAAACTATAAGAATGAAATTATTATTTTTTTTCCTAAAATTAATAATTATAACTTTTCATGGAGTAAGTAAATGACCAGTCAAAGATTGATCGAGATATTGTGGCCATATATAGTAAGTCATTAATTCACCTAAAAAGCTATATATTACAATAACATGTAACTTGTACACTTGTTTTCTTAATGTCTTAACATGCAGTTACGAAAGAGATGTACCAAAAACCTAATACTAATATACATGATTAAATTTTGACATTCATATGTGTTTGACGGACAAAAAAGTTCCTTTGGCCTTGGAGTTGCTTTATGGTTAAGGAACCATTCTTTAGAGAAGACACAAACATGAAGGCTAGGCAAACTCACATTTTTAATTAAAACTACAATGTTCCTTATTTACCCAAAACTTACTAAAATTCCAATGGCTTAATTACTCTTTAATTAAACTTATTAAGCTTGTCAATTTTTTACTGAATTGAGCAAGTGAAGTATATATTATATAAAACTCAGTTCATAGAAATAATAGGACCAGGTTCAAAGAGAAAAAAAAATCTTAAAAAGCAAAAATTAATATTAATAAAAAAATAAAAAATATCAAAAATAAGTTATCCTATCCTGAAATTTTTATATTTTGTATGATAATCTATCAATATAAATGAATTTAATTTTAGTAATTTACATTTAAAATATATTTAAATCAAATTATGGTCATATTTTATATTTTAATTATAATTATATATTTTTAATGAAAAATTATTAATAAAGATAAACTCTTGTGAGTTTATGATCTAAGTTTACATTTATGTCATGAGTTTACTTTGTTAGATTTTTTTTATTAAGTATGCTTAAGGATAGCATATTCTACTGAAATAGCTTAAGTTGTTTGATTAAATATTTTCTAAACCTATAGATTTGTGATTTAAATTTTAATTTTTAGGTGTGAGATTTCTTTTATGTTCTAATATTTTCATTATTACTTTTTTCTTCTTCTTTTTTATTTTTCTTCTTCTTCTTGCTTGAGCTTGTACTTTTTGTTAGTCTCAGAGACTTCAGGTCTATTCAATTTTTTTTTCTTTTTTCTTCTCCTTCTCTCTTTCCATGTTCTTTAATCTCTTATTTTTTTGTCTTCTTCTTTCATTTTTTTCTTTCTTTCTCTCTTCTTTTTTTTAGTCCCAAATCAAATGGCTCTTGATATTATGTTAGATTTTTTATATTAAATATACGTAAAGATAGTATACTCTGAAATGTACATTCTTCCAAAGTGCTCTGAAAAGCTACTCTTTCGGAGCGCTCACACATGAGCGCTCCAGAATGTTATATTATACAAATACTTTATATTATAAATGTTTGAAAAATATATGTAATAAAAATTTTAAATAGCATAAAATTTGATATATTAAATAATAAGGATATAAAATATAAAGTTTGACATATTGAATGCAAATTATGTAAATAACTCAATAATATGAATAATTAAAATTAACATGGTTAATTGTTTAGTTTATAGAATGTCTAGTTACAATTTATTTTTTAAAAAATTCTGTTTGGAATCAAACTACTATTACTTGATCTATTAAAAACTTGCATGCAATTTTTTTTTTGCATAAAAATTATTGGTATTATGGTGACATAAAAAATAAGGGTATGTCATGTCTCAAAAGCACATCTCAAAATCTTCCTCAGATTAGATTGAGGAAAATGATTTTCTTTTTTAAGGGACTTTTGCAATGGACTTTAAAAAAAGTTTAAAAAATCAAACAACTTTGACTTCCTAAACTCCCCAAAAATCCTTCTCAAATGTTAGGCGCTAAATACCCAAATGGGCCTTAAAACGGTAAAAAACGCATTCTCATCTCGATGCACTTTTGTTAACTAACCACTTGCATTCAATTTATTTAAGTCATGTGAGATGGTATCTTGAATATTTATTGCAACTTTTGAAACATATCTGCATCCTCTCACAATTGAATCAAGATTAATGAGTCATTTTTTAGTTTTTTTTATTGCTCAAATATATCTTTTTATAGGAGAAAATCTCATTTGACATATGACTAGGTATTAAATATAGATACTTTTCTTAATAAAATTCAAATCTTGATTCATTACGTTTTGAGTAACTAACTTCTTTTGTTAGACTCAATCTACTATTTTGAAGCGCTTACACATGAGCGCTCCAAAATGAGTGATCTTTCGGAGGGCTCATAATGTGAGCGCTCTAAAAGTTCTCAACTTCTAGATCGCTCAACTAAAGAATGTTTTAAAAAATCTCTTTAAATTTTTTAAAATTTTTTAATCATGTAATTAGCAGCACTCTTGAAGATTTGACATACCGGAGTGCTTATTTAAAAAAAACACTCTAGTAAATTCTGCTTCCACAATTAAGAGCGCTTTTTAATAAAGAGCTCTTAAAGACCTGCTTCTGAAAATATATTTTGTAGTAATGATTTTACTAAAATAGCTTAAGTTATTTAGTTAAATACTTCATAAGTTTATATATTTGTGATTTATTTTTTAATCTTTAGATGTAAGACTTCTTTTATGTTCAAATATACTTAAATTCATAAGTTTAATAACTTTATTGCATGCCTGTGACTCCATAATTCCATCAACTCCCATGATTATGAAAGAAAAATATTATTAACCAATAATTGTTTATAAATAAAAAACATTCACGCACCAACTTTACTACAAAGTTAAAATTGTCCATTAATAATATTGAAGGGCTGCTGGGTTTAACTAGTTGAAAGAATTAAATAAATTTATCTTTTTGAGTTTAAGTTTTAAAATATAGAATTATATTAAATAAATATGTCAAAGATATTATTGAAATATTTGTGAGGCTAACCCAAGTTTTCCAAAATTAAACTATAGCCATAGAATAAAAAAAATTTCTCTTTCGATAACAAAACTTCTCATAGAGCTCGATCTTCTCTTAATTAGATATATTTTTGTCTTCTAATTTGTTAATCTCTGTTTTTATCCCCCCCCCAAAAAAAAAAAAACGCAGATAAAAAACACAATAATACTACTTCACAGTCAAGTGAGATGGTCTTTTTAAGGTAACTTTTGGCCTTATTTATTCAGTGAGTTTACATATACCTGAGTTAATTTTTGAATGAAACAGTTTGTAATCACAGTTGCGTTATATTATGTGAGGATCAAGAAGGATCAGAGTTAAAAAGGGGACTAATATCCGATGACATGGCAGCCACGTTGACTTACTGTTTGACACCTCAGGAAAAAAGCCAACATAGTTATAAAATGTAGACATAATATGAAAGAAATTCTTAGATAGACTCGGATACTATATCATTGGGTTAAACATATTAACATTTGAAAAATGTGAGGATTAACCCTCCAACATTGAGAAATTTTCAGGATGGGCTATGAGGACTAAACTAAAAATGGACTGCTATAGGGATGAAATTATTATTATTATTTTTTGCTAAAATTAGTAATCATAACTTTTCGTGGAGTAAGTAAATGACCAGTCAAAGTATTGATATATATATATATATATATATTATGGCCATAGTAAGTCATTAATTCACCTAAAAAGCTATATATTACAATAACATATAACTTGTACACTTGTTTTCTCAATGTCTTAACATGCAGTTACGAAAGAAATGTACCAAAAACCTAATACTAATATACATGATTAAATTTTGACATTCATATGTGTTTGACGGACAAAAAAGTTCCTTTGGCCTTGGAGTTGCTTTATGGCTAAGGAACCATTCTTTAGAGAAGACACAAACATGAAAGCTAAGCAAACTCACATTTTTAATTTAAACTGCAATGTTCCTTATTTACCCAAAACTTACTAAAATTCCAACGGCTTGATTATTCTTTATATGAGTACTATTATTCTTGAATTCTTGTCTCGACTATTTTTTGAGTGATTTTAACGTACATTTTTGTTATATTAGCTTTATACATTAAGAAATTTAGTTCCAATCCAACCAAAATTATTAAAATAAAAATACTGCAAAGTACAAAATTATACTCGATCCCATCCTTTTCATAAGATGGAGAGAGAGAATGATTTATTTTGTTCTATTGATGAGACATGTCATAGATTTTTTATTATGAATTATTTTTTTATTCTTATTAAATGTTAATGAGAGAAAATCTGATTTTAGAATATGTATATTTAATTGGAGTAAAATTTAAGACTCTTTAAATTTTTAAATAGAGTTAATAAATTTTAAAATTTTTAAGTTTCAATTAAATATGTTGAAGTGATCACTTATAAATTATAAGAAAGTATGTGGTAATTTCCCTTATAGTATATACTATATGCCTAGCTTCCATGTATTGTTTTCACACTGGATCTTCTAAACCTAAGTACTGTTTTAGTATGCAATTAAGGAAAGATACGCCTCTCTTAAAAACTAAGTTATTAATTGGGAAACTTGGCATATATGGTCTAAATTTAACAAATTTAATTTAAATTAATAGATATTAAAAAATCATAATTATTTTTAAAATAAAAATTATCCTGTATTTTACTATATTTATGATCATATATTTTTTTAAAAATCATTATTCAAATATTTTAATACCGTTTAATTTTAAAAAATTATAATTTTTTAAGATCATTTATTACAAATTTCCCTACAAGTCCAATTCAACAAAATAGTAAGATACAGCCTTGTAGAGCCAACTGTAATATACCAATACAGCTAAATTATAATCTTACCATTGATCATCTAGAAATAAATAAGTAGATCAACCCTCAACCTAATTCTCTAAAACCCCAAACGTTACCCAAACGAAGAACCAACACGCACTCACTCCCATTACGCCACGTGTCATTGCCAACCAATACCGAACGCCCACGTGAACCGCAGCCTCCCTTGGAGAAAAAAATTAAAGTCGCGGATTAAGATTTGTCGTTGTAGGTCACCTCTCTCACACCTCTCTATCACCTTCTCAAGTAAACGCATAATATATCGCCTCCATTAATATCTTTCCTCCGCACACACACATATATATAGATGCAGATAATTACACAAACACATTCCAACAACCTTGTTAGGCTGTTAAGTCACGTATCTGATCTCTCTCCTCTTTTGCATGTTGCTGAAATTATAGCCCGAAAGTTTGTATATTTAACCTTAAAGTTCTTGAACTTGCAGCACTTTTCATTTCATTCAAACATGTTGTCTTGTGGAGGAGAAAATGAAGGATCGCAGAGGAGAAATATAGTGTCGTGTTTTCGTCTGGTTGAGCCTGAGGATCCACCACGCGCCGCCGCCGCGGTGATGCCGACTCTTGGACAGTTTTTGAATTATTACGGTGACGTTCGGAAGGAGGAATCCGGTGATGGTGGTGACACGCCGGTGCAACACGCGCTTGATATGACAGACGTCGGACTCGAGGCACAGTCGCTGCCTTTCGTGTTGTCATTCAGTAACCTAACTTACAGCGTGAAGGTTCGTCAGAAAATGAGCTTCTCGATGCTTTTTCCCAAGTTGAAGGGAACGGCCATGGCCGACGACAGCAGAACTAAGACTCTGCTAAATGATATCTCCGGCGAGGCACGCGATGGAGAGATACTCGCAGTTATGGGAGCTAGTGGTTCTGGGAAATCGACTCTGATTGATGCCCTGGCAAACAGAATTGCCAAAGGAAGTTTGAAAGGAAGAGTGACGTTGAACGGCGAGGCGTTAGAATCGAGGCTTCTGAAAGTGATATCCGCGTATGTAATGCAAGACGACCTTCTCTTTCCGATGCTCACAGTGGAAGAGACTCTGATGTTCGCAGCTGATTTCCGATTGCCTCGCGCACTCTCAAGATCCAAGACGAAGATGCGAGTACAAGCTCTGATCGACCAGCTCGGTCTCAGAAACGCCGCCAAAACCGTCATTGGCGATGAAGGCCACCGCGGGGTGTCCGGCGGTGAACGACGGCGTGTCTCTATCGGCATTGACATAATCCACGATCCCATCATCTTGTTTCTCGATGAACCAACCTCAGGGCTCGATTCCACGAGCGCTTACATGGTTGTGAAGGTCTTGCAGAGAATCGCCCAGACCGGAAGCATCGTGATCATGTCTGTGCACCAACCCAGCTCTAGAATCCTCGGACTCCTTGACAGAATGATCTTCTTGTCACGTGGACAAACAGTGTTCAGTGGCTCACCCATGCAACTTCCGATCTTCTTCTCCGAATTCGGACACCCAATACCAGAAAACGAGAACCGAACCGAGTTCGCTCTGGACCTGATTCGCGAGCTCGAATCCTCACCCGGTGGAACAAAAAGCTTGGTCGAGTTCAACAAGTCGTGGCAGGGCATCATGAGTAACCCTAGAATCAACCACTGTAAGATCAATCAGAATGATTTGTCTCTGAAAGAAGCGATTAGTGCGAGCATCTCGAGAGGGAAACTAGTCTCTGGTGGGGCGACAACAAACAGGTCCAACAATGTAAGCCCAACTTCCATGGTTCCAACGTTTGCGAATCCATTCTGGGTTGAAATGATGAAGCTTTCGAGAAGATCAATCACGAACTCACGTAGAATGCCGGAGCTATTTGGGATTCGATTGGCTGCGATTTTGGTAACTGGGTTTATTCTCGCAACCATGTTTTGGCAATTAGATAATTCACCAAAAGGGGTTCAAGAAAGACTCGGCTTCTTCGCCTTCGCCATGTCTACCACCTTCTACACCACCGCCGACGCACTTCCGGTGTTCCTCCAAGAACGATATATTTTCATGAGAGAAACTGCTCACAACGCTTACCGCCGATCATCCTATCTCATATCCCACGCGCTCGTATCACTACCCGCACTGCTCATCCTCTCACTCGCTTTCGCAGCGACGACGTTTTGGGCGGTGGGTCTCGACGGCGGATTATCAGGCTTCTTGTTTTACTTCCTCGTCATCTTCGCTTCGTTCTGGGCCGGAAACTCCTTCGTCACCTTCCTCTCTGGCGTAGTACCTCACGTGATGCTTGGTTACACAATAGTGGTTGCTATCTTAGCTTATTTCTTGTTGTTCAGTGGGTTTTTCATTAACAGAGACAGAATCCCAAGTTACTGGATTTGGTTTCATTACTTGTCTCTGGTGAAATACCCTTATGAAGCTGTTTTGCAGAATGAGTTTGATGATCCAGTGAAGTGTTTCGTGAGAGGGGTTCAAATCTTTGATAACACACCACTTGGGGTGGTTCCAGGTTCCATGAAATTGAAGCTATTAGAGAGCTTGAGTAACACCTTGGGGATGAACATCACGAGCTCAACATGCTTGACCACTGGTTCTGATATATTGCAGCAGAATGGGATTACACAGTTGAGTAAGTGGAATTGCTTGTGGGTCACAGTGGGTTGGGGATTCTTGTTTAGGACTCTGTTTTACTTCTCGTTGTTGTTGGGAAGTAAGAACAAGAGGAGGTAATGACGATGATAAAATCATGGCTTTGGGATTCTTTCTTTCTTTTTTTTTTTTATTGTTACGTTTGTAATTTGTCTTGTAATAAGTGTTCATGATCCGGTACGAGATTACCAAGTTGTAATATTCATTTGAATTAGTTAACATGAACAATTATTTATTACTTGCTTTGGCATCCATCACAATATTACTTCAATTGATTAAGAAAAATGGTTCAGCGAAGCGTGATACTATTTTATTTAAAGTTTAACTCCATTTTGCGTCTCGCAAGTCACTTTTACGATGGCAGATGACCTAACCTTTATATATATATATATATATATAACTTTGACTTTGTGTAAAGTCAAAGTTTATATTTGACATTTCACAAAACATGCATGACAAGGTGCATGTTGGTCATAGAGAGCAACCTTGTAAAATACTATTTCAATTTGCGCCTATTTGCGATACTAAAATTCCACTCTAGGCGTTGGTTAAAAAAAATAAACAATTTAAATTGTCTTTCAAGACTGAGAAACTAAACTAATCATTAAACTCAGTGATTCAAATTATGGCTAAATCAAGATTAACCCAATTATTATTTTTTAAAAATTTTAAAACGATTTCATTTTAAGCCGGGTAAAATGGAAAAAATTTATAAAACCCATCCCGTCAACTTGTCCAAAACTCTTGACGAGATTGGTTTACTAATTTATTGGTTACTAGTTAACCAAATTGGGTTTTAATGTGTCTTCGATATAAAGAGTGACCTTTGCCTTTCGAGTCATTGGATAAATTCATGTAGCAGTTTTCCGTGATTACATGTTCATCAAAACTGATTAGACAATCTAGACCTGTAATCATGGTATGAATTCTAGTCAGAGACTTCAGGATAAAAGAACCTTCAGGATACACACACATTCATAGAAACTTCATGAGCCTCACCTCAAAAAGTCGGTATTCAGAATGGCCTAACTGACTGTAGATTTGCATGAGTCTCATGTGGTAGCAGTGTTTTGGGGGAAATCAACCAAAACAAGCTTGCATTGATGTCAACGTTGGGCTACTCAATTTTCACTGTTTAAACGATATTTCAGGGTTTTAGTCCGTGACATAACTGTTTCACTATTCTTGCCTTCTACGTCGACCAGTGCTACAGCATTCAACTTCCTGCCCAAGCTACGCTAAACACTGATCAAACCAAAAAGTAAAAGTCTTACCACACTAACCACTTCTTGGTTTAACTGTGATAAGCAAATTGCACCAACTTAATCAAATATCTCGAATTTGAGCTTTGGGAATGCAACATTAGCCTTGATCTCATTAAAATTCCCTCAACTAGACGTGATGTTCCACACACATCAAAATCACATCTGAGGACCGAGACAATAAAGTACTGTATGCCTCTTCCCTGTCAATATCAGTGTTATAAACTTGACTTAATATACACCTTTATTTCTTTCATGTATTGTTGGTGCATTCAAAACAGCTTTTGAAGTATCTAAATCTATGAGATTATACACTACACTACAGAAAAGAGGAAAAAAGCCATATGGTGTGGGAATCAAATGAAATTGAACCCAGGATCTGATGGAATATTTGAGAACCGCCCCGTGCCTTTTCAAAATTGAATCAGAGAATGAAGATGCAATCGCTTGGCACTTGCTATAGGGGCGTTTGAAATGAACTCCAAGTCTAGCCAGTGAATTTGTTCATTTTAAACCAACTAGTTAAACTACTCTATCTGTCCACTTAATGCAGCTTCCTCAGCTTCACCATCCAGTTCCTGCTCCACACCTTTAACCTGTAATTGCACCATCAGAAGGGGTCAAATGTAAATTACCAATTTCTAAATCCAATAACCAGTTATGAAATTGAACTCCAGAGATTAAAAAAACTGAAACAACTTCCAAGACTCAGATAATTGCTTCTTGCATGGTGGTCAAAATTGACATTTATCTTCTAAAATTGTACAAGTTTAAGAGTTTGGGTTAAGAAAATATATCAACCACACCTAAACCAAGTTTTCAATAAATTCGTAAGCTCCAAGCCGAGTTAGGTGATGAACAACTAACAATGGGGCTTGTTTCATTGGTTTCTGATATATATATATATATATATATCACAAAAGCCCAGCTTCCTCCCCCAACTCTACAGCCTAAACCAGACAAGCCCTAAAAGAGGAAGATGGCTTGCTTAAACTTTTTTGAATATACATTATATATATAAAGGCTGCGTTTTCCCCGTAGAATACCCTCAAAATCTCTCTGCCCAGATGTGTTCCCCCCTTCACAGTGCAAGGCACAGCTCTGCAACGTCTCCCCCAACCCATCCACGTCTATGCATGTTTCTATGGACATGAACTCAAAATTTACACAAGAATATGGTCATAAAAGACAATTTGCCTTTATAATGCAGTATGATTGTTAGAGGCAGAACTTCATGCTTGGTACTCATTTTGATCAATACAAGAATTTCATGATAAAAAAGTTATTAGAGAACTTATTACCTCTGGTACATAATGCATCAGCATGTTCTCAATACCAGATTTCAGCGTCACAGATGAACTTGGGCAGCCACTGCATGCTCCTTGCATTTTAAGTTTCACAATTCCAGTGTCTCTGAATAAAAGAGAATATTAATTAAATCTAAGTAGAATAATATTCAGTATATAAATATATCCCTCCAGCTTTCATTAAAATTCCTTCAAACCAGCAAAAGGGAGCAAGAAGGACTTACTCATCAAAACCTCGATACTCAATGTCCCCACCATCATCTTGCACAGCCGGTCGAATACGAGTCTCCAATAATTCCTTGATCATAGCAACTATTTCAGAATCATCCTGCATGGAATCCATGTATACTAAGTTTAGTCTAGAGCGTCTCATATGTGGTTGATACATATTTATCTGTCTGATCAAATATTCCCAATGGAACTTGGAAATGTTACAGCATGTCTCACAAATTGGGAAAGTCTAGGGAGAAGAGAGAGAGATCAGAGATGCTCATCTAATAAGTACAAATTTATGAACAAAGAGATTCCGTTGATAAATTTTAGTACTAATTGATATAAAGAAAGAAAGAAAGAATAAAAAAAATACAAACAAAAGAATGAAAAAAGAAAATACAATCCAATGAGACTTGTTCGCAGTCTTTGTCCCAATTGTAGACATCAATTCTATTTTGGTGCTATAATGATTAATAAGATGTGGTTACATTGCTCCAAGACACGGTAGCAGAAGAGGGTGGAGGAAGAAAATCATAACTGAAAACAAAAGGTTAAAATGACGTACAGGAGCAGCCAAGCAAACAAATAAAACCCTTGCCTGCATCATATACAAGTTTAAAAAAAAACACCAGTAACAAATTTTTTAGTCTTAGCTGATCCCTTAGCTAGCCTGGATGCAATAAATAATATATACCTCAACCATTCATCAGTTAGAAACAAGATACTAGTGAAATTAAAAAAAAAAAAAAAAAAAACTCATTCACAAAAAAGCAAGCATTCTGTTCTTGTCCAGAAATATATATATTAGATTTATATATATGCATAAAGCTATAGCTCTTGAATTACTCAATAGCAGATGTTTGTCTAATCAATACACGACGGAAGCCTGAGGTAAAGGTTTGCCTCAGAGCAGAAAATTTAGGTACCTCAACTTGTGACTTCAAAAATGATTAGCAGAGTGGTAGTCCTGGATTTTATAATACACAGATCAACAATCCTTGGTTCTAAACAGCCTTCAAACTTCCAGAATCCTAAGCCAGAAACTGAAAGAAATCCCCTACACAAAAGACCCAATAGACTAGCTTAAAAGGCACCAAAGGCGAGCAGCAGATTGGAGGCGTTGCCTGAAGCATACAGGCAATAGCTTCTTGAGCCCATGCCTTGGCAACTAGAGATGTGCCTTTTTTTGGTCAAACATATTTCATAACTAGATGTGCGTGATTCAAATGCCATGAAATAAATTACTTTTATTTCTCTTATCTTTTCTTTTTCTTATTCTTTTTCTTTTTTTGGTTTGGGGGGGGGATGGAGGTGGGGAATAATCAAAGAAAGACAAAGAAAGAGTCAGAAAACAGAAGGGATGGAAAAAAACAAAATTTTCTTAGCCTTCTGGTTGACCTATAAGAAAGGGAGGCAAACGAAAATGACAGCCTCACCACACTCTCAAAGTATTGAGCGTCTAATAGATCTAGTCAGCTAAGCTTATCAGTATGCAATAAAATACCAGAAGACAAAGTACTATCCAGATTTGACAACGTCTCATGTCTTAAAACGGAAGGCCAAAGAAAGATATAAAAGGAAGAAAGAATCAGCTCAAAGCATCTGAACTCAAATATTAGCATATTTACTTCTTGAATAGCTGTATCCATGGCTGCTGCAGATTTTGAGTCCAAAAACAGTGGCTGCCCTGATGAATAGAAATCCATAATTGCTGCGAAGATCTCAGGCTTCAGGAGATCCCAAGAAAAATCATCTGATTTTGTAACAGTGACAAAATCTGATCCAAAGAAGACCCGACTTATACCTGCATTATAAGAGTTAGATTACTTCAAATTATTAAGCCTCTTAGTGCTTGATAAGGAAGTGCCGACTAAGATAAAGAGATTTCCTTTAATGAAATCCTTTCTAGGGAGCCATAAAGAAAAAGCAGAGGGAAGGAAGCTATTTAACCACTAAGCAAGTTTCATAGAAAAACTGCAAGGATATAGGACTCCATGAATTAAACCATAGTCATTCAGATACCAGAAACTCTGATTAAACAAACATATATTGTTGACAGATCCTAAATAACCTACCTCAATAACAGATCATGACATTCCATATTAAATTTAATTTTTAATAAAAGGTTTTAATCAATTATCTATATTTCAATTCACAATTTTTCCTCAAGGCAATGTAACCATGATGAAAGCTCCAGCACAAGAAGCTTCAAATTAGCACTTTGGCACTTCAAAGCTCAAGCTAAAGTTCACCAAGGTCCAGGGAAGCCTTTGTTTTTTTTTGGAAAGAGAAACATAAATATTCTAGTTCATGGATTTGCAACTGTCTTAGTTATAGCCATATAGGAATTTAGGTTTTAATTTAAAATGCTAGGGATTTGTTATAATTAGGATTAAGTGACGTGGAACTTTCAGTCCAACATTTCTATCCAACCAGGACCAACTTGCTGCATCAGTCTATTAAAACAGAGGTAGTACCTGGTGCCCACACAAATTAGAGCTACCATGTATTCTATTCTATATTGCTTCGATTTTTCATTCCCTGTTTCTATCTCCTCTCTTCTCCTTCCATCCCTTGTCCCTCTTTTACTAAGTAATTCACATGCCACATTTTTGTGCCAAAATTGATTTCATTTGGAACCATTGATCCATTTTTAGTGGGGAGACATTTGAAGCAAATAAAAATAATGAAGAAATCACTCACATCAGCGACACTGACTGCTTAGATAATGCAATTTTTGCAGTTGGGGCCAGAAAGAGAACCATACCATCTATTCCAAAAAGTGCTTTTGCTAATGGAGAATTCATGGCAGAACGAGCATTTGGAAAGTCTGCACTTCCAACTTCCATAACAGGCTTCCCGGGGTAAAACATTAATGATGAAGGATTGGGAGTGGACTGTGTTTGGATAAACATAGTCCTCTTTTGCCCTATCAAACAAGAAGGGACAATCATTTGATTGTACTCAGCAACCACAGCCAAATGTCAAAAAACTTCATACATTGACTAGAAATAAAAACTAACAAGAGTAGTCTTTTTGTGTTGTCTAAAGTGAAATGATGACTGCCTTTTAGTAAACACCAGAAACCAATAACTTGCCATAAAATGAATATCCTGGTTCAACTTAATTAGATCAGCCAAGTGCATACATGTCATTCAGATTTAATAAAAATCACAAACAGAAAAATCATATCTACTTTATCTGCAGCAATCTCCATCGAACCCTGTTTTCTCTTCAGCAGCAAAGCAAATGTATAGAAGAAACTCAAACGACGCAATGGAGCTTGGTTTTCCTTTTTATCGTAGATTAAAGCCCCAGAGACCAGAAAGTCACTTTTTTTTTTTCACTTTTTGGGCACCCTTTTGCAGCCAACAAAACTTTAGGAAGTAAAAAAGCCAAAGAAAGTCCCATAATCTAGTTTATTTCTACTTATTCCTGAAGAATTACAATTGCCGCCAACAAAGCAGAATGCATTTATGATCCCAGAGAACATCCATCAAAAGACAAAAACACACCTCCAAAGAGTGTCCATTTCTTTCCATATAAAGAATCTACAGAGGAAGATTGCAACGATGAAAATCCATAGGTAGACAAAGCATGTCGGCTCCCTCGAAACGACGTCGCTGATGAGGCAAAGCGAATGAGACGGCGAGGTATCGATACAAGGCCATGTTCATTCGCAGCTGCCTTCGATGTTTGAACCTGAAGAGCTCGGCCTGCCAATCGCCCAAAGCCCCTCATACCTGATGCTCTGAAATCCCAAGCCTCGTTTCGGCAAGAAAAGTGTTCTTCACAAATATAGTAGGTTCGGTTATTTTAGTTCCCTTTTTATTTAAAAAAAATTAATTTTTTAATCCTTTAATTTTTAATTAACTTATAACTCAATTATGATTCTACGACTTAATCTCTCAACTTTTAATTACCTATAATTCGATCTTATTTTTTATTTTTTTAAAATTTTTATTAAATAAAAGAGATAAAAAATGCTCATATATTATTCTAAAATACTTCTCCTCTTATTGAATGATGTGAAATATAAACTAGTCATTATTGATGTGAGATATAAGTTAACATGAAAAAAAATAACAAAAGTTCAAGATTAATTTATAAATGATTCAAAAATTGAGGAATTGAGTCATAAGTGAGTCATAGTTGAGGGATTGAGTCATAGCGGATTATAGTTGAAAACTGAGTTACAAGTAAATTAAAAATTGAGAATTAAAAAATTAATTTTTTTTTATTTTTTAAAAAAGGTTCGGCTCGTTAATTGTCTTTTTTTGTGTGGTCATTTTGATTTATTTTCTTAGTGCGATTTAAAGTTTAAAAAACTAAATAAATCAAATCAAAACGAAATTATATTCTTCCTCTTTTTAAGAGTTTGTAAATTATATATATTATTTGAAGATAAAATAAATTTTGGTAATCATTTCTCTTTTGTATTTTTTTCATCATACTTGTAATTTTCTACTTTGTTGTTGTTTATTTATTGTTAGAATGTATTTCTGATTTTCTACATCTTATCAAAATTTGTAGAATCGAAATATGAATGCTAGCGGTTTTTATTTTCAAGCGTGTAGATGCCAAATGTTTTGGCGTTTAATTTTTATATTTAAAACTCAATTAGTTTTTTCTTGAAAGAATTTTAATAAAAGCCCTTTGACCATACTTAATTATATTTAAAGCTCTTAAATTTTTAAAATTTTACTACAATTTAAGGGTTTTGATTTGATATTAAATTTTGAAAAAAATAACAAAATTGCTCTACTGCATTTGTTCATTTACTCATCGAATGTTATTAATTGCCTTACTTACTTGTTTATTTCTCTGAAATGAAATCAAGCAAAAGTTTGACAATGAACAAGTGAAGTAGGGCATTGAACAAGTGAAATAAGACAATTATAATAGTCCATAAACAACATATAATATAAGAATCAACAAGTTATCTTAAGATGATTTAAATATCTAAAATGAAATAAGTTAAATAGAACAACTAACAACATTTCGCAAGTAAATAAACAAGTAAAGTAGGAAAGTTTTGATATTAATTTAAAGAAGGGGCAATTTTGTCATTTTTCTCAAAAATTTAATACTCCCTTTGTCCCAAATTATAAGACACTTTTGAAGGAGTTTTCCGTTCCAAATTATAAGGTACTTTAAGTATATTAAAGTTTTATTAAATGCACTAATTTCAATATTATCCTTTCTCTCTCTATAATTAATTTTTATCCTTTCTCTTTTTAATATATTAAATGATAGGTATTTTTAAAAGTTTATATTTTTATTTTGAAAAAAATATTGTTGTTAAGTATATCTAATGAGATTTATTAGTGAATGAAATTTCATCTAAAAGTGTTTTATAATTTGAACAGATGAAGTATCAAATTAGTATCTTTGAATTGCAGTGAAATTTTAAAAATTTAAAAGCTTTGAATGTAATTAAGTTTATTCAAGGGTCCTTTATTAAAATTTTCCTTTTTACCTTTCAGTTTGTAAAATTATTTTTATTTTAGGTATAATAATAGTTAAATTTTAAAAATTGAAAATGTTTTTGAAAAATTAATTAAAAATATCAATTTAAATAATCACAAATTCAGAATTTTAATTCCAGATAAAAATTTAAATTTTAAAGGTAACTCTCATATTATACTTGATATTTATGTTTGTAAATATTTAAATTAATATTAATAATTTATTTTAAAAAAATTGTCAAGAATTTAACTATTTATTAATTTAATTTGTTAAGACCTAACTATCATTCTCTCATTAATTTATAAAAAAAAAACTTATAGGACAGAATGACGAATAATTTATATTTCCATTTGCCTGAGTTTTTTGTTTTTTAAAAAATGTTCAAGGGCACTTCATTTCCATTTTTCTGTTTCTTATCCTTGATAACGGTAGAATACTCCCACTTATTGACTGCATAACTTCTTCGATGTGGGAATGGGTCCATTAAATATAACTTCACCGTAGTGACTTGTTTGCTCAGGAACATTTTTTGAAAGGGAAGCCTTTTGCCTCATACTTCAAAATAGCTATTCTAATATTGAATGCGTGCAAATTTACTTCACACAAAAATCATTAAAAGGTCATAGTAAGTAGAAACACCACAAAAGAAATGCAGAACTGAATCAATCTATGCAGTATGCACAATCCAAGGGGATACACCACATTGACACTCGATTATATTGACGAAACTTCAAACTACTTCGTCTTACTTCCCGTACACGTTTTAATGAAACCAGAATAGAAGCCCTGCGTGCAGACAAATTGACCATGTGAGGTCAGCGGTCTGTCTAACACAGGAATTTCCAGACAACTCAGATCAGAAACTTTCAGTAGCTTGGAGGCGCAAAACAACAAGGCAGGATTCACAATTTCAATAATTATTCTGGCGTAAATGTGTATATTTATGATACATACGCTTTGACAATTTCTCTGTAGTTGCAAACTAAACCTGTTCTGGGGCAGGTGATCATACCATTGTTCTTGTTAGCCATCTCTTCAAGAGCCTGCAAAAGCAAAGCAGCAAAATGAATTGAAAGAATTATATACAGGTCCCATACAAAAAAATTAATCACCACAAGATTTATTAACAACTGAACTAAGGTCAATATATTATCAATGATTTTAGTGCAATTGTTAATGGACCATGTGATAATTAATGTTATTGTGTGAGATTTCAACGTAATTCTCCCAAATGAATTAGCCTAACAGCAAAAAATAAAAAATAAAAGCTTGATGCATAAAAAGCCCAGAATAATAGGGACCTTAGCGCTATAGACATATCCATTTGGCAAGACTTGTGGAGGGTTCCCTGTGTCCATTAGCTCCTTGGTTATGTAGCAGACAAGCTTTGAATGGTGCAACTTGGCATAAGGTAAAGCCAAGGCCAGTTTCTGGAAAGATTCCTGTGACAAAGGGTCCTCTTTTGTGCAATCATCCTTGTAACAGTATCTTAGTAAAGTCAAGGGGAAAAAAAATGCACAATAGACAGCAGTGAATCGTACATTATACGCATGCGAATGCAAAGATAAGAAATGCATTGTGCAAAATTTCAGTATGAACCATGTAATCATCCGAGGGAAGAGTTAAAAATGAAAAGCATCAAGCATGCAAGAGCCATACTTTTGACAAGTTATGGTAGGATTAGATTTGTCAAACCTTAAACACTAGCATATAAAAAAATGAACTTAATTTGTCAAATATACCTTCGCCAATATTATTCTAACACAAGATAAAAAGATGCAAGAACAAATCTCAAAATAGAATATGGATGGAGACCACAAATCCAATAATAGGAGTTCGGTTTAAGTAATAATCCTGGTTTTTTTCCAGTGAACACCACACACATTAAAATATATGACTGTTTAGCTTGAAAATTTATGCTTAGGTTTCATGGTCGACAGCTGACAGATGGAGGTCCTTCAATTATAGGTTAAAGATGAAGGAAATCAACTACATATTTGCTGCAAATTGTACATGGATACGGAGTCTTGAGAGCAGAAAGGCCGGCTTGCAAATATATATTGACCAGAGGCTCCAAAGTCATGCCATTTAACTTAAAGAACTCTTGTTTAAATTGGTCCACTAGATTATCCCATTGCTTTGGCTCAAATAAGACCTGGAAAATATAAGGAAGAAGTCAAGGAGTAAAATGCCAGCTCCAAAAAATATAGGCTAAAAGTTTAGGGGGGAAAAATGAAGGGGAAACCAATATAATATCAAGCCAAACGTGGAGCAAAGAGAGAATGCAGTAGATTCACCGAGGTTTTATCATTATCCTGTTGACGAGTCAGAATGTTACACATTTTTTCTAAGAAATATTCATATGGACCTCGTATCATACAAAAAGACAAATCAACATAAATTGACTTAAAAGTACTTTGAACAGAAATATAAAATCCTTCATGCCCCATATTATAAAGAAAATGGAGAGGTCTTTACCACAACTTTGAAGCATATTATTCAACAAGCTTTATCCCATAAGTGGAGTCAGTTATATGGATTGTTTGATGCTATTGTACTCTATCATTTATTAAAATTTTAAAAATATTATTAATTAAGAGATTTCAGTCAACAACTTCGAAAAGTATTCTCTTTATTCGTCTTCTACCCTCTTGATAGGGCTTAAAATTATTAATTCTACTCTCCTCACAGGTGCATCCTATGGTCTTCTTTGTACATGTCCAAATTATCTTAACGATTTTCTACCATTTTTCCTTCACTGGGTGTGATGCCTACTTTTTCCACATGCACACATTTTGAATTTTATCTTTACGTGTATGTCTGCACATCTATTCAACATTCTCATCTTTTTTACTCCAACTTTATGCTCTTGCTGTCTTATTAAAGCCCGACATTCAATATCATATAATATCGCTAGTCTTATAGCAGTTCAATAAAACTTTTCTTTAAGTTTATTAGGTACCTTACAATTGCAAATAACTCCTTTAGCTTTTCTTCCATTTAACCACCTAGATTGTATCCTATGTTCAACATCTCCATTAATTTTCCCATCATGTTAAATAATAACTCCCAAATATCTAAACTTTTTCAATTGAGGTATAATCTAATCTCCCAATTTCACTTCCAAATTACTACTCACTGACCTCTTATCAAAATTACAATTTAAATATTCTGTTTTACTCCTCATCAAGCCAATCCTTCTCTCCTTTCCATACCCATTTCATCAAAATTATAATTCATTAGAGAATTCTTACAAAATGATGATAATCATATAAGGAGGATATTGGAAGGGTTAGTACATAATTTATCTACCAATGTCATACATACGAGCAAACAATGCCATGCTTAAACATATATACTTGCTAACCAAATAATGTTAAATACCGTCAACATTGGAAGAACTACTTATGTCACTGATGCAAAATTTGCTTAGAAACAAGAAGGGTAAGGCTTACCTTGTATGTAGCACATTCAGTATCTCTTTTAAAAGCTAGTGTAGCCATGGCTCGCTGCAATTCTTTCAAGTGGGTGGCAGCCCATGGTGCAAGATATTTTCGGGCATATTTTATGGCCTGTAAATAGTTCTCAGCCCGTACCATCTCAATAAATTCTTGAAGTCTCAACTGAAGCTCCAATTTACTCTGTTGTCAATAAACTTTGCATTAAAATAGCAAGCATGCTGCAACACCTCAATTGTGCAGCGCTATTATTAATGTACTCGTGGAATGTTATATGGGCAGTAATTCAAAGAAGGCATTAGCAGAAGAAACAAATGAAAGAGAACACCAAGCTGTTTTAGACATTTCGTTTTACAGAGGAAAACCATAAAGTCTGTAAGAACAAAAAAAATATTATTTATTAGCATTCAAATCATAGGATGTGCCAACGACTTATCACAATCTCACAACTTTCTCACATCTTGTTACAAAGAAATTCACTTGTTATCCCATTAAGTGCCCTGGTAAATGAATTTGCTAGTTGATCTCCTGTTTGAACATAGAAATTGCTAATCATGTTCAGTTGAATTTTCTCCCTTACAAAATGATAGCACACTCCAATATGTTCGTTCTTTTTATGAAAGAGTGGATTAGACAATACATGCATGGGCATGACTGTGTAATTATCGCAGCATAGCTTCATAGAAAATACTGCCTCTATTAGAGGTAAAACACTCTTAATGGGTTACTGACGCACTAACCAAGAACCCAGTGCATCATAAATTTTGACCTAACTATCATACACACTATTCTATGCTCCACCTCAAGCTGCAAACTATCCAAACTTCAGCTTGTTACAAAGAAAATTAAATTAAAATTAAAGCAAACAAAATTAAAACCTAGACAATGGGCCACAAGCAACATAGCCACATAATCTCAATTCAAGAACTTCAGCAGCTAAAATTTTATCTAACAATCTCCTTGCTACACATCAGACAAACAGCACTCAAAATTCTTCAACCAGCTTGATAGGATCCAAAATGGGTAGAGAGAAATAAGGAACATAAATCTCTATTAACACATGAAATTAGAATCTAACTTCATAATATTACTAAAAGAACATAGAACTGATAGAAGTAAATAGAAGGAATAAATCGATCATGATGATATAAAACAAGAATCTCATTCTATATTTTTTTAATAACCACTGCTTAGGAGAATCTCAAAAGGGCCAAAAGTCTCAAAAATCTGTTTTATTCATAATATGCTTGCTTCTAAGTTGCTAAACATATTTATAATGCTAAATACAATTTAAAATAACCAATAAGATCTAGATAACTAGATAATTAAATAAAACTGAATAAAATCTCCTAGAATCTATATCTATATAAAATACTAAATAAAATCTAAAGAACTAAATATCTGAATAAAATCTAAATAACTAGATATCTGAATAAATATATAAATATCTAAATAAATATCTAAATATTTATATAAAATCTAGATAACTAAATACCTACATAAAATCTAAACTATATTATTCAATAGAAAATATCTAAAATAAATTAAAAATAATATTTATTCATAATATCCATCTTCCCAAATCACCCATTATTTCAAAACTCTATTATAGCTTCTCATGTATGGCAGCTACTTTAATATTCTTATAGTAGCTCCTGTCACTTAGAAGTTTTTCAACTTTCTTCTCTCTATTCATCTCAACCTTCTCCTAATTGTTTTTGCAAAAAAAAAAAAAACAAAGGAGAGAGGGAACTAAAGGAAGAGAGAAGGAGAGACTAAGGCCTCAGTACTACATCAGGCTCTTTTTTTTTTTTGGCATACAGTTCTAGGAATACACTAAGAGATGTATATATATTATAAATACTACAACAACAACAAAAACAACATGCCTTATCCCACTAGATAGGATCAACTACATGAATTGTCCGACACCATTATACCCTATCATCAACCAAGCTCAAGGAATATTATTAACCAAGAGATCTTGTTCAACAATTTTCATAAGTGTTTTCTTCAGTTTTCTATTCATCTTTACAAGACTCAAGATTATCCATTTTACTCTCTTTATTAGTACTTTCCACGACCTTCTTTGTACATGTTCAAATCATCTCAAATGATTTTCTATCATTTTTCCCTCAATAGATGCCATGTCCACTTTTTCTTATATATGCTCATTTCAGATTTTATCTTTTCATGTATGCCCACACATTCATCTCAACATTCTAATCTTGGCTACTCTAATTTTGTACTCTTGTTATCCCTTAAAGCCCAACATTAATTATCATACAACATAATTGGTCTTATAGCAGTTCGATAAAACTTCCTTTTAAGTCTATTAGGTTTCTTTCGATCACAAATAACTCTTTTAACATGTCTTCATTTAAACCACCCAGCAGCTTGTATCAGAAATTAATAACAAATTAAAGCATAAAAAAATAAAAGGAAGATATTGAAAATAAGTAAGAAGATGAAAACAAATATTAGTTTGACTATTGCAGAAAATTCCTCATGTGAACCAACAATTTTGACCATTTGGGTTGCACAATAAGGCACGCACAACTCCAATAATTAGGTCTTCGATAAGAAAAACTCAGAATCTTTATTCGTTACAACTCCCTAGGTTGTACCTAAAGCTTCATTGCTATCTTCACAATACTAACTCAGATAAAAATAACAATTCACACTTCGAAGGAAAGAGCTCAGCTCATCTACACCTTTCCAATGCTGGAGCTAATGAATACAACGTCTTGCTCCCCCAAAGCTAAGAAACAAAGCTTCCTGAATTAGGAAAATTTCTAAAGCACACATTCTAAGAAGGCACCTACCTGCTCAATATCTAACCCTTCCATTAATAGAATTTGTCAAAACATATCTCTCTTTGCCTGGCCCAAACTAGTTTTCATAATTTTTCAAACAGCACCATAAGGTGGATATCATTCCTTCTGGTAAAAATCAATCAGGAAGTTGGGGTAGATCTTGGAAAAAATGCAGATAAACACATTTTTCATGTATAAGGAAAAAGAATATATGTAGAAAAAATTATTAAGAAAGTCAACTACCCACAAGTTACAAATAAGCCCAAACCATTGTACAAACCTTTGACTTCTTCAGCCTTGACTTGTTCTCTGCACACCATGCCAAGGCAGGTGCAACATCCTTGTTTCGTAAAGCATCAATTACCACTTTTGCTTCCTGGAATATATCAATATCAACGAGATTCTGATGCACAAAAATTGAACATAGCCACTGTCAGATCCAAAGTTACACAAGAAGCAAATCGCAAGCTACATACTACTCTGGGAAGAATTACAGGAACATGATATTTGCTAGCACTCATGATGATCACCATATTCATCACGACAAATAGATTTTGAATGCTCCTCAAACATATATGTAACTTTATTTGATATTTTACCCATCATATGTAAAGGATCAAACTCCGATGATAGTGATTCTAAAGGTGCTTCCATAAACTGAACTTCAGATTTATCATGCCCACAGTCTCCTACATCAGCAGAGGAAATAAAGCTGAAATTCATTTTTCAACTTTTGGGAAGGAATTCATAATACCTGGAGTTTCCAGTTAGTTCTATGAACATTGAATTTACTTCTCCAGTGTTAGGGGCAGCATATGCATTTTGAGTATAGACAAAAGAATTACAATATCAATGACATTCAAATTGACACCAAAGTAAAAAGATTCTTAAAATGGGGCCAAATATAGTGTGGCCAGCCTCACAAATAAGTATCATGATTTTTAGATTTACATGATGGCTTCTGCAACCTTCAAAATGATAATGCTCCTAAGGTGGGAATGAAGGATTTATAAGGACAGGATTTCTCAAGGAAGTTCATGCTTGATCTTTACTACTTACAAACAATGAGTTTTCTTTTAAATCTGGATCTAGAAGACACGCATCATCACCAAGTGAAGTCACCAAAGAATTATTTAGAACTTTTCTCCTCCTCCCCAACCCCTTTCAATCAAAACTCCATTCCCAAATGTCAAAGATATATATTCTTGGCATCGCGTACTAAAGCATATTAAACATAAATTTCCTTGGCACAGCTAGCAAGTTGAATACAACACATAAGAGCTGCTAGGTCTGGTTTAGTGATGAGGGGTATGGGCAGTTAGTCAAAGATCTTGAAAGGTGTTTTAGCACCAGAACAGATGATATGCAGGTCAGGAAAAAAATAAGGAGACTTGGATATAATGAATAATCAAAATAATTATCGTTTGATCTAGATATGAAAAATCCCCAAGATAACATATTCATTGATTCCTCAAAAACATCACATTTCACTACAGATAACACAAAATAAAAGAAACCCATCTTCAAAGAAGAATCTAAAATTAGAAAAACTACCTGTATCTTTCTGCATTCAGTAAGTTTCACTGCTGTGTCATAATATGACATTCTCAACATGTAATCAACAAGAATCCGGTTCAGATGTGTGCCATTCCACTCTGACATATTTTCTTCAATAGCAGATTCTAAGTGATCAAGACGTACACGACACTTTTGTGCTTGCAAATGCTCCACTCGATTTCCTTCCTCCAACTTAATCCAATTTTGAAATGATTATCATCATAAGTAAGCTTATAGGAACAAAGAGTAACCTTTTTACAACGGGACAATCACCAAGGGATGAAATAAAATCACTGAAAATGGGAAGGACAAAACATGATGAAAAATACTACTACTTCATCAAAAAAAGAAAGAAAGAAAGAAACCAACTCCTCAACCATTTAATAACCACATTACAATTAAAACATTTGTGTCATTCGTGATGCATCAAAGACTTCGCTTGTCCTCAAATTGATTTATAATTTTAAATCACAAGCGCAAATTAGCTCCAAATCTGGTCATATCTTGGGACTTCTAATAATAAACACATCAGACACAAAATCTTTTGCAACTGCACTGAAATGTCGAAAATAAAAAGCCCTTAACTTAGATCATCACTTTAGAAATCAATAAAACTGAATGAAAAAAGAAAAAGATTCACTCTTCGCAATGTCAGAAAAAAAAAGAAGATGAAATTATGCACTTAGCATAACTGAGTCAAATTCAAATCAAGATTTGCATGAGCAGTTACCTTCCTCTTCAAACCGTGTAGTTTAGAGACAAGAGAGTTTAGGCGGTTGACAGCATCACCAGAGGACAAATTTCCGTCAGTGGTGACATCAGAAACGCCGGAGATAACAGCAGAGATCTCTTTCTCGGCGACACGGTGGTTAGCTCGGATCGCCTTCTTGTAGTGCTCAAAAGGGACCCTCAACAACTGGTGCTCAAGCTTCAGAGACTCGGTCAGTTGGGCAAGCCTTGGCGAAGAACGAGATGCGTCGGCTTCGAAGATGAATTCAATTGGAACAGAATCATCCATTTCCATTTTGGGAAGACAGTGGACAAATGAAATCCAGATATCCTACATGCAGTCAGCCCTCCCGCGTATTGTTACAATGAGATTATAAATTTTTAGATATTTTTTACCATGTTTAAAATTATGATTATTTTAAAAATAGGAAAAACATTTGTAAAAATTTTTGATAAGGTTTTCAAATCTAGATTTGTGTAAAGCAATCGCATTAGCAGGGATTATTTCAGCAAACAATTAAGGGAGTAACTAGAAATTATATTTTAAAGGAAAATAATTAAAATTTTTTTTAACCACTAAGCTACCAAATTCCTTTAATAATATTTGAGAGTTTTTTTTAAGATGAAATGAAATAAAATAGAATGACTTTGAAATTATTTTTATTTTTTTTAAAACATATTTTAATAATTAAAAAATAATTAAAATAGGTGTTTTTTATTTTTTTCTTATTCTCCAAAACAGTAATTCTAAAATATCTGAAAGTTATTTCTATTTTTTTATTTTTTGAAATAATATTTTATTTTTTGGTTTTCTAAAATATATTTTAAAAACATATTATCAAACAAATTTTTTTTATTCTAAAAAATAAAAACTTTTCTCAAAACAGATTGTCCAATAAGTAAAAGCCTTATGCTATTATTTGAGAGAATTTTTAATAAAAAAATGAAATAACTGAGGTGGCCTTTTTAAGTCTTTTTTACTATCTTAAACTCATTTTTGTTAAACCTAATTTGAGGTTTGAGTATGAAATATTATGATATAAATAATATTATTATAGAATAACCATCTTCCTCCTCACCTTCTCTTACTCTTTCTCATTTTAAAACTGAAAAATATAATTAGATCTAATTTAAATATATTAATTTTATAATTATTATAAAATAATAATTAAATAAAATCATTTATTCCTTTAATAAACCTACCAAACAATAGAATGATTTATTGGCTTCCACCCAATCTCATTTCACCCCATTTTATTTAATTAGAGGTTAATGGATAAAATAGATTCTGAATTCTTACTTAAAAAGTGTCCTAAACCTTGAACCATTAAAATATGTAAAATAAATTCTAAACTTTTAAATTTGTGACAAATTAAATCTTATTGTTATCTTTTTTTATCACCATTACTGTTCACTGTGGGCCACAATTAATTAGCACCACAGACTCAAACATATTACGCAAGTAGTATTTTAGACTTTAAATTTTAAAATTTCAAGCAAACTATCCCTAACATTTATGTATAAAACGTTGACTATTATGTAAATTAAATTAGTCTCGCATGATTTGCGTGCAGTGAATGCATCGTTAATTGTAGCAAACGACTCATAATTTTGTGAAATGACATTTTTTGTACTTTTTTGTAATGTTTTTTAAATAATTAATATCTCATGCTTCCATATATTCTATAATTTTGATTTAATCTTATTTTAATATCAAAGAGTTTTAATTAATCAATTACTTTGGGTTTTAAATTCGTTAATAAAATTGTCGACTTTTGTATCCATTGTCTATAAAACTCTATGAAACTTAAACTTTTTTTTAAATAGGATCCTAAGTTTTCACCATTAAATAAATAAATATTATTTAAAATAAGATTAAATCATATTATAAAGTATACAAAAGTATAAGAAACTAATTGTTTGGAAAACATTGCAAAAAATTGGCAAAAACGTCATTGTACAAAATTATGGGTTGTTCGTTGCGGCCAACGATGTATTTACCGCGATAGCTGAGACTAATTTAGTCTGCATAATAATTAACATTTCATACATAAATTATGGGAGTGATTTGCTTGAAATTTTAAAATTCAGTGTTTAGGATGCTACTCGGATAATAATTTAGAATCTGTGGTGCTAATTAACTACGGCCCACGTAAACAGGAATGATGTTAAAAAAGATAATGGTAGGTTTAATTTGTTATGAATTTAAAAGTTTAGAATTTATTTTATACATTTTAAGAATTTAGGATCTAGGGTGTTTTTCGAGTAAGAGTTCAAGATTTATTTTACTCAGGCATTTCATTTTATTATATACTTTTAAACATACCCTGAATCATATAATGTAATAAATGTGTGCATAAATTAATTTATAAGCTACTGGTTTATAAGATGGATATGACTTATAAAAACATTAATTTAATTTATTATTTTATTAATTTAAGAAGAATAGTTTGTAATTTTTTATAGTTTTTTAATTTAAAATTAGTTCTTGTAATTTATTTTTTAAAATTAAATTTTTATAAATTGATCCATTTATTTCTTTTGAAGATTGAAATCTTTAAATTTTTTATTTTTAAAAAATAAAATTTATCACTTTTATAATTTTATTAAAAGATTATATAATTTTAGAATTAATTATACATTTTTTATAAATTTAAATTTATATAATTAGATTATGTCTTATAAAATGGTAAAGGGAGAAGATTTAATGAACTCAATTTTTTAAAAATGATTAGAAGATACAACTTTTAATACAGATAAAATCTAAAGGAGATAAGTAAATAAAATTACTTAAAACAGGGGAGAATGTTTTAATATGTCTTGCATTGTGATGGAAGAAGGTTTTTAAGTATTTGTTTCAGATTCACCATTTATTTTTTACTGTGTGTCCCATATTTATAATCTATTATTTTTATTTAATATATAATAATAAAGAAAATTATTATAAAAAATATTTAAAAAATAGGTTAGACAATAGGGGAGAGATTTTTATATAACCTGGACCTACACAAATTTTTATAACCTATTTTTTTTAAATTAATACTGTTCTCCTATGAATTAAAATGTTTTTATATAATTTGGATCCACTCAGATTTTTATAATCTGTTTTTTGACACTACTACTGTAGAACAGTAATCCTCCGACTAGAATTACAAAGGAGGGGGATTTTAACAAGATGGTTTGTAAATTTACAGTCATAAGTGAGATAAGAAGATTGATAATAATTTTCATGCTGTGTTGTGGGAGTGAAAATTCCATTGTACTTCAAAGTTCAAAGCACTCGGGATTTCAAAGCGAGGGGGTAAGGCTGTAGTTGGTCTTACTGCCAAAATGGTTTCTGCTAGTTCTTTAGCTTTGGACCTCGTAAGCAGCCATTGCTGAATCTCTCTACAATCTCCATCCCTCAAGCTTTTTTGTTTTTTTTGTTTTTTTTATTTTTTCTCTCTTCATTTTGCAGGCTTTTCATTTTGATTTCCACAAGAATTTCAGTTTGAGGCCTTTCAGAAAGCCAAGAATTCGGGCTCGCTTCTCCCAGGTTAGCTTCCTTGTGATTTTTCTTTTCAAACCTTCCTTTCCTTGCTCTGTTTTTTTTTTTTGCTCCTAAGGGGGGAAAGAAATTACTCATATTCCGCTTTGGGCTCTTCTCTCATATAATTAATTTCACTTACTATCGTCAATATGTCATTAATAACGGTGTTGATCCTACGATTGCATTTGAACATATTGGCCTTGAGGCTTCATTAATTTGCTTCAGACTATTGGATAGATTGTTGACGACTTTGTTATTTGATGGCTAAGACCTTTCATACTCAACTCATTTTTGATTCACTTCGAATTATCAAGGCTTGAGTGGAAAGTTCAACTTCAAGTTGTTAATTACACCCATTAAATTTATGTAGGTGAAAAGTATACTTTTTTTTTATATAAGAAATTAAGAATTACTGGACAATTACTCTCGTTCAAAATAAATTTGGAGACTCGTGATTTCGTGGAAGCGAATTTATCGGAGTTGTCATATTTATAGCAATAGATATGAATTGAGAACAGATATTGAACACAAGCACCATTAGGAAGTTATGTTCTTCAAACATAAAGCTAGAATATAGAAATGGATATATGATGGGAAAATTGTGGTTTGTGTGTGAAAGATACGGCTTTCTAACTTCAATCAGGCAAATTACTTCAATATTGTCTCTTTCAATGTATATCAATGTATATCTAGATTTCATTTGGTTTTGTAGCTGATACTCCTAAGATAAATTTAAAAGTGGTTAATAGAAGTAGCGAGACTACTTTTACCGAATTACTTTAAAATATGTATTTGAAGCTTTTACGCATGGTGGCCCCTCTCCTTGAGTTAGAAGAGTTCATTGAATCAATCTCCATCAAGTGCTAAAATCGGTTGGTCCCTTCAACATGTCTGGCAGGAAATAAACCTATCAAAACCAGCAGAAGAGCAAGTTACATCCATTAAGGCAGTGACAACCATATCGGACAAAGAAGACCATATTTTGGGCCATGACAATTCAGTGCATAAGCGAAAGAGCCTACCTCCATTAGTCAGTGCATTGAAAGCCTCAGCTGAACAAAACACTGCCAGTTTTCACTTCCCTGGACACAACAGAGGGCATGCTGCTCCTGATTCACTTACTCAGCTCATTGGGCGGAGACCATATGTTCATGATTTGCCTGAGCTTCCAGAGCTTGACAACCTATTTTGTCCCCAGGGGCCCATATTAGAAGCACAAAAACAAGCAGCCAAACTATTTGGATCATCTGAGACATGGTTTCTTGTTGGAGGTACTACTTGTGGCATCCAGGCGGCAATAATGGCAACATGTTCACCAGGAAAATTTCTGATTCTTCCTAGGAATTCTCATTTGTCAGCCATATCTGCTATGGTATTGTCAGGTGCACAGCCTAAGTACATCATCCCTGAATATAACAATGATTGGGACATTGCTGGTGGTGTCTACACATTACAGGTGATTCAGATAAATGTTATGCTTGATCACAGGGATGGGACAGTTTCTCTGTTGTCCTCTCAGCTTTTAACACAAGTTTATCATGTAAACCTGTAGAACAATATGGTCAAAACCATTAAAAGGGCAGCAAGTTTACGTATTGTGGCTGATGAATATTTTGCTCATAATAGTTGACTTACCTCTCTTAATACGAGTAATTTCTTTTCTTCCTCTAATGTTGCATAATCTTATAGGTGGGATGGCTTGTTGTTGTACAGGTATTGAATGCAATCCAGGAGCTTCAAAGGGAAGGTCATGAAGCTTCTGCAGTTCTCATCACTTCACCTACTTATCATGGTATCTGCAGTAGCTTGAGTGAGATTTCTGAGCTGTGTCATTCTCATAAAATTCCTCTGATTGTTGATGAAGCTCATGGTGCACATCTAGGATTTCATTCTAAACTGCCTAAATCAGCTCTCCAGCTAGGGGCTGATCTGGCCGTACAGTCCACTCACAAAGTTCTGTGCTCTCTTACTCAGTCATCTATGTTACATATGTCAGGTAATATTGTAGCTAAGGAAAGAATTTCTCATTGCCTCCAAACTCTTCAAACCACAAGCCCTAGTTATCTACTGTTGGCTTCTCTAGATGCTGCAAGAGCTCAACTAAATGAAAGTCCTGATACTGTTTTCAATCAAGCTATTGATTTAGCCTTTGAAGCACGATACCTACTAAAAAACATCCCAGGCATCTCAGTGCTTGAGAATTCAAGCTTTCCATTATTTCCGGCTATTGATCCCTTGCGGCTTTCTATTGGTTTTTGGCAGCTTGATTTATCTGGATATGAGGCTGATGAAATCTTGTACAGGGATCATGGAATTGTCTGCGAACTTGTTGGGAACCAAGCTATCACTTATGCATTTAATCTTGGAACTTCTAGGGATCATGTTCAAAGGCTTGTATCAGGAATAAAGCATCTGGCTGCAGCATATGCATCCGTTCCACAACGTGAAACGACAGTGTTCTCCTGTGTTGCACCCTTTGATGATATAATCATGAGTTTGATACCAAGAGATGCCTTTTTCGCAAGTAAAAGGAGAGTAACATTAAGAGAGAGCCTTGGTGAGGTTTCTGGGGAGCTTATATGTCCATACCCACCAGGCATACCTGTGCTGTTCCCTGGTGAAGTTATTACTGAAAAAGCCATCAATTATCTGTTGCATGTTAGAAGTAAAGGTGCTGCAATTACTGGAGCCTCTGATCCCTCAATTTCTTCTATAGTTGTCTGCAATGTATAGAGTATGGCCGGGCGGAAAATAATCTGTAGTTGAAATTGGAAACTGCAGGAAGTGATGCAAAATTTAAAAGAGGAGAAAAAGAAAAATGGTAAATCTGAGAACTGCAGGTGAGCTTTCCCTCACTTGCCACCAGAAGGTTGATTTGAGCACAAATTGTCTTAGAAGATTGGCCAAACGTGTCCAGAGTCACAGCTTAATGAACTATCTGGCAATCGATGATACATTGCATACAGTTCAAAGGACAACGAGACACTCGAAAGCTGAAAGAAGCAATCCTTTCGAAGTGTAAAAGCTATGGCCAGAGACAAAACGAGCAACGACCTCTCCACCTGAACATGGCCAGAAAAGGTAAAAGATACACAATTAAGAAAATTAGTATAATTTAGAATTTTTTTGGGTGGATTCAATGTAAAATATTAAAATAAGAATAAGAAAAATCGACTAATTATTTTGTATCATGATGTTTAATGATCTGTAAATAATTATTCTCCTCCTTTAGTATCACAAAAACATAAACCAGAGATTGCAGAGAAGTTAAGACCAAACAGAACAGTATGCTACCAGTTATTTTGTTTGTCTTCTCAATCTTTTTCTATGATGATTTCCAGGTAAATGATCTTGTTTGTGAGCTTCAATCAATCTCACCATAAGTTAAATGCTTATCCTATACTCTTTCCATTAAAAAATGTAAGGCATTTTTGTCTTTCGAGGTGTAATCATTACCTTTTTTCCAAAAGTGCCCTTATTGATGAATGACTTTATATTTATTATAGGGTGTTTAATAGGAGTAAATATGAAAAGATAGGGTTAGTTTAAAAGTAGGTAACTACTTTATTGAGAGGGTGAGATTTGGTTAAAATGCTTTATATTTTTTAACGAAGAGAGTATTTGTTAACATGGTTTTTATGTTGATACAATAATAAATTCTAGAAATATCTTAAAGCAAACTCGGAGTCCAACTTATAATTTGAAATTTGAAATTTGGTAATCATTTGATTGTGCTGACCTCGTTTGTGTACTATACACTTACTCATCATTATTAATTAATGTCAATCAATTAATCATTATTAATATTAATACTAAACATAAAATCTATGAAAAGTAGTATGCTTTTTTTGGACTCTGCAATGCACTAAAGTTCATTTAGTTATTATGATAATTATTTCTTTTTAGTGATTGCGCGAGTCTATGTTAAAAGCCATGCAAAAGAAAAACAAAATTATGCTAAATCAACAGTCAGGAAATTGTTACACCCTAAAGTTGGCGTGCTAAGAAGCCTAATGGTGTACTTATAATTAGCACAATTATTTATCTCTTCATGGACATGATAGAGAATGACTACTAATCTCATAATAAAATCTTTAATTTCTATCAATTAAAGTTAGCATCTTTGGAAGGACTCTCGTCATTTAAATAAGTGATTGAGAATTAAAATTTTTGCCTTTTTATAAATAACAATTTAATTGAAAGAGATATTCTTGGCTCCTGGTATCTCAAAGGAAATAATACTTGTTGATAGAGTTTACTCTTTGTGCTTAAAAAAAAAAAAGTCTCTATCCTCCTTGATCAAAATTATTCCAAGTGGATTATTCAATGAATATTCATTTTGAATGAGCTCAAAAAACTTTTGACAAATCATTATAGACATTGATCTTATCATATCCTTGATTCTAGCATATTTTCAATGCTCAAAACTTCGTCACTAGCTGGCAATGACAGGAAGGAATTCGAGTTTCTTCCCTTATCCTAAAATATCGTATGTGTATCGTATCAAACCTTTTTAGTATGGGGTTGGTGTTGCAAGTCAGATTTGCAGTCTGAGCTGCAATATATATATATATATATATATATATGGACCAACATACATGCATGGTTTTATTGGTTGATCATTATTCAAACCCAGCCTTATATAAAACATTCTTCAAATTATATGTAGTTTATCCACGAAATTTGAGTATAATTTACTGTCAAAATATTAATGTTACATAAGATTTTATATTTAATTTTTCATTTTTTGGGATACAATTATCCATTATAATTTTCATTTTTATTTTAATTATATCCAGATTCTCTCTTTCTTTCATATTTACGTATGCATCAAATTCAAAACATGTTCTCACTACTGGAAAATTTTAAAACTTAGATTTAGATGTCTAAGCAACAAATTCTGCACTCTAATTTTGAACACACTATGTATAGTTATATATATTAATACATAAGTTGTAGAAATTAGGGTTAAAGTTTAATTTTACTTATGTACTTATTTTTTAAGAGCGCTAGGCAGACCATTTTACTTCTGAACTATTTCTTTGAGAAGAAAAAAAATTCTTTTATTAGTCAACTATTAATTTTTTCATTTTTCATTAACGTAATATGAGCGTTAGGTACCTTGAAATCTTGTTAAAATAAAATTTAATAAATATTGTTAAAATATTAAATATTTTAATATTTATAATTTAAATATTAATATTTAAAACATTGTACCATCCAATTTAATATTTTCATATTTTTGATATTTTGCCATTTTGTATAAAAACAAAGGGAATAAACCTCCAAATTATGGAAGGAATTTTTTTACAGCATATTAATAGAATAAGCAATATCTTTCAAATAAATATTTTTGTTAGAATATTGTTGGTCTTGATTTGTCAAATTTATAATTTTACTCCTAATACTGCAATGTATAGAGAGTACTAAGTTTGAGTAGTGTAATATTTTTGAAAAAAAACATTAGTTTACTAAAAAATTATAGAAAAATGATCTAAAAATTTAAGAAACTTAATCAATATTAAAATATAAATAAGTTCTAACACGCACATAAGGCGTGACAATTTGAAGATTGAAGATCAATATATAAAAATAAGAAGTCATTTATAAATTTAAAAATATTAGTTTGAGTTGTTAATATTTAAAAAGTAATTTATAAGTTTAAATTATTAAAGATGAAAATATTTACTATTTTAACAATATTTATTAAATTTTATTTTAATAAGACTTGAAAGTATTCAATACTTCTAGAAAAAAAAATTAGGATGCTTAGTACTCCTTTAAAAAGAGTTTAGGAGCAAATTAACACTGAATAATAAGGTTAGAGTCTTACCTATCACTATACATAAGCCCTATGCACATATCGCATTAGCAAAAAAGGATAAAGTTAATGGCCTTCTAACAAAAACACATTTTTGGACTTAAAAAAAAATACTTTAGAAGAAAATTGTCCTACTTAAAATTATAAGGTACCTAGCGCTCCTAAAAATATATAGGGACAAAATAAGATCTCAACTCTAAAAATTATTGTCTCATATGCAACTTGTGAATAATACTCATCTCTAATTCTATGCAAATAATTTTCAAATTAAAGTTCCTCTTATCAATTGAATGAGACAAGCTTTCATTTATTGACCAAAAAATGGCGCAAAAAATAGGATTGCATAGAAAGTGAATATGGTGTATAAACCAATATAAACATTGAATTTTGGATCAATAAATGAATCAAATTAATTAATTTCTTGGAATATAGGAACTTTAATGATTAACTAAATTAAGAAGAAAGGAAGATGAGAAAAAGTGGCCAAATATGGAGGTTTGTTGGAGGTCAAGGTCAAAATTCCATGCAATAAGTTAGAAAACCACAACAAATTAACCTGAAATAATGCCAAAATCCCTTAGGAATATTGATTCAACTCCTCACCGATGAATTAAAATTCTTTCCAAAACAAATTGATATTTGTTTTTCATTTTCCTTTTTGTTTTTAAGGGAAAATAATAGAGATTCCCCACGTTGCAAATCCTCAAAATCAAGGCTTCAACCTTCCCAAACTTTCTTCAGAAAGTCTTGTTTAAATTTTCCATAAGGTTCATAGCCCAGGTTCTGATAATTCTTTCAGAAAGGGTTTGCAACATTAATTCTCACGATATATATATATATATATATATTTCTAAGGTGCGTGTTCTGGGTTTATTCTATCATGTATCATTCTCATGAATGTGATATATATTTGCGTTTTTTCTTTCTGGATATGTCTCATGCATATTAATTTGTTGGGTATAGGTTTTTCTTATATGCATGTAAGTTATCAAACACTGCATATATGTGCAATTTCAATGTACGTATATGGGTTTGAATGTCTAAAACCTTAATTTTGCTCTAAAATAGCCAACAATCAATGCAGGTTTCCGGACATTATTCGAACATAATAATCTTCGGTGATGAATCCCAACTTACCATATTATGGTTCCTGCAGTGTTCATTAAGAGGCATGCAATTTCGGAAACTTGTGACTTAGGTTCAGTCACGTAGATATATATATATATATATATATAGCGAGAGAGAGAGAGCCTGATCATTGGCCAGAAACTGATCGAGAATAATCAAGTTATACGGAGGGTGGTTTCGAGTGAGACTATATGTAAGCAAGTAAAATAACATGGTAACAGCAAGAATCAGGAGAATAGTGTCATCACCTTGCTGGAGATCATCTCGTACTGAGGGTGAGAACAATAATAATTCTAGTAAGAACGGGGATGCCAATGGTCGTGTCGATGGATTATTGTGGTACAAGGATTCTGGGAAACATGTGAATGGAGAATTCTCGATGGCTGTTGTTCAGGCCAATCATTTGCTGGAGGATCAAAGCCAGCTTGAATCAGGTTCATTGAGCTCATTTGAAGAAGATGGTCCTCAAGGTACCTTCGTTGGGATATATGATGGCCATGGAGGTCCTGAAGCTGCTGGCTTTGTCAATGACAACCTTTTCAAGAACATCAAGAGTACGTTAATTTAACATTATTTCAATGTTTTCGTCTTATTCTGTGTCATACACACACCCCCACCCCCCCAAAAAAATCCATTAATATATATTTATATATTACATTTGCTGCACTTCTATTTACATGGTCAGACCTCAGACTTGAATATGTGTTGAATTTTCATAGCCCTAGCCCTCACCCTAACTTCATTAGCATGTTCCACTTGTGAAGAGGTTTCTTTATGATACTCTAACACGGAGATTATAGAAAGATACGGGATCGATCTCAGTCATAAGATGAGACTCACAATACAGACACTGCTTTATTTCTCTCTTTAACTTCAACTTTTTAAAGTATTTTAAAAGATCGATTTTATTCATGTTAAAGTTTTTGGGCTTAGAAAGCCCTAAACAAAGATCCTTCAGAACTTGTTTAATTTTCATTAAAATAGAAGGAACAAGCACGCACACGCACACACACACACACGCAAAGACTTGAGGTAAACTTGTACATGTGCGCGTGCCATACATTTGGATTTGGGGTGTTTGTAAGCTCAAAATCTCAACCCTTTATTTCAACTAATGATCCGAGCAATTTTATCTAATTTCCTAAATGAAGGGTTGGGATTTGGTGCATTAATAAGCGAAGCAGCAGAGAAGGCATCATATGCCCAAGATCTCATATATTTATGACTATTTTTCTAAATTTGAGGTGTCTACTGCCCTCTTTGTTGCTCCTCCTAATGCTTAGAATCTCAACCTTTAATGAGATTTTAATTAAGTATTAGAAAGGGTAATAGAGAAGACAAAACCTAGGTTGCATAGATATGGGTACGAGTATCCAATACGATACAGCATGATATGGGGATACGGCAAATTTTCAAATTTTAGGATACGGGTATGGGGATATTTATAATATATATTTTAACATTTTATGATATAAGTATAGGTATTTTGATTTTTAAACAAGAATTTCTAAAGTAATATAAGGATATTTATAGTAATTAACTAAAATATTAAATATTTTTTCAAATTTTTAAACAATATAGTAAAAAATTATTGAAAAAAATCATATCACAAATGTTAGAATATGAGATACGTATGCAGAAGTATTCTACATGTATCATATTGGATATGTATCGGATACGGGTACGTTTACTTTTTTGAAGTATCCGTGCTATACAAAACAGACATTTCAAATTTTTATTTTCTTACTTGTATGCTCATCTTTGGTTCTAAATATTCCATGCATAACTCCACTACACTTACATCACCATAAACAAACTCACCCTGCTAGCTTAAACACCCCCCCCCAACCAAGTATATATATGAGAAGTAATGTTTTATCTATGCATATCCAGTTATTATAATGGAGTGTGTGTGTGTGTAGGATTTACTTCACAGAATCAAGGGATGTCGGAAGAAGTGATAAAGAAAGCATTTTTGGAAACAGAAGAGGAGTTTCTAAGCCAAGTGAAGGAGCAGTGGATGAAGAAGCCACTGTTAGCGTCAGTGGGATCTTGCTGTTTGATAGGCATCATCTGTAACGGCATGCTCTTCATTGCAAATGCAGGAGACTCTCGTGCTGTGTTGGGCAGACTCCACAAGGCACATAAAGAAATCAAAGCCATTCAGTTATCTTCTGAGCACAATGTCAGCATGGAATCTGTCAGACACGAGTTGCGTTCCTCTCACCCACATGATCCTCACATCGTTGTTCTCAAACACAGGGTCTGGCGTGTCAAGGGCATCATTCAGGTATGTGCGTGTGCGCGTATGCTTTTTCTATCTCTCTTTCTGTCACTTGAGGCATGACTGATGTCACTATCCTTAGCTAATGCAATATATATGTTCTTTTAAATTGCATGGGACGAGTTTGAAAGCTGGCATCCCTGAAGGGAAGAAGAAGAAGAAGTCACTATTCTGAAAGATATATATTTGGTCTAGCTGAGACATGTAAATCTCCAGATTCAATATATTAAGCCATTATTCTATCATGTGATAGGATATAATAAGAAACCAAAGAAAAGGCTTTGCAGAATGTAAATATTATTGGAGTAAATTAGAAACAAAGGACTACTTCAAACATTACTAGCGTCCTGTCCTTATGATATTTTGTCTACCAGGGACATATCTCAACAAGCCCTCCTATCATACTTACGTACAAAAATGTATGTATGATAATATACACACAGATGTGTGTATGTGTAAGATAGGATCGGATATGCAGCATAAAAATTCTATAAAACTCAGCTAGGTCAAATAAAGAAAGAATTTGGGGGGAATAACTTTGTGACAGCTAACAGGCATGGAGCATGGAAATCACATTATATTGTCCTTAAAGTAAAATTTAGTGATCGCTGGCGACTCGAATTTAGTATATATACACAACTATTTTGTCCACCAGAGACATGTCTTCACAATCCCTGATATCATACATGCATATGTACATATATGAATGATAATACACACAGATGTGTGTGTGATAGAGAAAGATATATAGGATATGCAGGATAAAAATACTATATAACGTGTAGGTCAAATAAAGAAGGGTTAGATTTCACCGTTTAGGTCTTGTTGCTATGACTTTGTGACAGCTAACATGCAAGAAAGCATGAAGTAAGATTTAGTGATAGCTGATGACAGCTTGCTTAGCTTATATATAGCTAGAATTTAATTAATACACACTTCAGAGTTGATATTATGAGCTATTCTCAAGTACACTTGAGAGCTTGATTATATATCAGACGTTTTCCTCAAACCAAATGTTATTAACTGATAATTGATACTGTGTATTGATTGCAGGTTTCGAGATCCATAGGAGATGCATATCTAAAGAGGGCAGAGTTTAACAAAGAGCCTCTGATGGCGAAATTCAGAGTAGAAGAACCATTTGAGAAGCCGATCCTGAAGGCAGAACCAACAGTGCATGTGCAGAAACACCACCCAGACGATCGGTTCATTATATTTGCATCAGATGGCTTGTGGGAACACTTGACCAATCAAGAAGCTGTAGACATTGTCTACAACTATCCCCGCAATGTAGGCAGTCTTCATTAATTCATTAATTAATTAATTTCCAATAATTCATCTCACTTTCAAATATCAATTCTAACCGTTGCAAATCGAAATCTCAGTTATAAATTGATAGTTCTTTGATATGGCGTATGTTCTTTGTAACTCATTTTTGAGAAAAAATTAAAAAGGTGTGTTATTATAAATAGAAGCATTATTAATTGCTTGAGAGGGAAAATGTTGTATTAATGGTTGTTACTGATTTTAAATATCAATTCAGACAATTGCATTTGAAACTTATATGCAATTGTTGGAATTGATATTTGCAACTTGTTATATTTTAGAAAAATTTATCAAAAACCTAACCATCTTTAATTCTCTCTTTTAGAACTTAATTGCCATTCTCTTCCTTGTCTGATGAGTTGAGACACTTGAGTAATTAACCCTAGCTCAATAAAACATTGGAAAAGAAGGTGCGGTGGTGATGATGTGCACCATCCCTATATGTAACAAGTGATCGAACTCAATTGTTCTCACTTCTCGTCCTTTTCTAATTTTATTCGATGTGAGACTTGAGCATACTCGTCTGATTCAATACAGGGAATAGCTCGGAGGCTGGCGAAAGCGGCGATGTGCGAGGCAGCAAAGAAGAGAGAGATGAGATACTCAGACTTGAAGAAGATAGAGAGAGGAGTGAGGAGGCATTTCCATGACGACATAACAGTGATAGTCTTGTTTTTGGATTCTCATCTCACCAGTCGCTCCACTTGGCGTGGCTCCTGCCTTTCTCCCCGATCACCTGCTCCTGCCTCCAATAATAATGTTAATGATCGTTCTCAATTCTGATATATCTATTTATTATTTATTTAATAATATTCTATCTCTACTTCATCATTAATTCAACCTCTCTTCTTTCTCTTCTTTCATCTTCTTTCTTCCTTTTACTTGTTCAACCTTGCATTCAATCTTCTATATTAGAATACAAAAAAGTTACATATCTAAATATTAAAAGATAAATCATAAATATATAAATTTAAGAAGTATCTAACTAAATGATTTAAACTATTTTAATAGAGTATACTATCTTTAAGTATATTTAATATAATAAATTTATTATGGTGTCATGGGCCATTCAATTGAGGAGAGAGAGAGAGAGAGAGAAAATGAAAGAATAAAAGATGAAAAAAAAAGAGATTAAATAAAAGAAAGAGAGAAGGAGAGAAAAAAAAATTGACTAGACCTAAAGCTTTTGAAATTAAAAAAAAGTACAAGTTCAAGTAAGAAAAAGAAAATAAACAAAAAGAGGGATAAAAAAGTAATAGAAAGAATATTAGAACATTAAAGAAGTCTTACATCTAAATATTAAAAATAGATTATAAATATATAAGTTTAAGAAATATATAACTAAATGACTATAGCTATTTTAATGGTTTATACTATTTTTAAGCATACTTAATATAAAAAATTAGTATTATATTTATATAATATTAGAGATCCAGATAAATTTTGCAACATTAATCCTTGCGAGATTGAAAATTGAGTGATCTCTCTCTCTCTCTCTCTCTCTCACACGCTCACTCACAGTTTCTTTCTTTAATTTATTTTTTTTTTCATTTATATATCAACAAGGATTGAAACCCTGGACATTAAGTATATCTCATTCAATACTTATCTTTTCGAAGATTGAAATTTTGTGCCTTTTCCCATGTGTCCCCCCACCCCCCCGGGGGAATTTCTTTTAAATGAAAAGAGATGACATCAATCACAAGGATTAAACAGCTAGTTTGTAACAAGAGATCGCTTTTACTCATCATCCATCGCCTCTTTATAGTAACTTGAAAAGCTACTTATCATAACCGTACCATAGCAAGACTAGCCAAAAAATGGGACACAAAACTTTGCCCCTTACATAAAACTTGAAGATGCAAAACAATTCCTATATACGCATAACAATGATCTAGCATAATCAATTATTATACCAGAGAAAATGTATATTTAATAAGGGTAAAATTAAGAACTTATTAAACTTTGGACAGAATTAACGTGTTTTAAGTTTTTCTTAACTCTAGTGAAATGTGTTAAAAAGTGACTTAGAAATAGGACTCGAGAAGTATCATAAGGTATATTTAGTTAATGGCCCTAAAAAAATTTTATCTTTACAAATATACCTTTCATTCAATGCAATTTATACTATAATAAATTAATGGGGTCAAACAATTTTTTTTATTTGTTAGGGGTGTTTTTGGGATAATTACATTATTCAGAATGTCTTATAAATTAAAACATACTCCTCTGGTCTTATTTATAGGGTACCTCAATGATTATTATATTTTCTTTACCAATTTGCCCAAATTAAATATTGGGAAGGTTGTTAAATATTAAAGTATTTTATTTTTAAAATATGTATATTTAAGGATTAAGAGTCATTTTTGCGCTTCAGCTTTACTTGAAAGGTCGCTGGAGACTCTAAACTCAATTATGGATTAATTCTATTTTTTAACTTTAAAGATTCATTGCATTACATTTATTATTATTTTTATTATAAAATATTTAAGTTTAGGGTGCCCATTGACCCTTTAAATAAAAGTTGAGAAGCAACAATGACTCTTATATTGATAAAAAATATTTAAAAAATAAAGGGACCCATTAATGACTAACGAACGTTAAATGTTTTTAATATCAGAGTGATAAAGGAGGGAATATTTAACGTTGAGGAATATAATTGACTCATATATGGTCCTTAGTGACCATTTTGATAAAGTTGATAGATAAAAATAATCTTTTACCCTATATTTTAATAGGGATAAAGTTAAAAATTTATTGAATTTTTAGATAAAGTTAATAAAATTTAAGTTTTTTTTTAATTTCGGTGAAAATACTAGAAGTGACTTATAAATAGAACTGAGTGAATACCACCTTAATTAAAAATGCCTTATAATTAATAATAAATGGAGGAAGCAATTATATTTTGCACTAATTAAAATTTTCTTAATATAGGTGCCATAACCTTGCACAACAATATTTGTGTAGGGATTTATGGTTGAAGGTGGTATGAATTGTAATGGACACTAAATTTCTTGATTTGATGATATCATATGATAGAAAGTGAAAAGTCAAACCAATGAAGCCACTTGCCATGCAATACAGTTCAACTGCTCAGTGCTGACCACCTAACTCAACTCAACTTCTTGCCATCCATTCAACTACCACCCTTCCCAATTTACACGTTATCAAATCAAGGGATGTGAAATTAATAATAACATATTAATTAATACTCCATACGTTGAAATATTTTGTTGCCTTACTCTTCATTTCAATTTAATGTGAAAAATGGCATTTTGATTGTCATCTTTTTTTTTTTGTTAATTACCATATGGCCAATGAGATGATGGTGCAAATTAAATATGATCACCAAATAAATATATTTTACTACCAATAAAAATTGATCCAATTATTAAGAATTTGATACTTATTAATCCACAAAATCGTAAATTAAAAAAAAAGTGAAGACATTATGAACAAACCATTTATTATAAGCATATTTGTAATCACTTTTTGAACTTATTAGAAGCTGCTATTGTCAACATCCTTAATCCTTCAAATCCCATCCTCTAACGTAATGAGACAACTAAAAAACAAAAGTTATTAATTGGAGCCAGCATTGTTTGCTGGCTGGACATATGCTTACTAGTTAGAAAAGGTTGATAATTACATATAAATCTCAGATTAAAAAAAATTAAAACTAATCACCCAAATCAATGACGACTTGCCAACATGGGGACAAAATTTGAAACCATAAAAAATATGGGAGGAGCAAAAACTAATTTCCACATTTTTTACAAAGAAATTTAAAAAAAAAAATACAAAGCCTTGCCCCCTGTGCATTCGTCACTGCCCACAACTGTAAATGTTGGAGTTTAATGTGTAAATATGAAAGCTTGATTTGTAAATGAGATTGAAGTAGTAATTAATTTGTTATTTAGGATCCAATTGTAATTCTCCCTTAAAAGAGGTTAAGCAAATGAATTCAAACATACATTTATCAATGACACTTAATTAAAAGTAATCCTAAAGTGTTGTGTAAATTAAAAGGGGTTGTATCAATGGTATTTGAAGCAAGGTATTGAATTAAAGTAGAACTAAAAGGTTCGTGAAATCCAATTCATTTAAATTTTTTTAGATAGTAAAAAAAAAAAAAAGGTGAAGCTCCAAAACCCCAAAGTGAGGAGATGGAAAATCTTAAAACTCAGGTGTAGGAATACAAAACAGTAAAACTTATTATTAGTGAATAACCTAAAATTTCAAGCGTATGATAGATGCAAAATGCTAAAGCCCATACGTTAAATTTATTATTTTTCATGAGCGATGCATTTGTCACCCCCATCACAATGTGACTCTGCCACTCAATTAATTAAGGTTTCATGAACAGAGAAATCATAGTTGGAAAAATTTACCCAAATCACACAATTTGGATATCTTTTAAAAATCTTTCTTGATCTAAAATATAAAGTATTAGATAATTTTTATATTTTTTTTAACTATATACCCCTACTTCATTTATTATTATTTTTTTAAAATCATGCATTAAAATTTTTATTACTATTTATATAGGATGCTTGGTGAGGGTATAAATGAAAAAATATTGACATTTTTAAGAATTTAATATCTTAATTATCATTATCCATGAATCATGAATCATGAATTAGTTAACTACTAAAAGCCAAATGGAAATTTTGAGAGCTGGTTGATTCATAAGAAAACTTATTTTTTTGTTTTGACTAAATAAAGTGTACCATTGATTCTCTAACTTTATATGAGGTAGTTTTGTTTCTCAATTTTATAAAGTATATTTTTAATCTTCTAAACCCGTTAGTTTCAATTAATTATTTTTTATATCAATCATCATTATTTTTAAAAATTAAACTTATTATGTTAACATTTAAAAATATTTTGTCAATATTTAAAAGTTTAATGTTAAAATTTTTTAGTTAATAAAACTAACAATATTAAAATTAAATAATTAAAAAGACATTTTATAAAATTAAAGAATCAAAATGAAACCTTATATAAAATTAAACAACTAAAGGTACCCCTTAACTCTCTCTCTCTCTCATAATTGTTGGATCCAAACAAGTAAATGGAAATTTTCACTTTTTCCGAATAATCCAAGAGGGCCAAGATATGACAGGGAATTGCAATTCTAGGTGGCTGTTACAGCAGATTAGTGAATATCTACATTTCATTATTATTCATACCTAATAACTTTACGTGGAAAAAAGTCCAAACAAATAAATAAAATAAATGAGTGTGATCCATTAATTCAGGAGTTAGGTGATCTAATCAAGAGCAGCCCTCAGGTATTTAACTGATACACATTTGTGTTTGCCTGCTGATAATTCATCGATATATCAAACATAGAGAATTCTTCCTGATATATCATTAAGCCTGAATCAATTATAAAAGATGGCAAAGCTGATGATGATTGTGGCTTTGCTTTTTCATTTTGGTTTTGTTATTATGAGATGCTCAGCCACAAACTACGTTGTCGGAGACAACTCAGGTTGGGATATCAGTTCAAATCTTGGTACCTGGGTTCAAGATAAGAAATTCAACGTCGGCGATGTTCTTCGTAAGTACTGTTATAACTTTGTTGATCTTCTGAAGCAGAATTTTTAATTGATCATTCACAAATCTTAGAGGGAGAATGGGAGAATGACAGTTAGTTTCAAGAGATAGAATTAATAGTAGTTATGTTCATGATAAAAAAATTTTAAAAATAAGTTGTTGATATTGACTCAAATAATATAAATTTTACGAGTTTTAATTATAAATAATTAAATTTTAAATATAATTCTTAATTTATAATTAAGATTCATTTTTAATTTGCAATTGAGTTAATCAATGTTTACAACTCATTTTTCAAAAAGTTTCATCAGAGACCTAATTATTATTAGTTCCCTCATTTGGGACATTTGCTTTCGTTTTTCTAATATTATTTTCAAATTTAGTTTCTTCAAGATTGAAGTACATCGCATTTTATCATTATATTTTTGGGGCCACCGTTAGTTCTCAAAATTTATGTGAAATTTTAATTTAATTTCTTAATTTTATAAAGCATCTTTTTAATTCTCTAATTCTAATACCATTAGTTTCAAATAAATGTATTTGTGCAAATTATTTTTATTTTAAAAAATTAAACATAATATGTCAATATTTAATAATATTTTATCAATATTTAAAATTTTGATATGAAAATTTAATTTATTGTTGATGAAACTAACAGTATTAAAATTTAAAAATTAAAAAGATACTTTATAAAGTTATGGAATCAAAATAAAATATTGTATAAAATTAAAAAACTAAATGTGTATTTTAACATATTTTTAAAATTTTTAAACTAATGTGTGAGCTGTCTCATTATATGGAATGTATGAAAAATGAATCATCTTATTAATGGTTTTCTTTTATAATGGTGCGATTTGTTAAAAGCTTTTATATTGTATATAAATTTACTTAAAATTCAATACCAATGTGAACTTCAACATTATAACTCATGAGGTCTATTGGAAATATAGAAAGTCCGTTTTATAACTGATATACTTTTTATACCGGTTAAAAAAAATCCTTTCTACAATAGTAATGTATGGGCTAACATACGTAAACTATTGTAACACAAAAGAAGAAGATAAAGCATTGTAAAACATTTATAAATTAACAAACTATATTGGAAGAAGAGAATTATGCATGGTTAAACTGAGTTTATCCATGACATGGTTCCTGACATGTCATCAGGATTAAATGTAGGTTGCTTTTCCTATTTATTTTGATTTCTTCATAGAAAAAGAAAAAAATATGATTTTTTTTTTAATTTTGCAGTTTTCCAATACTCATCATCTGATAGTGTGGATGAGGTTACAAGAGAAAACTACAAGACATGCAACACAAACAAGGTTTTGGCAACTTATGGCAATGGGAATACCTCTGTGCCATTAACGAAACCTGGAGACAGGTACTTTGTGAGCGGCAACAAACTGTATTGCCTTGGAGGGATGAAGCTCCATGTTCATGTCCAAGGCAACAGTGCAAATTCCCCGGCTCAAGCCCGGGCCAGGTCAATGCCAGTGGCCGGTCCGGTCAGTGCTACCTCCGGGAAGACCACAGCATCCCAAAAAAACACTCCTCTCATAAACGGGGCTAAGAATTCTGGAACGGACGCTACTGCTATGTTAGTTCTCATGGTGGCTTCTGTTTCCTGGATTTTCCAGATTTGAGTATTGTGAACTTGTGACGACTTAATTGTGATTCATATTTGAGTGTAATATTGTTTAACAACACAATAATGATGATGATGATGATGATTTGCACTTGGAAGGCTGAAGATTTGTATACAACACGTATTTGTCTATTGCTTAGGAATGCATCTAAGAGCAAAGAACATATACTGAAGAGAATGAATCTTCTATACAGCTAAAAGATTTGACAATTACTTTAAAAAAAAAAAATTATCATGAGTACGTTTAAACATAGATAACATTGTAAATGTAATTATTTAATATTACACACCTTTAATTTGCTCCAAAAAAAAAATGTTACATACCTCTAAAATTTGACGATTGGAAAATTTATCAGCAGAAAGAACACGTACATTGACATATAAATGGGTACATGAGCTCAACAGAAAACATTTGTTCACGTTCAAATTAAATAAACAATCAAGAAAAAAACAAGATCAAAATATTAGTATAATCTATTTCTTATGGGAGGAATAATATATCCTACAAGTAAAATGTCACCAAAACTTCAGACCCACCCAACGGAACTAACAAGCTAGCTGCCCCAAATCGCACTGTACAAGTGATGTTAGTTCACACCTTGTATAAACCAAGTCTTCGACATTCTGCCAAATGCTAAATGCTATTCAAACTGAGGGTGGTTGTCCAATACAAAAAACCTACGTCCGGGCCTCCAATTGAAAGACTAAAAACTGGCCCAAAAGGAACACAATTGTATTGACCCTACCATTAACAATCTGGCATTCTAGGAAATAATAGTGTGCTGTCAAGTTAATCAAGTTTAATACTAATACCCCTTTTTTGGGCTGCTTCAATAATATCACCTGCATCTCCAATATCCTTGTGTAGGTTGCAGAAGGATTTCCACAACCGTACAGAGAATGGATACACTGATAGAGCCCTTCCATAAAACCTCTCAGAAATGGCCTCAATGCCCATAACATTGTCCAGCAGTAAGCCAGCTTCCACCCAGACATACTCTGGAGGTACTGGGATGGCATGTAAAATTGCATTGACCATAGCTGAACAGGCCCAGAACAAGAGACTGGCTGATGTTTGATCAGCACTAGCAGGATTGAAGCCTTTGCTCAAAAGCTTGCAGACAGAAATTGCCAATTGGAAATTGGAGGGAACCACCTCCAAGATGGCTTCAACAAAATCTACCAGTTCTTTTGGATCACTGAATGTTTGAGGTAAGAGTGATGAACCATACCAAGACTGAAGAATCATGTTTAGCACTGAACAATCGATTGAAACTGGACTTAATAAGTTACTAATATGCTGCTGGACTCTAGGCTTCTTGACATCGTCAAAAAGATTTCTTGTTATCAGCTTGGGAGCTATGAAATCCTGAAAGGCACGATCATTATACATCTCCAAAATTTTCTTGATACCACCATTAGGACCATTATCTTTTAGGCATGATGCATCACTGAGAAAAAACATTGCATGCTTTCTCATTCGATTATCTAAACCTCCAAAATTGGCAGCTTTCCTTGCCTTGTCAATTGCTATGCAAGCTTCTGTTTCATCATTCTGAAAAAAATTATAAAGAGAAAGATTAAGAAATCCTAACATTACATCCATCTGGCTAAGACCAGAGCTTGAAGTGTCTGGAAATGATTTTGAATCAGGTCCCAAAGAACTACAAGAATGATCACCATATGTAGTATCCATTTCTCCATTATGGGATTCCTGAACCTGCCAAGCAGATTGAAACCATCGGACTGTAATTTCTTTGGCAAGATCAATTCTTCCATGCCGGACTGCATTTTCAATGTATTGATTCCAAATGCATTGGATTCCAGGAATTTCTTTTGGCCATCTGCTAATGGCTTCCTTGAATCCCATGAAATTGTCAATCCCATTCTCATGTTTCTTTATATGAACTGATTCTAGAACCAACTCAATGCTGCCAGGGTACAACTTAACATATTTATCCAGCAAGCTCCCTAAACATTCCAGGTTATCCAGTGCAACCATGCATCTAATATGATTGAGAGCAAAAAGTTGAGCAGACTTCAGATTAACTTCACTTTTGGCTGATTCATTATAGATGCAAGAGTCAACGGATTCAACAGCTGTTTCCACAAGTTTAACAGCCATCTGTTTATCTCCTTCTGATAAATGGATAACTGGCCATTCAATGTCAAGATCTTTCTCACACTCAAACTTTTGTATGATAGCATCAGGCAATTTCCTGTACATAACTAAGTAAATACAGCAAATCCAGAAGATACATTTGTCAGAAAAAGTTAAGCAATTTAGTATATCTGAGAATGACAGATGATGGAGCTCATGGGATTTTGTTGCATCAGGGAATACTCCATAACTTCTCTGAATGGCCTTCTCAACATTTCCGGACATGCATAAACAATCCATCATCTGCAGAAACAGGTCTAAGATGCATGCACTTGTATGTATACCATCCTTGACAGCAGTAGATGTATTCTGACAGAGTGCCAAGAGGGCAGCATCATAGGCCACCAACCGTTCATCAAGCTGTGTCCGACTGTTAATGTACATTAGCCATAGTACATAAGATCCCTCATTATGCTTGACCTGACAAACAATAGTGAGATTTTCCATGGAAAGCTTATAATCAGTTCTCAAAAAGGAAAACTAACATTCTATTAAAGAAAATAAATTAGAACAAAGTATGGGCAAAGGAGGAAATGGGCTTTTTTCTCAGCAGTCCCAAAAAAAGGGGTAAAGCATTTCACTGGATTGTACCAACACTACAAGATAAAAAGATGCGGAGAGTAAGGAACAGCTTTCTACAACAATTATCTCATCCTAAAGATGTTATATCGTTCTTCTAAGTAGTGTATCTAACTGTGGTAGGAGATTTGCCAAAGAAAGGATCTAGGAGAATGTGGAGCAGACCACACTTGGGAACCATGTTGATGAATTCTGCAAGCTATTTGTCCACTGAGGACATCAATTAACGAAGTAAGACTTGTCGAAGTTCTAGTATAGTGGTTGTGTGACTAACTGATTAGGTGGGCTGTGATGTAGTGTCTAAGCCTAGATCTCTTTTTGTCTTCAAGTTGATTATAATAGTCAAACTTCTACGTTCTTCAGTTTGAGGGAAGTGATTAGAAACCTAGGACAAGTCCTGCCAAGAAAGAGGCCAATCAAAGGATTAAGATTATTGGAGTTTAATATTATCTAGGTGTCTTATAGTTATCCCCTATATCTATCTCTAAGAGTTCAAGACCCAAAAAAAAAAAAAAACGGAGAAGTTCACTAAACTATAACACTAAATTTCAACAATCAGAAAAGTTGTGCATGATATATGCGCCAGAGAACGTATAACTGCAAAGAATTGGAGTAAAATGTGACATAGCACAAGACAGAGAGTCATTATTGTAGGCTTGCTGCAGTCAGATGGTCCCAAATAACTTACCATAGGGCTTGAGAAGGCTTATATCAAGAAATACATATCAGCATCAAGAAAAAGAATGCAACCAATCCAAAAGTGCCCAACAGGTGTGATTTCTGCTGCCTATGACTAATGTCATAAAAACGGAAAACATATACTAATTGTTTCAGTACATTTCCAGTGTTTACTATTCCTATTTAAATATAGGGGTCTCTATATTCTCAAAAGTTCCTAAATCTCTAGCCACGTATAAGTAGAAAATATACCGCATACAAGTACATGTCATCCTTTCCAGTTGGCTTCAAATTTCCATAGTAAATCAGCAGATAAACAATCCAGATAACGACAGATGTTGGATCAGTCTCTAAAACTCTAGACAGCACAGATAGAGCCTACAAAATCCAAAATTTGAGATGAAGAGGAAAGAAATACAAGAATACAATCATATATCAAGTCTCCCAAGGTGAGACAACCGTTACCTTTCTCACACCCTCTAATTTATTAATTTCCTGGTTGAGAACAAGAAGTGCCCTTTCAACAGCTTGTTCATTATCAGCAAGAGCCTGTTCACTTTTATTCTATTTACACAATATATAAATAGGTCAGTTTGACTTGAAGGAACTTAGAAATCAATTCAAATTATGTAAATTCATTTCCAAGTTATGTCACACCTGACAGAAGGCCAGGATTAATGTCAAAATTATATTATAGTCCAAAAGAATTTGTCTTTGTGTAAAATTTGAGACTCATTTTCCTATAAACAAGTGTTTTTCTCACTCATTCCTCACTGAAGGCAACGTTGACTAGCTGACCAAAATCTTGGCAAAATTTTTTGGGCCGTTTCATCAAGTAAAAAAAGGAAAAAGAAAACAAAGCTGCACCTGTTGCTATGCACAAATACTCAAGATATGAACGTGCTTATGATATTTGAGAAATTTCATATGATAAAAAGCAGGATAACTTTAATTTTGAGAGGGACAGAGTTGATAAGCTTAGAATGAAAGCTATTTGAAGAGAATATAACTTAAAATGAACAGATATTGCAATGCATCACAAGAAAGGAAAAATGAGCTTGAACTTATAAGCAACAAACCACCGCTCTTTTCCACTGTAAATAAGAGAATTGTTTGTTCCAGGTCCCATGGACTTCAATTCGTTCACCACCATGCAAGAATCGACCATCTTCTTGTAAGCCATTTTCAAGCAAATTTGAAGTAGCTAAAGTTATACTGAAACATTTCTGCCAGTACTGAGTATTTCTACATGTTAGGACAGATTTATATACAAGTTGCTCTGCTCTCAAAACATCTAAGCCGACAAGATAAGTTGGCAGAATTGCAGCTTTGTGACTTTTGGAAACTTTTGTCGCACTTTGCTGATGCAATGTTAATCCACCTAGACAATCTGCCCAAAAAAAAAATACAAGGAAAAGAAACCATGAAGGTATTGTCAACTCAATTCTTGATCTCTGCCAGTAAAGGTTCTAGTTTTCCCAAAAGCATTTTTTAACTGAAGGAATGACAGTCATCATTTGCAAAAGATAAGTAAAAAGATTTTGGCCTTCCAATGATACAGCCTTCCTCAGTTTAGCCCCCCCAAATTTTAACCATCTTATCTGAGTCTTTGAAAGAATGTTATCTTCAATATTGTTGCCACTGTAAGCCTACCAATGGATACGCTAATTATCCATTTCTCACTACAACACAGAGACAAAAAGATCATACAACTCAAGGTAGTCACAACATACCATTTTTTGTGTGTTTGCTGACCTTTTCAGAATGAAAATTGAGGACTGAATAGCCACGTTAGCTACACAATAACCAAGTTACTTGCCTCTACTAATGGGTTTATGATGAAGACTGAAGACAATATTAAAGGAAAAGTAATCTTTTTGTTTAAAGAAAGGCAAAATACTCTTTGAAAGCCCGAAATAAGGCATTTAAACTCTGAGATCAAATTGAGACAATGTATTATCTAACATAATGGTTCACTATCAAAAGTATTATTCACTACTTATCCAACCTGTTAGCCTACTTATCTCTGATAAACAATACTTTGTTACCTTGTTCAGCTACCAAGCACATCATATAAAAAACAGATACTAATCCCCACATACTATCAAAATGTTTAAATACTAAAAAAAAAAAAGGACAAAACAGAGGTTTTAAATCACCATTTACCATAATTTTTTCATACCTGCATCATCATTATCAGAGTGTTGGTTCTGATAGCTTTCGTCATTATAGTCCTTAATATGCTGCCAAGGACACTCATCATTGTTGCATTTACCTCGGAGTTCATACATGCAAAGTGGCCAAAATGGATCAACAGCAGGACTGTAGCTATAAGAGCTTTCTTCTGAAGCTAAATTCCAACCAGCAGTAGGCATTGTCATTGCTAACATACTACTACTCTCTGTTCTAATAGAACCATGACAACTATTATTCTCATTTTTACCAACATTAACAGGGAACCACTGATTTTTACTCAGTAAATGTTTCGAATTTAATTTTGACATTTGCTTCAGGTGACCAAATGCACTCCTAAAAATCAATGGTGATATCTTCATTGCACCCATTGAGCGGTGAAGTTGAAGAGCAAGAGACCCTTGATCCCTTGAAGCAGCACTGCAGTTGGAAATCAAAGAAGTTTGACAAGTGTTTTGCTGACATTGAATTTCCGCAGGATCCAGATAAATGTTGCTTTCATGACTCTCATTACCTAGAATTAAAATTGAAAATTAGACATAAAAATATATGCAAAAACACTTGTGTGGTGATCAATACTTGATGGTCTAGAACCAATATCAACTACATCGCAATTGAGAACAACAATGCCTTTGACTAAGCCCTAAATATTAACCAATACATCAAGATGTCAATGGCTTGCTTCTCTGCAACAAACAAACCAAGTAGGTCCAACATTTTTGCAAGGTAAAACACTACAAGGCATAGACAATATCTAAAAGCCCTTGCAACACTGCTTTGTTTTCAATTGAAATTTAATGTTTCGAGCCAAAATAAGTTTTAAGGGGAATGGCACTTAGGTCCCCAAAGATATATTTAATGACAATTAGGTCCCAAAACTTTTTGCTGAAAAATGAGTTGCAAATATCATTTCAGACAGTTGCAAATATAAGAGTCTTCATTACAAATTAGGCATTTAAGTTTTACAAGCCACTTTCATTGATTAGCAATCAAAACTTTCATATCTTCATCTGTCTAAACCAATATTTGCAACTCATCTTTCAAAAATATTTTTGGGATTCATTTAACTTCCATTAAATTCATATTTTAGAATTTGAGTTTCATTTCCCCTAAATTTCAAGCATGGCAAGAGCATATGAAGCTCAGTGATTATATCTAAAAGACAGCTTTCAAAATAAATTAATATCAAGCATCACTAGAAATGAGAAAAGCAACCTACTTTTCCCCCTTTTTGTTTATCTTTCACAAATGGACCAGCCTTGTCTTCTTTTCTCCTTATTTGTCTAATGATATTAGACTAACTTGAAAGCAACGTTAGAGGACTACCCAAGGAACCTGTTTGTGAAAACTCTTCAAGTACATAATTTTAACCCAACAAAAATATTCCATCAAAATCACCTCCCAAAAAAGTATGCCCCCAAAAATTCTATAGAAATGCAAGAAGCAATCCCACCTCCAAGCTTTTTAGAAGCAACCAATGAAAACCATCTACTGGAATTCCTCCAAGAATATACTGTTAATCACTTAAGGCAATATTTGTCTATCTATACAACAGTCAGTAGATTTATCAAATGCAAATCAAATATCAATTTCACACTTCACGAAATTAAGTTACATACAACAAATAGGCATCTATACACATACATGGGCAAGTTCTATTGGAAAAAATTACCTCTAAAAGTGTTATCTTCTGCTCTAGATAACGGAACAACTCCATCTTGTATCTGCCTATGCTCGTTTTCAAACCCTCGTTTGGCAGCCAGCCCTAGGTTGTTACATGTACTGTGACTCTCTGAAGCTCTTGTCCCTAATCGTGCAAAAAGCTCTGACCTTAATGCTGCTTCAAGAAGCAAAGAATCCTGAGGATCCTCAGTACTAAGTCTAGCATTTGATGAAGTATCTCTGTCCATTAGGCTGGCATTAGAATATTGCTTTCTTTGATTTACAATGCCGTGATCAGTAGACACATGTGATGGAGACATCTCTTCATTATCATTAGCAGATGCATCTAATTCATCAGAAGGAGAATTAACTCTGTCTACAGTATTATTGGCCATTCGTGGCAATGGCTCTGAGGTACTGGCATCTGGTTCACTGCAAGGTTCAGACCCCAAATTCACTCCATTCATACGGTGATACATTGTATTGGAGGGTCCATTGTTGACATCTTGATTAGTTGTATCAAACCCTGGCTGGTTAACATCATTGAATTCAGTCAGCCCCTGACAACTTGACGTGGGTATTACATATCCATGTCTAGGAAGGTAATCCAGCCCTGAATCAAGATGTGCATGCTGCCCAGAGGACCAAGAAAAACCAGAATTGTTTAAAATTAAAGATTTTAACTTGGCTGAATACATTTCCCTTTTGCGGAGAAGATTGGTGCAACGACCATTAGCCTCAATCAAAGCCCTCTGAGCTTTCAGGTAAGCTTTAAGAGCATTTCTTTCTTCAACTTCACACCTATGCCTGTGCTCTTGTGCTTCCTCCAGTTCCTTGTCAATGAATTCTTCCATTTCAAAAAATGAATTTAAATCTATGTTGCTATGCTCTGAGTCATTTGCATGATCATTAAAATTGTTTAACAGTTCCTGAATGAGAAGCAAAGAGAGTCGATAACAACAAAGGTTAGAGGCGTGACATATATCGAAATCCTTTAATCAGCAATGTGGACCACAATAACAAAACCTGAGTTGCATTGTTGAACCCCATTCCTGTTATCTCGAGATAGCAGTTTCTACTTTTCAGATTTTTAGCATTTGTGACTTTATTCAAGGAATTTGGTGCATGAACCGACTCAATAATATTCCACATTGTTGAAAGAAACAGAAGCATCACATACAGATATTCCAAAATCAAAACAATGTGCAGAAGTAGAAACACTGGGGATAAGATCTAAATTTTGTCTATAGGTGCCTCCAACTCTTATTAAAATAACAATGAAGAGGGGCTGCATTTATAAACTAAACAGATCCAGTTATCACATTATAATCAATCAGTAGAGAGAGAGAGTCCATTTATAGTTTTCTAATCGCAAAAGACTTCTGATCAATAAACTCGCCAAAGAACAAGAACAAGTGTGACAGTCAATAACTAAATGGAAAAGGCAGCAGTAAAGTTTTTCAGTCAAGCTGCTAACTAAAGAAAATGCCAGGTATAATAAATTATAACTTACTGTATTTGTTGGAACACTATTGGAGATCAAATTTGCTGGAAGACCACTTTGGTTGAAACTAACACAAGGGTCAACAAGCCTATTATGTTTGTCCATCTGGTTGCAATTATTGTTGACATAGGTGCCTGTACATTAAGATAACACCATAAGGTATTTTCAACATAAAGGAGCTTACAACACAATATACTGGAAGATAATTGGGCTAAGTTTCAATCAAGTAACTAGCACTTTATTATACTCAAATAATTCATTTCTTCCAATAGAGTCCAGCAATTTTGACAACAAATTTCACAAATTCTTATGACATGTCTATGTGATAATTTGACCAAAATGAAAAGAAACGCCATAACGAGTTAACCACAGACCGCACAAGCATTGACTTTTTTGCGCAACCCAGTAAACTTTTCCAGCTAAAACTTAACACTAGTGTCTATGCAAGCTGAAAAATGCCGAATGAAAAACAAATACATCCAATGTAAAATTACATGCAGCAAATAAATCTTCGCCAAGTCTAAAGTAACCCATCGAATTTGACATGATAGCCCCTTTGTATGATCTTATCATTAGAAAATAGAGTTCCACCACATTACAAAAGGCAATGGGTTATTAAAAGAAAACACTACTTGAAAGGCATTCCTTCTATTAATGAGGACGTATACAAGAAATATAAAGACAAGTACTTACCAGATCTTGGTCTAGATTGCATAGTTTGTGATGAAATGTCAAGACATTTGTCATGACCCTGCGATTTGATAACTAATGGCTCTCCTGTACATAATTGAGTCTCTTTCACACCATGATCAACCTTATTTCTCTCTTGTAGATTGCAATTTTCCAATGCAGACTCTTTTGCTGGCAACAAAGACTTAGTAGCAGGGACCTCTGGCAGATTTTCAATAGCTTGAGGGGTAGCATAAGATCTGCCAAATTTTAATCGTTTCTTATCCGGTTCCTTTGATTCCAATTGCACGTTCTCTGAATAAGCATATTTTCTAGCTGTGACACTCTTCAGTTTGATGGCATTATGATCCCTTCCCAAAGATGAAGGAGGCTCCTTATTTTGCTGGGCTGCCTTTAGCTTGAGCTCACTCTCTCGAATTGCAATCTGCTGTCGCAAGTCCTGAAGTTTGTTGTTATTTGATACCACCCCTTGCTCATTTTTACGCTCTGGCCTTGCTAAGTTTTTGTTCAAGATATAGAAATTTCTAGATCGAGATCCTTGACCCATTGAGAAGGGTCCAGCAACCTTAGAATTAGAACCATGAGTTTTGGTTGCTGATGAGAAAGATGTGTGATTTAAAGGTGATCTTTTGGGCAATGACTTGTTTACACTTCTAGCACCATTGACTAACTTGTATGATTTTGCAGAGGATAAAGCAGGTGGCTTCTGATTGTTATCCAATCTGGAAGCATTACCTTTAGATTCAACAGCTTTATCCTGTTTACCGTCTTCGGAATCACTGCCACTATCATCATCAGAGAAGCTTATCACGAGACTTTTATCACTGCCTGCATGAGCAGGCCACATAGAAGATTTAGGTGGTAATTGGTTCCTGTTAAAGCTCTTCTGAGAAGTTGATTGTATGGTTTTCTGCACGTGTATACCGTTAGAGCCTGCAGAAATATTGCGACAAAAAGGTCAACCCTAGTATAATATTTAAGACTGCAATTTAATTTGGAAGATGTGTTATAAAATAAGCTCGAATATGGTAAACACCAACCAGAAGAGAAGGAAATCTACATATCATACAAAAAGCACCAAGACAGCATTTACAACAAGCTACATTACAGTGATACGTGCAGTTTCCAACTCCATAAGTAAGATAAAACATAGTTAATGAGATTTTGGCATATTATCAACAGAAGCCTGGACGAGTCAGATAGCAAATATAGAGTTCCAAAAAGCAAGCACTTCAGCTTTCCTTTAGCTGACAGTTAGCAAGACTTACCACCCTGAACGCCCACAGTACCATTGAGGGCCTGAGAAACTGGATTGGACACTACTGCGGGGGAAGATTTTCCACGGGTGCAAGTAGGGACTTCCTGGTAGACAGAAAATACCCATTAAAATTAAAAAATACATGAAAAAGAAAACCAAATAACACATTCATTTCACCAAATGTTCAAAATAAGTATTGATGGGGTTGTCCAACTCTCGCATCTCAATTTTTTCCTGGATCATAGTGAGATTGAGGAAAGACACAAAAGAAGAGGATCAGGAATCCTCCTACCAAGAAAACAAAATTACAGAACAAGATCATAACTGGCAAGAAAATTGAAAAAACGGGGGGGGGGGGGAAATCCAAGAGCGCTGCCTGGTCCCAGAGATTTAAGCGCAGTTAATCTGAACCTCGGATCCTATAGTCGGCCCTCGTCGAGAATAAAACAAAATCCATGAAAAACTGATAAAAAAAAAAAAAAGAGCAGATAACTAACATGAACAACATATATGAACCAACTGAATCCACAAACCAAAAATAAAGTGTAACTTTTGCCATATTATTGCCACATTCCCTCGTTTCCCCAGAAATTAAACAGCAACAAATTAACGACACCAGAGGGGAAAAAGGCAAGTCGACGAACAAGAATTACAGTAAAAGAAATGGCCAACGTTGAAAAAATAAGATGACATAGGGTAGAGAAGACAATACGTCGCCGGAGGAAGACAGCTCGCCTTCTTCTCTGGTTTTGGAGGGCACGTTAAGATTGAGGATCTCAATTGCAGACTCCGACGCCATAGCCCGGCCCCCAAGCTCAACAGACTCCTCTCTCTCTCTCTCTCTCTCTCTCTCTCTCACAGCTTTTCTGCCAGAGAAGTAAAGCAACGCGTAGAGAATCGACGGCCAGCCCACTAGTCAACAGATTTATTTTTCTGTTCTCGTGTCCCTGCAATTCATACGGTTTCAACTTTGTACTGCTAATAATGAAGAGGGAAATATCATTGAAACAGTTCGGCAGCGTTTTAATAACAGAGAAGCATTATAAACATTGAAATATCATTGCACACCCTTAAAAATTAAAACCAATCTAAAAATAAGATTTTGGTGGAAAATACTTAATTAGCTTTATAAGTCTTGCTCTAGTGTAAATAATAAAACATTTGAATTTTGATAAGTTACTATGCATAATTTACAAGTGGGCCTTTATTAATAAATAAGTTATAAAAATTGATAAGTCTTGTTTAATTTTAAAAGTCTTGCTTGAATATAAATAACAAAACTTTTTTTATTACAATAAATAACAAAACTTTGGTTATTAGCAAATTACTATATATAATTAATAAGATTTGTGAACAAATTATAAAAACTAATAGGTCTGATTTAATTTTACAAGTCTTGCTCCGTATAAATAATAAAGCATTTAATTATTGACAAATTATCATATGTTATTAACAAACTAACATTTGTTCATGAATAAGTTATAAAAACTGACACACTTGGTTGAATTTTACAAACCTTATTCTAGTATGACTGAACAAAATATTTCTTTATTGATAAGTTATCATTCTGTCATAAACAATAAACTAGGCTTGTAAATTTTTTTACTAATTCATGAATGAATGTGTGTGCTTATTAATTATGTATGATAACTTGTTAATAGTATGTAAGTAAGACTGGTAAAATGTTATCAGAATAATTAGGTCTTTTCATCTAAAATCTTATTTTCATATGTGTCATAGGGAATGCAATGATATTTCAAATTTTTAGAATCTTTCTTTGATATTAAAACACTAGAAGAATCTTTACATGACATTTTCCCTATCAATAGACAACAACACTAACAACAAAAAACAACAACATGGGATTTAATGCTTTAAATTTGTTTCAATTATTGTATAATTTTTATCTCCTTATTATTTAAAAAAGAGATAGTTGGAGATATGAATAAGAGGATATTGATAAAAGTTATGTAGATTAATGAAAGGAAGTGTAATTATTTAGGAAGAAAAAAACTCTAATTTTTTTTTAAAAGAACAAAGTACCGCATAAGGAATTATATAGTTAAAATTAAACTAATTTATTTTCATTTAACTATATATATATAAAGTCATCAATATAGTTTATACATTAAGGTAGGGTTTAAATTAGTAGATTTGAATTTAAAATTTGAATTTTAAATCTCACATTTCAATTTTGTATTTTTTATTTTTTTTGTTTAAATAGTTTAAATAACAAATGTAGTTACTATGAGATTTGAAATAATAAAGATTTAAAAAGAATTTCAAACTACGAAAGAATTAATAAATTTTGAATTTAATAAAGTACAAATCCATAAATTTTTATGTCAAACAGGGAATTTGGTTCAATTACAAATTCATATATATCCAAACATATCATGAATTAATTTAAAAGTAAATTTGTGTTTTAAAAAGATTAAGATGACAATTTAAGAAATCATAGTGTAAAAAGTTGATAAAAATTAAATTTGATAAACTAAATAAATAATTGAGATAAACTTAAAGGAATAAAAGTTTTATTATCCCTAATAATATAATAATAATAATTTTATGTTGGTATATAGTTGATTTATATCCCGAAGGAAAAACCGCGCTGGAAATTGTCAAGCCGATACATTACATTCATTACATAATGTTTCATTCTTTTATTTTCTTTTTCTTAATTTGAAGAGATAAAAAGTAGACGTAAAAAATTACTACTTTTTAACTGTTATGTAAAATTAAAATAAAATATAATCACGAAAGTTTAGACCATTGAATTTTTTTTATAAATATAAAGACTAGAATTTGTCAAGAAATTATCTTTTTTGCAATATTTTAGAAATCATAGTGGAACAAGTTGATCAAAATTAAATTTGATAAACTAAATGAATAATTGAGGTAAACCTAATGAACTAAAAGTTTTATTATCCTTAATAATAATAATAATAATAATAATAATAATAATTTTACGTTGGTTTATAGTTGATTTATATCCCAAGGGAAAAAACGCACTGGAAATCGTGAAGCCGATACATTATATTCATTATATAATTTTTTGTACTTTTATTTTTTTCTTAATTTAAAGAGATAAAAAATAGATAAAAAAATTGCTGTTTTTTAACTGTTATGTAAAATTAAAATAAAATATAATCACGAAAATTTAGACCATTGAATTTTTTTATAAATATAAAGAATAGAATTTGTCAAGAAATTATCTTTTTTGAAATATTAAAAATTAAAAGGTATATCTTTTATAATTAAACTGTTGAATGAGATTCTAAATCTGCCCATAGTCTTAGTTACAAACTCTCCGAGTTCTATCCCACTTATAATTATAAATTATAAATTTATAAATTATAATTATAAATTATAAATTATATTATAATTATAATTATAATATCAATGATTTAATAATTATAATATCAATATTAAGTCATCAATACCTGCCTTTTTCATTATTTTTAAAAAATCTAAATCTAAATTATATGTCAAAGCATGACATGACAAGTTGACAACCCAGTAAGTGGATATAGATAATGCTCCGTTGACTTGTGGTTAGAATGTCAAAATCATTTTACAAAACCATTTTTACGAGACCGTAACATGTACATAAAGAGGGAGCGACATGTTATACCCCTCAAATAAAAGAAAATCTATGTTTATTTTTTATATTTATTTTTTTACATGAAATAAAATTTTAAGTGTAATTCATAATTTTCTTCTAAAATACTTGTAAACAATGAATAAAAGACTGAATGCGCTTGATAAAAAATGAGCAATCATTTGTATGCAAAAGACTGGAAAAATTGAAATAATAAACATTAATTGAAGGGTATAAATAAAAAAATATAATACTTTTTAGATATTAGTTAATTTTAAATTTGTTCTTGGCATTGTTTGTACATATATTATATAGTGCTTTAGCCATAAAGCACTATAGATATTAGTTACTTTTTAGATAGAGTTAGAATAAAAATACATTTAATGATTACGTTTTTTTTTATATATTACTATAAAGCAATTATATTTTTAATATTTTTTATTATTTTTATAAATATAAGTACATGTATCAAAAATATATTATATCCTATATTTTTAAAAATAAAAATATTGAAAGACGCATATTGGTATCCGTACATAGATTACAATCAACAAAAATATTTATAAAACACTTATTGTACACATAAAACACTAAAATTCCGGTAACCATATCATTTTTATCCACCTGTAATGTTCTCATATAATTAACCTTCCTATGTAAGTGCAGGAAAGAATATTAGGAGAATAAGAAGATTGATACTAAATCAAGGTTTTTTTAAATATTTTTGAGATAGTGAAACTTTTGTTCTCTCAAATTTATTTAAATCATCGATCTGTTTTTTTAAATTTAATTTTTATTAATTTAATCCCTTATATTTTCTTAAATTATCATGCTAGTTTTTTAAATTTAAAAATACAAATTTACCTCCAAATTAACATAATATATAAAACATTTTGATAACTTGAGATACATATACAGCTAATGAAATAAAAAATAAAGCCCACAGATTAATTAAATTTTTTCATCAATCTAGTCGTTTATATTACATTTTGTTCTTTTTATTTTTTTAAAAAAATTGAGTTTGTTTTATATAAATAATTACTTCCCTTTATTAATTTACATGACTATCTTTAATATTTCACTATTCATATCATTCATGTTAACATATTTTAACAACATTGCCTCCTACTTAAATAATAAAAACCAAATTAATAATTAGAATAAATTTAAAAGACTAAATCAATAAAAATTAAATTTGAAAGACTTAATTGCCCACTAAGACAAATTTGAAAAAAATTAAAAGTTTCATTATCATTTCAATATTAAAACACAAGAAGATGGGTACCAAATTTGAGAACCTTAGCTCTATTTTTTGATTAAAAAAAATTGAGAACTTAAATTATAATGAGATCTTAAAATAATATTAATTTTCTTATGAGATTTTTAGTTGTCATTCTCCCAAAAATTTTAGTTTATGTCAACCATGCAACGCTTGAAGTAAAACAAATATTACATGAGGTAATCAATGTTAAAGTACAAAGTCCTGTCAAATATTGCAGTTAAACTAAGTGGTTAGTTATCATGTTATCATCCTTACAACCTTGAAACAAGGCTAATTCGGATTGTAAACAAGAGAGACAAATCACCAGTCAGTCTCCACTTGCACAGCCCCTACAACCACAATGAACACATTCTATGACCTTCTCCTCCCTCAGTTGCTTGGGTACTCGGCAAACACAAGTGGTGGCAAAGTTGTGATCTCGTGGCTGCATGCACCTCAAGCAACATAAACGCTCATAACCAGGCTGCAATTTCAAACAAGGAAAGGGCTTATTAAGTCTAAACCTGGAAAGAATATGCAAATGAGTGAGAGAGAGGGAGACAGAGAGAAATATACGTTGAAACAAATTTCGCCTTTGCACGAATAGAAGTGCTAAAAATTTGTTGCATTTTCTAATTGTAATTGTCAAAAACTATACATTTAATCATAGCAAATGAGTTTGGAACTCTCATTTTCCCATATATTGTCCTTATCAAAATGATATTATGACTCAGATCATCTTGAATTTTTAATTTTTCATACTGTCAAGATATACATAACTCCACATGGTTTTAATGGGGATAATCAGAGTTTTCCAAGGGATAGCTCACAACCTTTAAATGCATGTTATAGAGCACTAAGCACAATAGAAATATTATCTATAGTAAAAATTCATGAGAATTACCTTCTTCCATTTTGCAATCAGGTTGCGATCAGCATATCCTTGATCTAAACAAAATTCATACAATTCCTTTGAAATTTCCTTCCTCCGGTGGTAAAGGTCAAATATGTAGCGGCTCTTCTGATGTGCAATCTTAAATATAGGCCACAATGTCTCACATTTTCTTTTACCATCATGTGGATCATTCTCCGCTGCCACAGAAATAAACAGTATAAAACAGTCCTGAAAACAAAATCAAATTTTTGTAAAGCATGCAAAACATATATTACCTTCCCTCATTTTTGCTTGAAGATCGCGAAGGGTAGGTTCAATTAATTCCCAGCCCTCAGGATACTTAACGCGATTTGTCTTTACTTTAGGCATTTTCCTATCTGTCAAGTGAAACACAACATTGGAAGGGCAATTGCCAAATTTTCTACCAAACGATACGTATTCTACTTAATATTTAACCAACATCAGAAAAGCTATCCAATCAGTAGTTCAGACAAAAACTATCAAGAAATAATCAGTCACCAAACAAATAGCGTTCAGCATTCACAAGAGAAAGACGGTTCCATTACTGGTACAAGTCAAACAGAAGTTCGCTAAAGAGAAGTCAATATTTATTGTCATAAGAATCATCACTCGTCTTTGGGTGTCCTTTACTCAGGATATGTACTAGCTTCATACTAATGATGATTAACTCTTCATTTGAATAGCTTACGCATTAATATTGACCTATTTAAAAGCATTGGGCCTCTCATCAGGTTTTGAAGCAATTGATCCTTTTTTTCTCTTGGAAGGAGTAGCACCTCAACTAGTTCAGTGATTGATCTCTAAGCATAGTATGTAAGCCAAAAAAATCATAAGTTCAGTGATAATGATTTAAATGATAATGAAGACAGAACAACAGCTTCTGAATAACCAAGTGTGATTTGTCAAGCTTAATCACTTAATAATGTAGTTTCATGATTTCTGCAGGTGATTGGAGTTTTACCAAATTGTGTAGCAGAAAAAGTATAACAAAGACTTGAAAGGTTTCAAAGTACATGGTGCATGAATGCATTACTCTTCATGGTCATTTTTCTTGAAGTTATTGTTTCTTTACAACCAATTGTGCATTAAAGCAGGATATCTTAACAGAATCCAGCACCTTATCCATGGCTCAGCAGCTGTTACAGCCAATGGGCATAGATCACATGGGACAGTTGTTCCCAAATTTAACACAAAAAGAAGATTTTCTGCACAGCTACTTACATAGATAATGAATAAAGGAAGGGACGGGTAGCAGAAAATAGCATCAATCACTATTTTCTGAATTTTTACTATATATTTATAGACGTCTTGTTAAAAACAACATCAACCTATTTTCAAGAATCTCATCTCAATTAAAGATTTTAAAAAAATGAAGACATCCAAGAAGTGAACATTCTCTCAAGGAAATTATTCTGAAGTGCATTATTCATTCTCTCAATTAACCAGTTTTCAATCTAATACCAGCAGGGGAAAAAAAAGAGAAACAAAAATCCAAGTTAGATCAGATGCACAAACAGAGCAGAGCAACGGACTAGCAGAACCCAAAAGTGAAACAGAAATAGAGTGAAATTAAATGGGATGGCCGAGAAAAAAGGCCAGCAAAAGGGAAGGGAAGGCTGAGAACGATGTGAAGAGGAGCAAAAGAAAAAACGCACCTCAATTAGGTCGAAGAAGATCACGACGGCGGCTAGATTCACGACCGACGATCACGACGGCGGCTGCTCTCTGCGGAGGAAATGGAGATCGAAGAAGAGGGAAGGAAAAGTTAGATAGGGTTGGGATAATGCTGGAAAAGGCCGAAACTGAAATTGACATTATTTGCAACAATGCCATTGCTTAAAATAAGAGTGTTCTAGAGATTTATGGAAAATAAAGCAACATCTAAATATGTTATCATAAAAAATAAAAAATCATTTTTCAAAATGTAAAACATTGATTGAAAATATTTTTATTTTAAAATATGAAAATAATTTTTAAAAGTAGAAATTAAAATGACCCTGCACTTTCTTTTTTATTCTCGTTTTCATATTTTTTTTATTTCACAAGGACTATTTTAAAACATATAATCAAATGATTAAAAAAATTATCAAAATAATCAATAGTAATTAGTACTCCCTTCGCCTCAAATTATAAAGTATTTTTAAAGGAGTTTTTCCGTCTCAAAATATAAGACATTTTGAGTAGACTAAGGTTCCATTAAATGTATCATTTTTAATATTACCTTTTCTCTCTCTATAATTAATTTTTATCCATTTTTTAATGTATTAAATTATGAATATTTTTAAAAGTTTATATTTTTATTTTAAAAAAATAAGATTGTTAAATATATTTAATGAGATTTATTGATATGTAAGATTTCATTCAAAAGTGTTTTATAATTTGGGAGGGAGGGAGTAATATGGAAGGAATGATTGGCCACAAAAAAGGAAAAAAAAAAAAGCTGAATGGACCCTCATCCCTTTATATAAGATAAAAATTTTAAAATATGTTTGTAAAAAAATTTACACTAAGAAAACCACTTAAATTAAATTCGATAATGTCAAAAATAGATATTCATAAATTAAATAAAGCTCATTGAAAATCATGCCAAATCCAGATGCATCGAGAACCCACGACAGAGAATAGATGAGAGAATAGAAGAGTTTGAGAAAATAGTGAAAATAGAAGAGTTTTTTCTGTTAAGAAAGAATGAGAAGGGAAAGATGAATATGAAGAAGATATTTAACTTATATGTGTCTCTTTCTTATTGCATTTTTCATAAGGACAATTATATTGAAATCCCACACAAAAAAATTAATTACTGTAAGATTCATTAATAATTGATTGTGTTGTCAATGCAGTATTATCAATTCAATTTAGTTCAGTTATCAATAGACCTTACAGTAATTAATTTTCTTGTATGGGATCTAATTGTAATTCTCCCTTTTTCATATATGAAAAGCACTTTTTCACTAAGTTGTCTGGTTGTAATTTAATAAAATTAAGGGTAAAGGGACAAAAATATCCACAAAGTAATCAGCCACAGACATCTAGTATTTTAAAGTGAGGAAAAGAGTAAAAATATCTACAATATTACATGGATGGATGTAAAAATAACCAGGCCGTTAACTTTGACTTAACACTATTAACTTTGATCGTTAAATGCTGAATATGCATGTCACATGTCAGTCTTTGTTGACGTAGATTAATGAAAAGGTAAAAATATCTATAAAATCATCAGCCATGAGCAAAAAAACCCATGAAATCATATGTCAAGAACAAAAATATCCATAATCTTACCAAAATTGGTGCAAACGTGAACAATTCATCCAATCCCTTAAATGTTGATCGTTTAGCTGACATTTAAGCAAAAATTGACTTTTTTTTTTACTAGTGTAGACAAAAAATATTCCTTGATAAAATTCTTTAGAGATTAATTAGTCGTTGTATGAATATTATGTGAGAAAATGTCATTTTAACTAAATATCAAATTAAATCACTTGTTTCTTTGTAACAATGATGACGCATTTGAAAATTTTGAACCAATCACGAATGCAATTGTTTAAGATTGTGACAATGTTCTTAAGTTAAATGTGCTCAATCTTGATCTTCAATTTTGTATAACTTATCTTATTATGTTAAATCTCAAGTTTTGTAGATGAGAAAAATGAGTGGATAGAGAGAAAGGAAGGGGGCAAAATACATGACGATAGAAGAAAACCATGTGGTATTGAGTTTGATAGATTGGTACTTATACAATGATCGATCAACATTTGTAAAAATTCATTTGGAAATAATTTTTGTCTACATCAGTTAAATGGTTAACATTTAAAAGATTTGATAGATTGATCACTTTTGCACCAACTCTAATAACATTATAGGTATTTTTACTCTTGATCAATGACTTCATGGATATTTTTGCCCTTTTCTTTACTTTAGAATATTGGGTGTCTATAGTTGATCACTTTGTGAGTATTTTTGTCCTTTTACCTTAAAATCAATTGTGCTTTCTAAAAGTCCTTTTGGAATGAGGTAGATGTAAAAATTTAAAAGCTTCATTATGTTACTTTCTAAAAGTTCTTTTGGGATGAAATAATATTAAACTATATATTTTTTATTTTTATTATTTAATATCTTAAATTTTATGTTATTTTAATTTTCTTTTCACATTTTGTAAACACTTTTAATATATTATGTTTGTATAATAAAAATTACAAATTATAATAAATTAATATAATTTTTAATTATTACATATTCAAAAATACATTTTAAAAATATAAATTATCATTAATCTAAACAACTTTCAATTTATCATACTAAACTTTAAAAAAAATATCTAAACACAGATTTCATTTTAACAATTAACTTTCACTAAATTAATTGTTGTTAAATAAACTTTTAACAAATTAAAAACTAAACAGACACATAATATGAGTGATCATGGTAAGTCCGATTTCCTTAAAAGAGAATGATTACAATATGATATATCAGACTAATTATAATGTCTTAAAACTAAAATTTTAGTTAAACTTATTAAACTCATAAAAACATATATAAAAATCTAATAACACTGAATATTAAATTAAATATTTATATAGAAAATCCTAAAAAATAATTACAAATGGGAAAACACAATTATCATTTTTTATAATTTTATCAATTTTGCTTATAGTTTGTGTTATTTTTTTTTAATATTTTCAATTTTTATAATTTCAATAAGATTGAATAAAATTTATTCCTTAAATCTTTATAATTTAAATGCTTTCATATAAGAACTGAAAACATTAGAAAAAATTTATAAGGATTAAAAAAATTGATAAAATTATAAAAATCAATCATTGCATTTTACCAAAATCAATTATCAACATGAAAAGATAAACAAAGGCTAAAATACATTGAAATCACTAAGAAACTAATCAACGAATCTCCGCGTATGAATGATACTTTACATTTCGGCTAAATCGCGAGAATAGGGCCATCAGCCCATCACAATGTGATAATGTCTATAACAGATTAACAGTTTCACCAAAAACAAAACGTTAGTCTTACAGCCCCCTATAAATATATGATCTCCTGACTCATGCTCAAATTCTCGATGCCAAAAAAAAAAAAACCCTAATTAAACTTAACATAGCTTAAACAAAAACCCAGTAATAATAAACATAAATTGCTACACAACCAAGTTCTTCCATACATTCACGCCTTTACAACTTTTTATATTTTCCCCCCACTAAGAGATCAGATAGCTTTGGAAGCTCCCCAGGGATTGCGGGGGATCCAACTCCAATTGAAGCACACAAACTCAATAAAATACATGACAAATATTCCTTACTATGTCTATAGATATCTTAACCCTGCAATAATTTGCAGATGGAAAATCCTTCAAAAAATGAGAAATCTGATTTTGAAAATTTAAAACAACCAAATTAGCATCAAAGATACTTCTCCCATGGTTTATTAAAAAATAAAAAAATACTTTTCATGTGAGTGTACATTCGCGCGCGCGCGAGATCTCCAAAATAAATGTTTAGTCTTCATCCAACAACCAATAAATTTCTGGTATCCAGTAGAAACTGATATAAAATGACAAAAACATTCCATCATGGTCCAAAACTTGCACATTTTAACTGCATAAACAAGAATCAAGATTATCAAACCACAAACCAACTTGCCCTATAAAACTTTGCGCTGCAAAAACCCTACAAAGATCTACATAATTTCTCAAGAAATGTTACAATTTTCGCAATTTAAGTGTCATATCAATGAGAGAGAGAGAGAGAGAGAGAGAGAGAGAAGAAAAGATGGATAAGAGGTAAGATATTTACAGCCAACAAGGACCAAATAGGATGCCTCTAAAAAGTAGACATCCTATGATGCCCCAAACAACAAATTGGATTGGACCGTGACAATGTACAAATCTGGAGTGCTCTTTCCTTGAAGGCCCTGTATGCCCAGTTAAAAAGGTAAGCATATAGGCCAACTTCATAAATGACAAGAAAAAACTGACGGAGGCTCCATGAAAATCCAATGCTATACAGAAGAAACAACCTTCGTGAAGTTATGCAGAATCTCAACAGAATGTAGTACATGCCTGCCAGCAACATCTACACACAAGCTAGTTGAAGTCAAAACATGTCACTAACTGTAAGGTAATTTTCCGTGGTGTGAATTTTGAGAGAGAAATAAATCAGTTTCCCTCTACAGCGATTTGGAAAAAGAAAATGACAGATCTACCCCCCCTCCAAAAAAAAAAACCCCATCCGCCAGAGACAGAAAAGAAGGCTTATGAACTGGAACGACACGTAAAATTCAGGCATAACGGTGTTCTATGGAGGTATAAATCAGCATGCATTAACAGACCTACAAAATTACGAGGCTCATTGATGGCCCACCAAATGCTAACGCTGAAATCCATAGCCCGCAGGACCCCCATTGAATATAATGATGCCCATCAGACACACACCCAAACACATTTTGTTTTTGTTTTTTTTTTTTGGGGGGGGGGTTGGTTGGGGGAGGAGGGGGTTACCTGAGAATACGTCAAGGCCCAGATCAGTAACATTCAGCAGCTGTATCCACATTGAAGGATCTCAAAAGCTATTCCTTGACAAAGGGTTTTCACTTAAAATGCCACCAATCCCTGACTCTCAGTCCATTAGCAAACTTACACAGGTTTTCCCAAATGAACATGCCCCTCAACAGTTCCAACACAAGCTGAGGACAGGAGACGATAGCAAAATATAACATGGCTCACCAAACGTGTAATTTGACTGGAGACCAACAGGCATTAAGGCCTTAGAGCACGCAATTGTTTATCTTCCTAATTGCCAAATATTTCTCAGAACAATCCAATGTAAGAGCACACCTTATCCTGCTGGCCCGTTTTTCCAAGCTCCACCAGTTTGAAAAACATTAATATTCTTGTTTCTGAAAGGAAGCTTACAAAACTGCATCTGGATATAGGTGTCTCAATCCCATCTATTGAATAGTAGATGATGAAAGATCCAGAGCTTCAATGCCCATTAATGCCCATACTTCTGCACAACTCCAAATTAATAAATATAGCCCCCAGAAAGCCAGGTCAAGCAAGATCACAAGTCAGTTCCAAGGTCATTTGCCAATTGAATTATTCCACGCATTTGAAGGTACGGATTCTCCAACAATTTCTCATTGTTGCTCTACATAGCACAAAACAAGGCACAAACACGTAAGTAGCAAATTTATGTTTACTTAAAAAAGTCAACTTTCTAGGATGAACAAAATAAATCCTTGAGAAAACTGTAAAGTAAACAAACATCAGTTATTCAAAAGAAAACAAATAGCTTTTACTTGCACATAGGGCATGAATCCATAACCTTCGAGATACCAGCAATATAATATGGTCTTCCTAAAGTCAACACCTTAAAGGAGTTCGTCCATATATGACACATGCCAGCACCATTCAACACACATGATGTAAAGCTTTAATAGTTCCGGCATGCTCCAGACTTTATCCCTGGCTTATTTGTGTATTAGTGTTCATGCTTCATAGGTCACAACTCTATACAAATATTACCTGGCTGCAACTTGCATTGCATGCAGCACCGGCACAACTTTGCCACGGTGGATCAATGTCCACTTTGCAGAACAAGCTTAATCAGATTGACAGGAACAATATACCATAAAATATTAAACTCAGCCTTTACTCCAACCAAACAGTTTTAAGCTTTTTTTGTACATATATTTAACCGTCAACTTCATTAAAGGCTACATGAAAACCTGTTTACGATACATGTGATTTTTATTTTCCAAAATATTACTTTAGAACATGTAATTCCGTTCAAGTTTCATGTTGGTACCTCAATTTTTATCCACACCAATTTGGACTAAATATTTTATCCAAGATGCACGTAGTCCTTCACTGGCTGCTATCTTAATTCTCACTTATCGGATCCAAGCTAAAGTGGCTTTGCTACTAAGATGGATCCAAATTTCTCTCCTGAAAGTTTGACGAGTATGAACTGCTCATTGCTAGGACGCTGCTAAATTTGTGTCTAGAGGAAAATAGGAAGCAGTTCACAACTTTCCATAATGGTAATAATATCAAGAAATTGGCTTTAAAAGGCAGGCTTGTTCCCCTCTTTAACTGAACTGGATGAGTTTCTTTTAAACAAATGTTATAGGAGCCTGATAGAATTATAGAGGGGGCTGGGCCCAGACTGCATACCCAAAAGCCCAATGGAGTATGTCCCACAGATAACAAAGGGCCGGTCAGCATTTCAAAATAAATGCACTAGCAAGAACCAGTTTGATAGGTGCTCATGATGATAAAATGAAATAAAAGAAATAAATCTATTAAGATGGTATAGAACAAGAATCTCATTCTATATTTCTCTCAATAGCCACGCTTAAGAAAATCTTCAAAGGGTTCAAGAATAGTTTTATTGATGATGATATGCTACCTTCTAAGTTGCTAGTCATATTTATAATGCTAAATACAATATAAAATACTGAATAAAATCTAGATAACTAATTAGAATCTCCTAAAATCTAAATTACTAGATAAAATCTAAATATCAAAAATAATGAATGATAAAATAAAATCTAAACAATTAAATAGATAAATAAAATCAAGGGAAATATCTAAATAGAAAGCTAAATAAAATACTGAATCAAAAAATAATGAAATCCATCCTAATTTATCTTCTGACGCTTCCTTCTTAAACAAGTCTTTATGGGCACATTATCTTGAATCTTATCACAGTTCCTCCCAATATTTTAGGCAGCCAAGTGAAAGCCTGCTATTGGTTTTATCAATATCTTCATCACAAATTCTGACAAGAAAATTCTTTGGAAGAGAGCCACTCTCTATAAGTACAACAACATGAACCCCATTACTTGATATGTAGGACTAGGGCATCAAATACTTCCAAGTCCTCGTCATAAGACTCCTGTAGAATCCTCCATAGGTATTCATCTCTGCACCATTGGCTAACCAGCTATAGAACCTATGGTAGGACCCAAGGAGTCAAAAGGAAAACACCCTTCAAAAGTGCACAATCAAGTGTGAAAAATTAGGCACTACACCTAGCAACCCATAGAGCTCAAGAATTTCACAAGTCCCTCCATAGCTAATCTACAAGTAAACCTCAAAATCTGCTCACTAGTTAGTTGTATTAAGCATAAGTACCAACGATTATCTTCAAATCTACCTGTATAATGTTCTTAACAACTGTCATTTTAACCTTCTAACCAGATGCAGCTAAGTAATTTTCTCCAAAAGCCACTATGTTATCTATTTTACTTCATTGATTAATAATTAATGCTAGTCAAGAGACTTCTCAGAAAGTCAGAAACTATATATGAAAATTAATTGCCAAATAACACTTGTCAGTCTAAGTTTTCACAACTGTATCAGTGGAGCTACAAGCAAATTACTGAAGTGGGGGTACCTGCTGTGCTCTGACAACAAGATTCTGAAGCATATGTTGATATTTTTCTGGTTTCTCAGTCATCATTCGCTGCACAAAAAGAAAATTTTGACAAAAGTTAATATTTGATATGTAAGAACTATTATGTATTGCACGAATACTCAATATCAATAATTGAATCAAATTCCTACCTTCAGAAGAAAGGCAGAAGAGTAATATGCTACCCTGGAATCTGCGTCATCCAAGAATTCCCTGCAAGAAAGAAGGATTCATTGTTTGAAATGTCATAATAAGTAGGCCAACTCAACCACAACAAACACATTATAAGTTCAGAATACCTAAAAAATTGTTCTAGACCGACTTCCGCAAAAGCAGCAGGATCTGCAGTGCATTTACCAATAAGAAGTAGGAGAAGGGTGGCTCGAATATCTGATGTAGCACCAGGCAGGTTTCCTCTTCCTTTACTTCCAACAGCAACACCAAATGCAATATTGTCAGTTGCTGCTCCAGCCAGCTGGAATAATGGCCAATATAGCAATTCAGCAGGAACACGTGCAATCAATTGCATTGGAACAATGGCTCGCCCTTGTAGAAGAAGTGCTGCCATTGATGCAGTTTCATGATCCAGATAAAAGTTATTGGAGTAGCTAGATCTTCTATCAACATCTTCTTTGTTAAGTTCATCCCATTGAAAAGTATCTTGTTTGAGACCATTATCACCATCCAACTCCTTATTTTGACCCATGTATTTTAAACTTCGGTCACGTTGCATATCATCTCCAAAGGGCAATGCTGTTGCAGGCGGAACTCTCAGGCACAATTGAGAGAATAGTATATCGCACATCTGTTCAAAAACAGAATTGAGTAAAATAGGAATAATATGTCATAACATACTTGGGAATCCAAAATTGAATAGAAAATTCTCATAAGTTGCTCCAGAAATAATCACAAACAATTTTTACAAGTAAAATTCATTATTCAGGAAGCCTTATTAATCTAAACTCAAATATACATTTCTTTCAGTAGCCACTGCCCACTGATTTCAGATTTTATTAATCTAAACTCATAAATGCATTTACCAATAAGACCTAGCTCTGCCAGAATTTATTAATCACTAAACACTAAACTACCCAAGAAAGTTTCTGTATTAGAGCAATCCGCAATATCATAGTATTGATTCTTCTATTTCTTGATGGAATAGCTTGATAAATAGGATATTTACTTCCAACAGATTTTCATCTTTAATGTGGTTCATGCCTTCCTACTAATTAGTAAGGTGTGAAAAGGTTTTTGCAACAAGTAACTTTGAGCTCAGAAACAATTACTTTTAGAATATTGATACGGTCAGTCTCAGTTATCTGATACACCAGCCCCAAAGCCTCGCTCATTATGTCTATAACTGCATTGGCTTTCTCTAGATGCCAATCTTTCCGCTCAGGCCCATCAGTGCTGCTAACATGTTGCATTTCGTACTCATCTAACAAAAATTTGCATCTCATAAGAAGCCTTTCAAGAACAAAAAGGAACCCCCATCTAATATAGTTGTGTTTTGACTTTAAAAGCCCACACATGAGTGATATAGGCAAAGGAACATTTGATGCAACTGAAGAATCCTGAGTTCCAGCATCAGCAATTTTCTGCTGAAAGTGTTTGATATTTGCCCATATACTTCCACCCCTTTCCCCACTAATTTCAGCAATAAGCAGATCACCTAACCAGATATACCCATTTTGTCGGCAAGCAATTCTTTCAGAGTGAAGAAGGGAATGTAAAGTGGTCCATGAAAGCTTTGCCTTCAGACCAACACCATTTCCTTGAGCCACACCATCAATATGTTCCAGAAACTTGTGTGCTTTTGTCATTTGAATCATATAAGAGAACTCTTTGTCCAAATGACTGAATGAACTTATTATTGCATCAAATTTCTCTGCAACAATCTCCAAGAGCTGCAAACAACCAAAAAGAAACAAGCACAGTACAGGTTAAAGATGTTTTATTAAACAAATACAAGAGAAGAGAGAAAAAGAAAATAGCGAGAATGACAAAAAGGTCTCAAAAGGACCAATTAATTCAAGTTAGGTCCCAAGTGCCAAACTCAAAAAATTTACAACTCAATCTTTCAATTTTGCAACAATGTTGTAATGAATTTGCAACTTGTTTTTCTAAATTTTAACATGGTTGAAGAAAAAAAAATATTTTCCCTATTAAAATTTGAAATACAAGTTGCAAAATTTAAATATTGAGTTGCAAATTCTGAAATTTGGCACTTGGGACCTAACGTGAATTAATTGGTCCTTTTGGGAACTCTCTGTCATTCTCCCAAGAAAATATCAAGTCAGAAAACAAAATGAAGGTGATAACGATTAGTGAATTATATAAAAACCTAAAATTGAACCAAGCACATCATCAGTTGCCATAAACTACTGACATCATCTGAAGTGCATGATGTAACAAGTAGTACAGAACTGCAAAAACATGAAGACTAACATTTGCCATACTTTTCACCCAAAATGAAGACATAATCTTGTTTTTTCAAGGAGAATAGTCCTTCTATTTGCAATAGTTATCAGAACAAACTATTATGTAACTATGAATAGGAATATAGATAGTTCTTTTTTGCACGTATGATCGAAAATGCAACATTTTCCCCCACCCAGCACATACAGTGCTAACAGGAACCAGATTTATGTGTAGTTTGTAGGATTTTGACCTTGAACCAATAGTTTAAAGGGTTATTGCTGTCCATCCATTCTACATAACAAGCACCAGCAAAGAGAAGGGGGGGAGGTGGTGGTTAAAATAAAAACCCATAAAAAAAAAAAGTATAGTTCCTCTAAAACTACAATGCCAACTAGCAAAAGAAATTGACAAGGATGTACCATGTTTAGTCGTTCACTATTGGGATATCTGGACAGTGCAGATGCTATTGATCTTCTCAAAATTTCACCGATGCCTTCTACCCCCAATTTAACAGATATGTAAAATGCCTCAGGTGCATGCGTTTGAGCAAGCAAGGCAGCAAGGGTTGAATCTCATCATCACTATATTCGTTGACTCCTGTAGCCATACACGTTTCATTTATTTGATGTAGAACATAGTCAAAAAGCACTGAATACAAATTTCTCCTCTCTTCACTTGAGTTTGCAAGAGAATACTGCATTTAACAGGAAAAGAAGTTATGCAATATCCAATGAAAGCAGCTCAAGACTTCACCCTACCCTTTTCCCACAGACTGGCAGAGTATACATGCTAGTTAGTGGTTCCTAACTTAATATTTAAAAAATAACTAAACAAGTATCAGCCTTTTTCCCCTCAGACAGGAGTTATATAAATACTGCTTAATAAGATAATGCATACCCCAATTAAAATAAATTGAACTCCTCCAATCAGATCAAGCTGATCCACAAGAAACTTAGGCGTGCTCAGTACAGCTTCAGAAGCTTCATCAGGAACTTGATAAAACATGTTGGTTAACATAGAAATAAGCTTACAATGAACAAATTCTGCCCAAGAATTCTTCCAGCTGATTTCTATAAGTGCCTTGATAACCTAAAAGATGTTATATAACCAAATCAAACAAAGATACCATAAGTTACATTGACATCAAGCACATAATGAGAAAAAGAAAAGATAATAAAAGAAAGGATGGCTGCCAAATGACAGAAGACAGAAACAGGCAAGATTTAATAAAATCCGGTCATAAGAGCTGTTTCATGTTTTAATGTATTAAACCACCCAAATTTTGAGTCCAATAGCCTAGAGAGTGGGACAAACTGCAGGTATGGGCAGGAAAGAAAAAATACAGGAAGCTTGACAGAAGTTATTTATTGAAAATATTCTTCCCCCTGGACTGCCATAAAATACTCGTAGGTGCTGTTGGTGCAAGAATCCATTGACTTTCCTCAGAAACTCTGCTCAGGAAATTAAATGTGGCATGTTGAATATAACTTTTTTTAACAAAGTTATCTGGTAATCTCAATTTTCCCATGGCATACGGCGACTCATAAAACACGGGTAAGTAGATAACCTAATCCCACTTATAACCTTGAAATTTTAGGATTTCCATCTCTCCTGTCCTTTTTTGCTTTGCTATCACCGGCCTCTCCTGCTTTTTGTTCTTTGATGTTTGTTCATCACCAATACTATATCATTTTGCCACTTTCTGCAAAGTTTCCCAACTCAAGAATGGCAGAGAATCTCATGTTCACTCTCCTTAATTTAAGGCAAGATTTGAGGTCGTGTGCTGCAGAGAGTGCAGCAAAATGGGAGAAAGCAATCATCTAACCCGTTAGAAGAAATGGAGGAAGCATATTTTCACTGCAACTAAATGGTGGCCATAGCCTGTAGTCTAATACCAATAGGTCTAATATCAAAAGCATGATTGAGATTTGAAAGAGAGAAATGCAAATAGAAAAGCTAATTAAACAAACAAACATCCAATGAGCATGTTTTGTGGATCTAGAATGCCTGGGCGATTAGCTCTTACAGTTCTGCTACCAAACGACATTGTAAAGTAAAAGAAGGGAAAATCAGCCCTCACCCTTATATCAAGACCTTGCAATCGATTTCTCCAGATCCTTCCTCTATCACATACAAAATAAAGCAAACAGCTGAGTGCAGATGCCCATACAGATTCCTCCTCCTCCTCATTCTGCACAATGATAAGCATATCAGATGGCAAAAAGTTAACAGAGTGGCTAAGAATCTTCAAATGTAAAGCCATTAAAAGAATAATGACTAACCGCATGCAAAGTTAACACATAAAATTCCACATGCATCAGAGACACAAGATAAGGGAGGAAAAAAGAAAGAAAAAAATGAAAAAATAACAGAAATGAAAGGGAGGAAAAAGGGTATTGGACCTGAGACCTTTGAGACTCAAAAACGTACAAGCCCAAGCAAGAGAGAAAAAAATGGAGATAGATGACATAAAACCTCTAAGACTCAAAGAAGTACAATTATCACCTGCAATAATATCTTATGTCACTCTCTCTGACTTAAAACCAAACATAAAGCCAACAAATTCCATGAAAATTGCCATCATGAAAATTAGTTACCTTGCAGCTATATACTTGCAATGCACACCTTTTAAGAAAAACAGTTGCTTGGACTAGACTTTTAAAAGGAAAATTTCAGAGAATGGAGAAACAAAAATTAATAATACCTGGACAAGAAGAAGTAGTATCTCATACAAAATATTTAAAATCCAATGCTCAAAACTTTCAATTGCAGAGGAAATGTTAATATTGGGAGAATTTCCTTTTCTGCTCCCTTGGGCCAGAAGTTGAGAGTCGTCATAACAGGTCTCTTGAGAATAATCTTCTTCAATTGCAGAAGCATCATCAGCCATCATAGGTTCTAAAAGATGAGCATGAACCCCCAGGTTTAAAATTAAATCAAAAGCACGAATCCTGCAAGCTGATTTAGAAGAACTGAGCATCTCCTGAAATAAGTAGTTCAAAAACAAAATCAGTAACAGCAAAACAATTATAAATGTTGTCATGACAAAAATATTACTTTATTCACGCATCACCTCAAGCATAGAGAGAGTGAGAGGAGCAGCTGTCCGAGAATCTAGAACATACCTGCAAAATATATTTTTTTTAGAGCCATTATCCACTGTCAATGTAACAGAATAACAAAAAACACTATGGAAACATAAAATGATGGTACAAGTTCAATCAAGCAGATGGCACAAAATTAATACACAGTTCAAGGATCTGACACTCAACATGATATGCTTACCTAACAAAAGATAACTTCACTCAATCTTTAAAGTAAAGAAAAAAAAAAAACGTTCACCCTCAGAAATACGTTCATTAAATCTCAAAATTAGGAAGCATCAAATAACTATATCTAAGCAGTGACATGATATGATAGAGATTAAAAATTATATATCTATGTCCTTTCATTCGATAGCTTAAGCTTTTGAATCAAAGTTAATCTGACATAGTGACATGGCATCTGTTATAAATTTGTAATTAGGATCTAATTGGTTAGTTAGTTAGTTAATATAGCCGTTGGGAAGGGACGTCTATATATAGCCTAATAATTGTATTTTGATGTATTTTTTATGAGAAAGGACGTACTATCCAGTGACTCCGCGGCTTCTCTATTTTCTCTCAACTTCTTCTCTTTAATCTCTCATTCTTTTATGCTCTCTCTATACCTTCCTGTTCTTCTCTCATCCTTTTACTCTCTCAATTTTCGATCATTCCAAATTATTCCTACCTATCAGTGGTATCAGAGCAGACGCTCCTTGGCCACTTCATGTCCCATATTCATCATCAGCGGTACATGGTTCAAACTCAAAACCAGATCAAGAAAGAGATGGAAGAACGTGTGGGTCGACTGGAAGAAGGTCTTAATAAGGTAGATACCTTGACCGAATTAGTTGAAGGCATTTCCAACCAGTTAAAAATGCCCCATGCGTGATCGTGAGCATGAAGCGGGACATGACAGAGAAGGACGCCATGGGTATCATCGAAATCGCAACCAAGAATTAGAGGAACTACATCGTCGCGAAGGTTATGAATGCCATGGGTACTGACGGCCGACGCAGTTCACCAAAATGGACTTCCCAAAGTTCACCCAAGACGACGTCGAGGGCTGGATACTGAAATGCGAGCGTTAATTTGAGCTTGATGAGACCCCCGAAGAATCGAAAGTCAAGATTGTAAGCATGTATCTTGATCCAAAAGCATTCCAGTGGCACATCGCGTACGAGAAATCGTGGGCAGGCATGCAACCCACTTGGGATGAATATATCAACGAATTAAAGGATCGGTTTAGGCCTGTTCATGAGACTCCCATGAGCGACTTGGTGCGTCTGAAGCATCAAGGGACGTTGGCTGAATATAATGATGAGTTCGACACCATATCATGCAAACTAAGCTTCTCTAAAGAATATTTGGTAGATGTGTATCTCAATGGATTATTGGAAGAGATTGCGGGATTTGTCAGGTTATTTAAACCAAGAACCATGAGAGAAGCACAAAGCTTGGCAAGAATGCAAGAGATCACGTTAAAAAGGCAAGCTAAGAAGAAAAGTCAGCACAAGAACATTGGACAAGTGGCAGCGGTAGCTTCTTCCACACAACTCCCTGACCAAAACACTTGGCGATCATATAAAAATGCTTTGATCGGTGGTGGGACCCAAGGAAAGGGAAAGTCAACATCTTTATCTTCAAAAACCCCTTCTTTTAACCAAAAAATTGTTAATAAACCACTCAAAATTCTCTCGGCAGAGGACGAAGCAAAGCACAGGATATGTTTTTACTACCATGAAAAATTCTCAAGAGACCATAAATGTCCTCAATGTCAGAAGCTACAACTCCACTTCTTGGAAATTCAAGACAGTCAAGAAGATGCTCTTTTGGAAGAAATTATGGAAGTCAGGGAAGAAGATGACAGACCCAATATTTCTATTCATGCGATAGAGGGAGTTGATGGGAATTCTTCCATGCGAGTCATAGGACACTGGCAAGAGGCAGCTTCAGATCTTAATTGACAGTGGAAGCACTCATGATTTTTTGGACCTTAAGGTGGCAAAAACACTTGGGTGGCAACCTGATGGAACCAATAAAGCCTAGGTAGAGGTAGCTGGAGGAAGAAAGCTTAAGGTGCATGGTATTTGGAAAGGATTCAAGTGGAGAATGCAAGGCTTAGAATTTTCTTTTGATTTTAGAATTCTTGAAATGTATACATATGACTTAGTCCTGGGGCTTAAATGGCTCAAAAGCATTAAAAATCCATTCTGGGATTATGAGTCGTTAACCATGTCTTTTTGGCTTGAGGGGAAGTTGTGTAAGCTTCAGGCTACTCATCCTAATTCTCTACGCCTAATTCAATTGAAGAAGCTGGAATTCAAAGACCTGAATGAGGGTCAAGTTTTTTTACTCCAACTAGTGGCCACAGGACAGGAAAAGATGGAATGTCTTTCTATCCATGCTGGTTCAGATGTTCTAGGGGAAATTTTTGGGGTTCTACAAGAATTTCTTGACTTATTTGAAGCACCAAGAGGGCTGCCACCATTAAGGGAAGGCCATGATCATTCGATAGTTCTTAAGGAAGGGACCAATCCCATTAATCTCAAGCCATACAGATACCCATCAGCTCAAAAGGATATTATTGAGCAATTGGTAGGAGAATTATTGCCTAATGGGGTGATTCAAGAAAGCTCAAGCCCATTTTCAGCCCCTATTGTACTGGTCAAAAAGAAGGATGGCACTTAGAGGATGTGCATAGATTATAGGGAATTAAATAAGAAAACTGTGAAAAATCAATACCCAATTCCCTTAGTGGAAGACCTCTTGGATGAGTTAAGTGTTGCAAAATGGTTTACAAAATTAGACTTGAGGGCTGGTTATCATCACATCCGAATGGTGCCTCAAGATGTTTCAAAGACTGCTTTTAAGACACATAGTGGGCATTATGAATGGTTAGTTATGCTATTTGGTCTAATTAATGCACCAGCAACTTTTCAAGGAGCTATGAATAGCATATTCCGTCCTTATTTGAGGAAGTTTGTGTTTTTTTTTTTGATGATATATTAATCCATAGCTCTAATCTCAATGATCATGTGCAGCACCTCAAGGAAGTGTTTTCTATTTTGAGACAGCATCAGTTTTTTATTAAAAAGAGCAAATGTTCTTTTGCAGCAAGTGAAGTTGAGTATTTGGGTTATTTAATTGGTGGTGGGCAAGTCCGGACAGATCCCAAGAAGGTCCAAGCTGTGGCTGAATGGCCTGAACCCACAAATATTAAGCAATTGAGGGCTTTCTTGGGGCTGGCTGGATACTATAGAAGGTTTGTCAAGAGCTATGGGATTTTAGCCAAGCCACTAACTCTTCTTCTTAAGAAGAATGGATTTGAGTGGTCAAAGGTAGCTGCTGCAGCTTTTACTAAACTCAAAGAAGTCCTTATTTCTGCTCCAGTACTTACCCTTCCAGATTTCTCAAAACAATTTGTAGTTGAAACTGATGCATGTGGAGTAGGGGTAGGGGCTGTTCTAATGCAGTCAGGTCAACCAATTGCTTATTTTAGCAAGGGTTTGGCTGAAAGGCATCAAAAACTCTCAATATATGAAAAGGAATTGATGGCTGTGGTCTTGGCTGTGCTTTATTGGCATCAATATTTGGAAAGGCAAAAATTTATAATAAGGTCAGATCAGCAAAGCCTAAAATATCTGCTTGGGCAGAAGTTAAAGACCAGCTTTCAGATGTTTTGGGTTGCTAAATTGGCCGGTTTTGACTATGAGATTCAGCACAAAAAGGGTAATGAAAATTCTGTTGCAGATGCTCTCTCAAGAATACCGAAACAGCAAATTATGCAGATGATTTTAGACACATTGTCACCAGAGTTATGTGAGAAAATCAAGGGAGGTTGGGACGTAGATGCTGTTATTTCAGAAATCCAGAAGAAAACTCAAGAAAATGAGGGAGTGTGGGGTCATTTTTCTCGGGATGGGAGCTTATTAAGAAGAAAAGGGAAGCTGGTGATAGGTTCTGATCCTCATTTGAGGCAGAAAATATTAGAGTGGCTCCATGCCAGCCCACAAGGCAGTCATTCAGGAATCCAGGCTACATATCAGAGGGTTAAGGCCTTATTTTGGTGGAAAAAAATAATAATTGACATTTCTGATTTTATTAAACAGTGTGATACATGTGCTAGGTGTAAGTATGAGACTGTTGCTGCCCTGGACTATTATAGCCTTTGCCTATTTCTAGCAAGGTGTGGGAGAGTATCACTATGGATTTTATTGAGGGACTCCCTAAATCCTTTGGTAAGGACACTATTTGGGTAGTAATTGACCGTATGAGTAAATATAAACACTTTTTACCACTCACTCATCCCTTTCAAGCTTCTATTTTAGCTCAAATTTTTATGGATTAGGTTTATAAATTACATGGGGCCCCATCTGAACTTATCAGTGACCATGACCTTTTATTTGTTAGCGGGTTTTGGAAAGAGTTTTTGCAGGTTTTGGGGGTAAAGCAACTTCTTTCCACTGCTTATCACCCTCAAACGGATGGGCAGTCCGAAGTGCTTAATCGTTGTTTGGAAACCTATCTTCAGTGTATGTGTTGGGAACAGCCCAAGCAGTGGAGTGAGTGGTTGTCTCATGTGGAGTGGTGGTATAATACCACTTTTCACACAGCAACTAAGGCTACTCCCTATGAACTTCTATATGGTCAGAAACCTCCTCTCCATTCTCCTCATTTACCTCATAATAGTGTGCTAGATGCTGTGGACAGGTCATTTACAGCAAGAGAAGAGATGATAGCTGTTCTCAAACATCATCTCCATCGGGCCGCAAATATGATGAAGCAAAAGGCAGATTCGCACAGATCTGATCGGGAATTTGCAGTGGGACAATGGGTTTTCTTAAAGTTACAACCCTATAGACAACTTTCTACAATTGCTAGGAGTAACCAAAAATTGGCTCCTAGATATTTTGGTCCTTACAAAGTGATTCAAAGAGTTAGAGCAGTGGCGTACAAGTTAGAACTACCACCTGATTCCAGAATACATACAACTTTTCATGTATCCTTATTGAAGCTATGTCCTGATCCTAAAGTCAAGCAGAGGCATCCACCTCTTGACTGGCCTCAAGTACCTCCAGTTTTAGAACCTGAATGCATTTTGCAGAAAAGAGTTGGTCGGAAAAAGAGGAGGATAATTACTGAAATTTTGGTCAAGTGGAAACAATTACCAGAGGAAGAAGCATCCTGGACAGCTCTGCATCATTTCCAGCAGCAATTTCCTCAATTTGTTATTACTGATCCTTGAGGGCAAGGATCTCTTTAAGGGGGGTATTGTTATAAATTTGTAATTAGGATATAATTGGTTAGTTAGTTAGTTAATATAGCCATTGGGAAGGGACGTCTATATATAGCCTAATAATTGTATTTTGATGTATTTTTTATGAGAAAGGACGTATTATCTAGTGACTCCTCGGCTTCTCTATTTTCTCTCAACTTCTTCTCTTTAATCTCTCATTCTTCTCTGCTCTCTCTCTACCTTCCTGTTCTTCTCTCATCCTTTTACTCTCTCAATTTTCGATCATTCCAAATTATTCCCACCTATCAGTATCATAGTCTCCACCACCATTTGATCAAAGGTCAATCCTTGCCACCCCTATCTTGCTTCATAGCTAAATGAAACTTTCAAGATATTGCAGGTTCTACATTTCAAGGGTTCTGTGTAGAGGGGAATGTTAAAAGAGTAATGAAACTATTCATGGGCATTCACTGAACAAGTTAAGCATTTAAGCTGAGGTCCTTGACATATTCCATGCAAAATTACAAAAAATTGAAGAGAACCAAGATGGCCAATAACAGATTGAAGTCCAAGTTGCTAAAGGACACATTACAAGACTTACCAGATCATGAACTAGAAAAGAAGAGCCTGCCAGGGTAACGACAGGATGTCAAATAAAGGCCTGAAGTTGGTTGACAGATTGACGGCAAAATTAGGCCCAAACCTAGCTGTTAGTTTTTCATTAATGTTCTTGTTATGTAATAAATAGATAAATAAGAGTTAGTTAAAGGGGTTAACATATGGTTAGTTGATTAGTGTCTATAAAAGGGGATGAAGAGCCGTTGAAATGGGTGTTGAAACTAATGGAACAGTATTAGATCTTTTTTCACAATTACAATGACTCTTTATAACTTTTTATGGACGTTAATCAACTTATTATCTGTTAACCTCTTTAACTAACACCTATTTATCTATTTACTAGGTAACTTCCATAATGTAAATAAGCATGTTGTGTGCAGTGCACATGATATCATTGATGAGGTGACATGTTTATAAGAACCTGACATTATTTAGCAGTCTGGATTTTTTTCTCAAAATAAACTTGTGTTTTCATTTTTAATAAAGCCCATTAGGGTATTAGGGTTCCTAATGAAATGTAGCCTATTTAAACAATTCAAGAGAGTTGGAGGCAGACTAGTTTCTGAGTAATAACAGTCATGCGAGTTTCATTGGCTCTCTCTGTCTTTCTCCAGGAATTGTAAGAACTTACGAAAGGTGAGTCCTTTGTGGCATTCAGTTCTCTTTTATTCTATCTATATTAATGAGTTGTATCTCATTGGGTCTAAAATCCTGCATCAGAATTTAAGAGTTAAGATTTCTTAATTCACTTGATTTTGGGGCTTCAAGTCAATCTACTTGGGATTTCCTCATCAACTATATACTGAAATATATCAAATGGGTTATAAGAGGTTATATATAGAACTTTGCTTAACAATTTAAGCTTTCGAGCTTACTTAGACTTTGACAAGGCCTGAGAGCCTTTATTAGAGAGTTTGATCCAAACAACAAACATACTAAAAACACTTCAAGACTTGAGAGTTTTTTTTTTTTTTTTTTTTTGCCAATCAAGACTTAAAGAGTTTAAATAGTTCAGTGACTGACCCAAACGACACATACTAAAAAAATGAATATTGTCATTAAAATGCAAGAGCAGATTACCAAGACACAACAACATTTTAATCTCATGCTCAAATTGAGAAATGTGCTTTGAGTATATATATTCTAATTGAAACGTTTCCACAATCAACATGAATGTTTTAAGAACAATGTTATCCATCAAGTGATGAATACCGGCCACAACACCAGCCATCATGCCATGCATTAGTAACCCATAGGTTAAAAAATAGTCAGTAGAAGAGAATATCAGATTAAGATTATGCGTCTATGGCAACATTTCAGCATTCTTATTTTACACTCAATTTATGGAAACTGTCTTGACTAATATATTATAATTCAACCACTTACACAAAAAACATGTATTATGCCAACAAAAGAAGAAAAGGTTGTTTAAGAAAATTTATACAAGAACCAGAGTCCCCACAAACAGGGAGCAATAAACAACACATGCTAGAAACCACTGCCCCGCATGACAACAATGGCCATCAGTTTCTACCACATATTTAGTAATGGCCATCCTTGAATTGCTGTCAAATGGCACGAACTTGTGACTTGCTTTTGAATTATTCTATTAACTTCCTTTTAAAGCAAGAGACCACTTTCGCAAAATTGTTATTTGAAATTTTCATTCATCATTTCTCTTGTAATGCACAAGAATAAATCATATCATACTACAACTCACTTCCTCCTCTTTTCTGCAATGCTTAAACATTGACTATTTAAGTTGTCCCTTTCTTTTATAAGTGAAAGGGGAGGCTTGTCAAACTTTCTTTCGTTAATCAGCAAAATAGGAATGGTCTAGCCAAGTTTTATCATGTGTGAATGCAAGTGATGAAAGGAAGACATGGGTAAGGTATACAATCAAGAATGGAATGAAACGTAATAGACAAGCGGGTTGAAGCATACATGTCAATAACAAGTTTAATGAGGACGCTCACAGCCACATCCATCGATGGATTTCCACTGGTATTGCTCAGTCTTCTTGTCAGTGTCATCACATTGGTACTTGGTGAGGAAGACTCTGAGCAAACTGCAGCAATAACTTCACGTACCTCAGCAGGATTCAGCCGCAAAGGTTGTTGCTCACTGGTCAGAACAAGTTAAAATTTTGAACATTGTACAAAACAATCAACTTAAAACAGAATGATTAATAGTTGTAAATTTCTTCAGTGAAAACATAGGCAGTAGAAATTTTTCACTTTGCGAATTAATTTTATATGCTTGAACTAAACAGAAAGGAAATCAACTGAGCTGCAAAGAAAGATAACATCCACCAAAAGTTCAAAAAGATAAAGAAAGAACATGATGACAATAAAGCAAATGGTTTGCATGTTAACATGCTCATGCATTCTATCATCATCCGGCTGGGATTGCAGGGCTTCCTTTCCACTTTCAATCCTCACATAACAACACATGGTACTAGACCACCTGCTCTCTCTAGCTTTGTTTCTGACTTCATAACCTGTCTTCTCTTTTCTTTTCACACCAAAACAGATGCACGGTTTCACTCAATCAGCAAGGAGATAAAGGCAAAGGGACAAGGCGCAACATGAGGGAACTACTAGCAGCACAAAAATAGCAGGATAAGAATGACAAATAAGGGTCATTTCTGAGATTGAATATTGCAGGTTTCAAGTGCTACATGAAGAACTGGCAAATGGTAATGGCGGAGGAGATCCTTCTGCTTGACAGAAAGGTTAAGAAGATAAAACTTCATCCATAAAAGGAGGGAACTAAAAGGCAGAGAATGGGAACTTTGTCATAGAATACTATCCAAACGAGGTAAGTTTCCAAAGTGCATAAGGACATGGATCAATAATAATGAGGTATACAAATCCTACAATTTCAAAGTACCCACAACGAGGAAAATAACAAGAGATAGAAGAGTCTCTCTAGGTTTATCAATGAATATCCATCAAGTAACTCTTTAATTGGTTGAACGTGTTCATTAATAATTGTGAAGTTCAAAGCAAAATGTTAGAACAAATCACTCATTTTTTAACAAACAAGTTTTTTAAGTGTAACATCCTCATATTTACAACAAAATCAATAATGCTTTTGAATTCATTAATTTAACAAAACATTTGAGCAATTATGATAAAAATATTTTGAGCGTATTAAACTAATTCTTGGTACATATGGACAAAAATAAAACAAAATATATGCATATAATAGGACAATAGAGACGCAGTTGATAGAGAGTGAGATATAATTATAAAATAAAACATGAAAATAATGTGAAGTTCGAAGAGATAAGTGAGTGAGTTGTACCTTATGTGAATGTATGGTATGAAGAGAATGAAGACAAATAGGAAATGCTGGGATAGTAAGAAATAGAAAGGAAAGAAGTGAGTGGTACAGGGCAGATTGAGAAGCCAAACAACATGAGGGATAGAGGGAAAGGGGGAGAGAGAGATGGAGAGAACCATTCTGATTGGGTGATATATTACCAGCCATGTATATCTTCCAAAAAGTAAATTTTCCATTTTTTTTTATTTCCGCTTGCCATGTGGCTTCTGGGTAAACCATGCACGCATGCAGATACTTCTACAATCCATTCATCTACTTATATATGATATTGTCACATACTCCTGCACCCACTCCTACTATTACGTCACTCATCTCCACACCTCACCACTTCACACACACAAATAGATATATAGTTATATAAAAAAAATGTTTTTGTTCAGTAACTTATTTTCATTTTATGATAATTCTTTTGGTAGGGTTTTATTGATCATTTTCTTTACCAAGAGAGTTCAATACCTTCATTCCCTTCTTTTTATCTGTCTTTATACCATACATCGATATCAGACACAACCCACTAACTTATCCCTTCAAACTTTACACTATTTTCCTGTTCAAACTTTACACAAATTGATCATTAGTTCAATAATATCTCACTCCCTACCCCATTTCCTTGCCCAGATCACTAACTTGCATAATCATGTATCTCCACTTTAAAGATTTTTTTTTCTTAGCTTTTATTCATGATTCCCAAAAATGCCTTAAATATCCCTTTTTTAATGTGAAATCAACTGTGTTCCTATTTTCTTATTACATGTACATATACATATATTTTCCTTTTTTTGGTAACACAGGAACTGCGCATATATATTTTCTGCCATTCAAAATCTTGGCTTGATTGTGAGTGCATCTTTCTCTCACCAATCAAGTCATGAGTTCAAAACAGCACTCTTCTGTTGAACCAAAAACTAGGGTATATATATTTTCTATTTTCGTTTCTAGTTGCACAAATATTTTATTAAAGATATATCAAGAATATTATTAATTTTGTTGTTGTTGTTGTTGTTGTATGAGGATGTTACATGAAGTACCAAGAAGCACAGGAGAGATCCCAAGACAATGTCAAATGCAAATAGTAATGGCACTGAAAAACCAAATGAATTGTTCAGTGAACAACTTGAATGATCATAGCTCAATTTATTAAACCAAAAAACATTTTTTAGCATCAGGGACTGCGGGGATGACATTTGAGTTTAGACTACTATGCCCAGTGCCCAAGCCAACTTGGTTGTCGCCTGGTTTTCTCATTTTGGTCTTTTTCTCTTCAGTGTGTTTTGGCCTGACCCAAAGTGACCAGGCCAAACCAGGTTAACCGTGGCCAATTGGGCATGTGTGCACCCCTATATGCCTCTGCCAGCATAGGAGGAAAATAAACACGTGAACCATGCATTCCAGAAAGAGCATAATGGTATCGCTCTCTCCCATCACCGCCCATCTTGACTCTTGAGAGCCAATTTACAGAAATTACAAAACTTTTAGGAAATATGCAAGCCCTTGCTCGTTCAGGAAAAAAAATGACCACCATCAATTTTGTACATTTCTTTTAGCATTTTCTGCTTAAGTCAAAATGAAGAAAATTCTGAATCTGAATTGGAAAACAAAATGCGACTTCTACTTCTGTGAATGGTTCTCAAGTAAAACCAGAAAGTGAATTATAGCACCAATTTTAGGGCAATGACTAATGAGAGTACATGCAAATACTTGTATCAAATTCTGTTGAATTTCTGCGTCCATACCTGTAATGACGATACTGGAAGAGTCGTCGAGCTCGGGGACGGAACGTACTCATAGGAGAATCCTCCCTGTGGAAAAAGCTATCCTTAGAAGGAATAATACATCATGAAACACTTTTAGCGCATTAAAAGTAGCAAATATAAACTTCAGACTATCCAACTAAAGCTGTAAGCAAAAACATACATCTGATGATAGCTATCCACTTCAGTTACCAATCAGTTAATGTTATCCTAATCAAAATAGAACACTTAATCTAATCTTATCCTAATTAAAACACAACACTTAAGCAAGAACTAATCCATAGTAATATTATCCAAAAATAATTACAAAACTGATAAGGATTAATTATTAATTAAATAAGGAAATATGATAACAAAAGGCATCTTAATTCAAAATGTTATTTCCAACCCCCCCAAGCTGAATATTTCTAGCATGGAGCTATTCAAGCATTGCCAGTTGTCTTTTCCAAGACCAATTCCCTCTTATGCAGGAGTGCTAAAAGAGTAAAACCCAAAACTTCTTCTGCAGCATTCTGGTCCTTCTTTGTTATTTATTTATTTATTTTGTTCATCACTAACTCATGGTTCTCATGTCTTGCTTTTGGCTTCCAGTTTGATGGCTTGCTATGAATTTTCCAGCAGACCTCCTTGGTCTGGCCCTTTTTTTGGCAATGATCACAGCATAACTTTCCTTCTTTGACTTGTTATCATTGCTGTAAGCTGGTAGGCCAAGTGCTGCCAATGCAATGGCTTAATCTTGATTTAAGGTGCAGGAACTTTTCATCAACTTCCTTCACTCTCCTCATGCCTTGCTTCTGAAAACATAACTTTAATTTAAGGTAGAGGTGCTATAGCATCTATCCTTCCACATGACTCATTTAATGGGTTGTTCACAAGCACAAGGAATTTATAAATCTTCCTTTTCTCACAGCATTTCTATACTTAGTTCTCAGTAATGAATTCCCATATGTGGGTCTCCCATATGTCTAGCTTCTGCCACTAACATGAAAGTGCCAATTATTGGTTTATGAGCACCTCTCCCAGTTTTCGCTCATGTATAGGCTTTCTAACTCAAATACAAGTGCAGCATTCTCGAGTTAAATACGACTAATGCACAACTTCCTAGATCCCATGGGCAGCCTCATATGAGAGAAAGTTCCCCCCATTTGAGTTACTCAGCCAAGCCATCACTATGTGATTCTTGGCCTGCCAAATCTTGTATTTAGTGTTATTTATTTCGATTGGCAGGCTTGGCAACATAGGTAGTCCTCCTTCAGCTTCTCACAAATAAAATGAGGACAGATGGACTCCATTGAAGAAAATTATCCCCACTAAGTTTCTGACTTTGTAACAAGAACCGGTATACCATCCATGAAAAGTAGTCTCCAGGGATGATCCTGGGGCTTCATTATTCAGAAAGATTTGGCAGCTGTATTTACGCATAGGCTTAATAATCCTGTTAACTTATTTTATTGAACAGCAACGGTGTATCTAGAAGATAAAAGGAGAGCGAACTCCAATCAAACTATCAGATGAAACTTAATGGTGATCCTATAGGTATTGTATCAAAACTTAACACTTAAACTAACATTATCTCATAACAGAACACTCACACTAATCTTAAAAAGCATCAAAACATTCAAAATTAAATAAAAACAAGTAAATCTTAACTAGAGCAATCCCTGAACATTTGCATAGAACAAAAGATGAGGCATTATAAACAATGAAACTTCTACATTTCTCATATTTTATGTTGAATATTGGCTAAACAAATAAAATAAATAAAAAAAAAACGGAAGTAAAATAATCATAATTTCCAGCAGTTTTCATAGAATCCACAGTACTTTATCAGCATAATATATTAACTTAAGCAGGCTACTCCAAAGGCCCCAGTAACTTCAGATCAAGGCCTCTCAGCAGTTGTGTATTGTAAACAAATCTTTCAAAACTAACTAGGCTTAACCAGAACTTCACTCGTAATTTGGACAAGGCTTCTTCTTAATTTCACATTAGGTTTTATCTATCTTTAATGCTAAGACCACACCTGCAGAAGTTTTAGGTCATTTTTAGGCATATACAGATACAAGGCTGCATTTTTGTCGCTATAAATTCTTTATTTCAGCCACACCAGCCTAACAATTAGGCAGTTGTTACATTTTCTCCAATATAGCAACAATAAATTCTCAACACAAAAAATGGACCAGAACAGCATGGTCCCAAGGTCTAAGGTTCTATCAGTCCACCAGAGTCTAAAGACAATGACATGATATTTGAGAGGTACTCCAACCCCAGGATTGCTCCATTAGAACTCATGGGAAAAAAATTGCAGCCTTTAATATGGTATTTATTGAAAAATGAATGTTAAGATCAAGGCAAGGCCTCATTGAAAAAGCGAAGATGAGAAAAATAAATGATAGGGAAGAAACAGGTCATTAAAAGATGTGATTATGCATGCGTGCGAGAGAGAGAGAGAGAGAGAGAGAGAGAGAGCATACCAAATTTGACGAGGGCCTGGTTTATTGCGTTTAGATGCTGTTATTGCTCTCAAGTGAGGATGAGAAGATGCAGAATTAGTAATTGGTGTAACTGGGGAGGACTGCAAAAGTTGATCCAAGTAGGGCATATCATCAGTTCCAAAAATTTTCCACGGCTGCCCTTTCATCTTAGATTCAACGTTTCCCACAAGTAATGCTGCAGCGCCTACTTCTAAGAAACTATATGCCCCTACATCTTGAGAATTCACGGCATGATCACTGTAGAAAAGCATGTCAAAAACGAATTTATTTCTGAACCAATATGAGGAAAAAAGTTATCACCAATAAGGCTGCAACCAAAACAAACTGAGTGTAAAAATGAATTATTTACTTTTCTGATGGTACTGATGATAAATGATGTTCCTCTAGCCAGCGCCATTTTAGGACATCATGGGCAATGAACTCAAGTTCATCCTTTTCATCAATTTTTTCGATTTTTGATAACTTTGAAGCAGATGAAGCAATTGAATCATTCTCTAATGCTTCAGGAGCAGTCACTGGAGATAATTGTGTTTTGAAGGATTTACTTAGCAAAGATGACAATGATGGCAGAGATTGTGCAGACGAAGAAGGTGCCCCAGCAAATGCAGCTGGCTGAAAATACCGCTTTGGGATGTGTTGAGCCACAAGGGAACGAATATAACTCAGTGACTTCATTAGTGCCTCGGAAGCAAAGCTAGATACAGGCAAAGGAGACATATTTGTAGACGTTGGTGAGCCAGACTGTGGCTTCAAAGATTGTGACCATGGCCGATTCAAGTTAAGATCACATTCAGCAATTATGTTTGAACAGAACCGATCTATCTGAATCAATGTCTCCTCACTCGGTTTGTATCTGATTGAATTAAAATGAGATGTGAATTTCTAATGTCATAGGAAGCAATCAATAACGGTTGGTTTCTTGTCCAATACACAGTCATAAAATTAATGGAAGTCAGAAGAATAATTCTCTCCTAAGTGAGATGGATGAAAGGAACTTCTGATGAAAAACTGACATTCCACAGATACGATGCTGAATACCATTGAATATTCATTTATTCAGGGAACATACCTTAGAAGGTACCGTTTCAAAAGTGCCACACACCTTGTGACCACTGCAGGACTGGATAAACAGTAAGTATATTAGAAGTACAACTTAAGATGCCTCATATAATGTTCAAAAGCAGTAACAAAGAAAAACACATAAGGACTTGTCCTGGTCCAGACTATAGACAGAACAAAGAACCCTCTCTTGTGCCACTTTGGAGGTTTCAAGCAGAGCAAAGATGCCAAGGCTCCTTTCCTTGGCCATGTGCAACATACAGTGATATTCGTCAATTTGCTGGTTAAGGACAGAGAGGAAACCAGAATTTCAAACATAGCTGCCTCTTTTGAGCGTGAAAAATAGATCTCCTTAGCCTCTTAATGAAGCATGGCTAGAGGCTATTTTAGAGGAGTTTCCTCGTTCAACATGAAGATTGCAATGACCGGTTCACTGTCCTCATTAGAAGTTCTTATCTTATTTGTTCTGGCTGTGCAATTTTTTGGTTTCTCCTAGGAGGATATCTTGTTCTCTGCTCTTATACTTTTTTCATTTCCTTCTCTAATAATACCTATAGTATATTAGAAGAAAGCTGAAATTAAGGGGGGAAATATGCTAATACGTCCTGTACTTCTTGCGAATAACTATCATTTTCTTTAAAATACGGAGAATAAACCCCTGTACTTTGAAAGTAAACATTACCCTTCAAATCCTGTTAAATATTTAATTAAGACCTCACAGGCACGTGTGGCAGAATGGAGAAAATGGAGGGAAAATCATGCAATCCAATATCCGAGGGTTTTTTTGGGCCCTTTCTTCGTTCATATTTTTTAATATTTATTTAAAAATTATAAATTATAAATGTAGATGACATGACGAAATTCACCCAAAAAAATGTAGAAAATGTTAGTCAACCAGAACATGCTGCACATCTGTGCAAAAAAAGAAATCAGAACATGCCTAACATCATTCCACACAAGTGCATTCTTCATTAAATATTTAACAATAGGTGGAACAAAGGGTCTGATATTTGGGTTTGGGATTTATGTTAATTAAGCATCATCTGGTCTCATTACAATATCTGATTGTTCCTTGTAGGTTGTTGGCCCCAGAAAACATGTTCCTCGTAGGTTTATAAGTGGTAGGAACTCTTAATCCCCATGCAATAAGGGTTGCATTCCTAGCCCCTATAAGATAGTCACAAGAAGACTACTTAGACAATTACAATGCCTTCATTTAGTCAAATAGTCAAATCAATGATTTTTACAGTAAGTAGCTTTATCATTCATTTTGTTCTGCAATCAAACCCAAGGTGTAAAGCCTAGGTCACTATAGGTTTAAAGATGCCTTGGATAATTGTCTTCTCAGATCTCACTTGGTGTGTATAATGTTGTTGACTACCCAGCCCTACGTTCTTGGCAAACAGCATAAAAACTTTTCTTTCATGAGCCAAGCAGATGCTTCGCTCAAATATAACACGTAACCCATCAAGCCAAACAGCCAAATTCAGGAAAACACTGTATCTTCAAAACAAAACATGCAGAACAAGCCTCTCAAACACAATACACCATATGTTCAAGGCTAAACACGGAAAAGAATATCTACACTTAAATAAGATTATTTCAATGCACTCTGAATGCCCAGCTGTTATTTCATCACTCTCCAACAAAATTAGCTAACCCACTGCATTTCATATCCTACAGTTAACTACAGAATAATATAGCATCAGTGGGCCTAAATAATCTGAACGGTATCATCATCTAACCATTGTACAATGACGACAAATAAATGTGACAGATACCTGCGCTCCCTCTCTGCGACGGTATGTTCAAGAATGATGTTATAAGCCAAGTCTATTGTTGCAGGAGCTGCCAGATAGTCCTGCCAATCATGCATTTAAATCATAAAATTGGTAAAGTTACACGTCGGGCATTAAATATCACGTACAATGACATCATAATTTGAATCTAAATGGCCTTATAATATTAGTTTACAATATTAGCATACCCAAACATGGCTTGACAACAGACAAGCATGGCACTAAAGTCTACTCAAGATGCAAATCGATGTCACTGAAGTTCATACACTAGAAGAAAGTACAATAAATTAAGTTTTTCCTCCCAACTACATGAGGCAACCAGTATTTTCATATTCAGCAAAAAGAGTACAAACACTTGAAAAAGGTATGGTGCTCACACATAACTATGTTCTTAATATGAAATATCTTAGCATTACTAGTGTAGTTAGTATACCATTTTAAACTTTTTGGAATGACAGAGCAATGATGAATACAACATTTGCATTAAAAGTTTAAAGGCTTTTTCCTAAGCTTTGTAGTTTAAGTGATTAAGTCATGTCACTGGCATGTAATTTAATGAAATGCATGCACTACAAGTAAAAATTAGAAACGCATCACATTAATTTAGGGAATACTTCCAAGAATTTATGTAGAGGTAGCACCACCTTCACATAGGGCGTTAAGCAAATTTTAAGTAAAAAATAGTCACATATAAAAATAAAGATGCACACATGCAGTTATAATTTCAATTAGAAAACAAAATTAAGAATAGCTCAGGAAAAAAAAATTAGAAAGAAAAAAGAAAGGATGTGAACAGCTGCCAACTGAATATAAATAGCAATAACACCGAGAGAACTGCTCTTTTCCATTTCTGTACTGAAATTTCTCACGTTGCTTAGCATATATAAGAAGCCACGTTTGGTTCTGCATTCAATGCCCGAATTGGGATTAGGACGAACAATTTTCTAACGCTTGGCATCGAATACAAGTATTACAGCGGCTAGGCAAGGTCAATTTCGGCCAAATTGCTCACATTATGAAAAGACTGTGATAGAAACAAAATACCCCAAAGTTTCCCCAGCCCTGTTTACACATGTTTCCCTCTAATGAACCATAGAGAATATTCCAAACAAATTAAAACCACAGAAATAAATCAAGCCCAACTTAATTTGAGAAGAGGGAAAAGAACAATTTCAAGGCTCAACCATAGAATCCAACGGCGGAAACCAACAGGAGTAAGATCTAAGAAACAATAAACACAGCAAAACTACGAGCGAAACCCACGAACCCGAAGAGTCCTGGCAGCTTCATTGACCACAGCGGAAAAGGGGCCGCCATGGTGCGAAGTGGCCAATGAGGAGGAGAGACAGTCGGCGACGGCTCGCCGCAAAGGCTCCGGTACCTTCTTGACCGACGAAGATCTCAACCTGGAAACACTTCCGACGCCAATTAACTGTATCCTCGAACTTCCTGGGCTCCGACAGGGACTAAAGGTGGAAGACATGGGCGTTCAACAGAATCACCAACAGTAACCTAAGCTCACAGTGAAGTGTGAATCTCGAATTGCACGAACACGAAGCCAGCTTGGGAGTTCCTCTGCACTTGATAAAAATCGAATAATCTGCGTCAGCGTGTGCGCGTGAAAGAGAGCGAGAGACTGTGAAAGAGAGCACAATAGAAGAGAGAAGCAGAGCATTTGGTTGAGATTTAGAATTGGAATTCTTACTAATTCTTAATTTTCGCGAGTGAGTATTAGCTGTACGTACAGGCGTCGTTTTAGTTTTATGGACTCTATGAGCTGGCATGCGCTAAAAATTCGAGGCATAAGGGCAGCTTCGGAATTCAACACTTTTTCTAGGGTTTTTGTTCCCCTTTGATGGCCTTGACTCCATACCGTGATGTGAGGGGGGTGACCCTGTTGTGATTCGAATTTTTAATTTCCAATGTTCGATTATATTTTTTAAAAAATAATAATAAAATCTCTTTAAATTATATAACTAATAATTTAATCTTTTAAAATATTATAATTTTAATAAAAATTTTCAAAATCTCTTGATCAATAATTTTTTAGTAAAAAATAATTTTTTCTTCATAAAAAATAATGAATTTCATTCATAATTTTTATTTAAAAAATCACAATTTTTTATTTTATAAATTATAAAAATTAAATAAAAAGCATAAATTGTAAATTATAATTTTTATTATTAAAAAATAAATCTCAATCACTACTTTTACTTAAAAAATAACATCTTTTATTTTATAAATCATAATAATTAAATAAAAAATTATAATTAATCAAGTGTAATTTCTATTATTGAAGAATAAGTTCTCAAAATAATAAATCTTATTCATAATTTTTATTTAAAGAATCATAACTTTTTTCTAAGAATCACAAGAATTGAATAAGAAATTACAAATTATTAATAAAATAAAATAAATTTTTTAATTTAAATTTTATTAACAAAAAGGTTTGAAGTGACTTCATTAAAATTATAATATTTTGAGGAACTAGTCATTTATATAATTCAAAAAAAAATTATTATCATTTTTTCTATTTAAATAAGATATCCTCCAACAAAAGGTGTATATATACACAATCAAAATATATATTTATATGTATACTTCCTCATATTCTAATCATAGGGCAAGACTTTAAAATTCTATCTAGTTCAAATATAAAGCAAGGATATACTAGTTAATTTTTTCTAATATTGTCACTTCTTAAATGCACTAAATTGTAACTCCTAGACATGATTTTTGTGATCATTAATTTTAATTAAAGATAAAATTAAAAAGTTAAACATTTTTATAATTTTAAGAATTATTAACTATTAATTATCATTCCTTAAAAACCTTGATAACTTTTAACTTATAATCAGTACATAAGAGAATATTTATGAATAATGATGTGTGGTTTTTTTGGCCAAAGTAATCATGTATGGTTGAATTAATGAAAAAGGCAGTGGTGAGATGGACATGTGGATTTTATTTATATTATTCTGGTCACAAAAAAATTTATTATATAATTTGAAAGTGTTTTTTTATTAATCAGAACACTAAAAATATATTATTTTTATTCCATCATTGTATTTTTCTCTCGTTGTTCTCATTCTTCTAAAGCCAAAGTGACAATAAGCTGTAAAAAAGGATTACAGGTTATCTCACCTTTATGGAAAAATTCGTTGATGATTGATGAAACGGAAAAACATATATGTAAGGAATAAACTGAGCATCTATCCACTTTTCTTTATGAAAAAAAAATATAAAATATAACAATCCTATGTAGGGTTTTTACGAAAAAGGGGTTTATACAATGCCGCTTATTAAATGGTTATATAGAAAGTGTAAAACTTACATACTTAACTTTATATCTTTAATATACTTATATCCAATTAAGTTATAATAAATGGATCTTAATGTAGTAATAAAATTAATAACAAATATTTATTATAGAATAAATAAATAACCTATAAAGAATTCACATGTCTTAATTCATTTGGAAACGAGTACATTAAGTATATAAATCTTCGCCATATATAAAATTGTTATATAAATTTAAGCATGAATTTGAAAAACCATTATTGAATAGATAAATTCAAAATGTTTAATAATTCAAGCAATTACTCAACAGTTATTTTTAGCGGTTACTAAAAATAACCATTGAGTAATTTTTGAACTTTCAAAGTCTTAAAAGTTAGAAATTATTAAACGATTTTCCATACAGAACCAAAAAACTGTTAACAGTATTGTTGAATAGGTCCTTTTAAAAATTAAAAAGGCCCTCCATAATTTTTTGATTTTTTTAGTGAAAATAATGTGATCACAAGGATTGCCACTATCATTATTGTAGAGCCCTTGATTATTTAAATCCAATGGCCAATGTTTTTTAGTTGCGAACACACTTAAACCTTGTCTCAACCAAGTCTCTAACTATTCTTCTTCCACTTCCTAACTCTCTCTCCTTCCCACCCTCAAGCTCTCTCTCTCTCTCTCTCACTCTACAACACTTCTTGTGTCCAATGACATAGTTAAAAAAATACCTTTTTGTTAAACGGTTAAAAACCATTAAGTAAAAGCTTGGGAAATATACAATGTCACTTTATTTGATAGTTTTTATCCATTTAATAAAGGGGTGTTTTTATTGAGTAAAGGTCGAAGGATATACAATGTCACTTTATTCAATGCTTAAAACTGTTTAATATAGATAAAAATAATCGTTTAATAAATCATTTTTTATAGTAGTGAATTTCTTAAATTACCCATTAAGAGTGCAAAGAAGGAATGAGTTTCATTGCCAATCACCACCGGGTTTACACTCTTTATATTAAAATTAGAAGGTACATATTTAATTCTATTTTTGTTTTAGTAAATACATAATATGAAATAAAAATGATATTCTAATTGTTATTGTTAATATTTTAAATTTGAAATTTATTATTTAAAAAATTTTAAATTAGAAATTTTAAATTTATGTCAAACATCGCCAACATCAATATCAAAATCCGACCTATAAAAGATATATTTTGAGTTTTCTATTTTTGTTTTGGCCAAAAAAAAGTTTTATATTTTTCTTAAGGTGGCTTCCATTAATCCATAGAGGGGGCTTAAACAAGGAGATTTGTTATCACCCTATCTTTCCATCCTTGTATTTGAAGTCCTTTTTTGTATGATTTATAAAAGGCTATAGAATAGAACTATTAGAGGAATCAAACTCAATAATTCTTGCCCAAAATTGACGTCAAAGTTTCTTTGCAGATGATACACTTTTCATTATGAATGATAAGGAGTCTAATTGTAATGATCTTGCAAATTTCATGCATGCTTATTGTATTGCATCTAGCCAATAGGCTAATCTGGATAAGTCTAGCATCTTTTTTCCTCATAATACTCCTCTTGAGGTTAAGTTGAAAACCTATCAAATTCTAGGCATATAAGAGGTTGAGGAGCTAGACAAGTATCTTGGTATTCCAAGCATTTGGAGAAAAAACAAAACATCGGGCTTTAAGCTACATCCAAGAGCAAGTGAGATGTAAAGTGCAAGGTTAGAGTTATTCTACTCTTTCCTAAGCTGCCAGGGAAGTCATGATTAAATCTATTCTTAATGCTATCTCAATTTATCCATTGAATTATTTCAAATTCCCTCTTAAGACATGTAAAGGATTAATAGCCTCATTTCCAATTTTTGGTATGAAGGGAAGGCAAAAGAGGGAAAAACACATTAGAAAGCTTGGGAGACTTTAACTGATACTATGATGAATAGTGGAATGGGATTTTGTAACTTTTGTGAAAATGAATGACATACTATTAGCAAAGATTGCATGGAGGTTGCTATATAATCCTCATGAGTTCTCAAAAGTATCTGCTTTCCTAAAAAAGAATTTGTTGATGCAATGAAGGAGTACAAAGCTTCTTAGTGTTGGTTAAATATTATTGATGGTAGAGACTGTTTAAAAAAAGAACTTACTTTAAGATATTGGTAATGGCACTTCTATATGGATCTAGGCCAATAACTAGGTTCCAATTGTTGAATTTCCTAAGAAGCTAAAAAATTAATAATCTCACACTAATATGTGATACTTCTTAGTGCTATTCTAAATACTATTATTACTATTCCTCTACCAAATAATAGTATTAAAGATAAGCTTAAGCAAAAGTAGAAAAATATGACCACTCTAAGCCTATAATCAAAGTAAAACCTTCTTGGCCTGTTTTACCAACACTTTGGAAGTAGATTTGGAGGATTAAGTATGTTCCACGTGTACAACACTTCATTTAGTGCATTTTTTCCAAAACAATAGCAACTAATAAGAGTATTGTGGATTGGGATCGGACAATATGATACAAGTAAGAGATTGATCACTGTGCCATGGCTTATACTTGGTGTGCTACGGTGTATGGTTGCAAATCAACATTAATAAGTCATGAATTAGAGAAAAGATCAAAAGAAAAGCATAAAGAAAATAGGGAGCAGATAAGAAGAGAAGGGGTGGTTTGCGAGGGCAATAAAATTTAAGTGTTTGGGGTTGATTTAAACCCTCCAACTCATAGGTAAGCTTTTCATACCTCCCTACCATCTTGGCATCTTGATTATAAGGAATATTAAAGAGAAAGTTTTGTTATGAGTTGGAAAAGCTAGGAATCTATGTGTTAAGTAAAGCACGCAGGTCCAATAGCTTGGTTTAGGTTTCTTAGACTTAGAGTAAGTGGTTTTGTTAGGTATAGTAATTTGAAATGAGAATTAAGAGGAGCCCTGGCTAAATTTTTGAAGTTTGAAGGCTTGATATGTTTAGGTATGTAGTGATATGTTATGATTGCATTAGAAAGGGACTTGAGGTAATAGTGTGATCTTAGCTCGCTCATTTATTAATATGAGTAAAAAGTGAGGAATTTTAGGTGATTTATGTGCCTAAAAGTGCTTATGTTGGTGTGAAATTGACATATAGTACTTATTATTATAAAGTGAATTGCATGGGACCTCATTGTGATTCAAGAGGTGATAGAGGAAATTTGATACCACGGGGAACCCTTTTTGCAATAAAAATTGAGATAACCAGATTATTTATATCATTTGTTAGCTTGTATAAGTTATTAGCAAGTAGATTATACTTACTAGTAGTCAAATATATATATATATATATATATGTATGTATGCATGTATGTATGTATAAGTCTATGTTTTGCTAAAGCAAAGTATTTTAGAAAATGTAGAATATTAAGCTATGAAATTGTGTATCTT